GGGCCGTCCATAAATGACGTCACGCGATTTGGGCCGATGTTTTTTACCCCCCCTCGTCACACGGCGTCACAAAAAGTCAGACCCCCCTCAAATATGCACCCCCCCCCCCCAAAACCATATTTCCATTTTGAAAATAAAACATGCTTCAAATCACTTTAAACTATTGTCATTGTAGTGCGTGTTTAATGTGGTGCTGCACTCTGATGTTGTAGGAGAAAACACGTACTAAAAATGTGGCGTTGGAAAGCTGAAATTTTGCATAAAATTCAAAGTCTAACTAAAACTGCAGATGTTCAGAATATTATATTGAAATTCTCTTATAATTATAAAATATTAAAAGTAATTATAACTATAAAAAAATACTTGAAATTTTGTAGTAGAACGAAGCAAAATGGAGAGTACAATTATAACAATCACATTCATTCCACATAATGAAAGCCCTGGTAGAATCATTACAATCTAAATGTTTCATAACTAAATGTATGCTTCTCCATTCTCCCATGGAGAAGCAAAATGCTCCTTCATGGAATAAATAAAAGGTGACCTTAGTAAATTTAAATAATCAAATAGTTAATAATGAAAATTAATCAAAATGAGTGTTGTTATAACAATTCTATTTAATCAAGTAGAACGTGTTTATATGTATTTAAAGTTGCGCATTTTTATGTGATGTGTTGTTTATATGTATTTAAAGTTGCGCATTTTTATGTGATGTGTTGTTTATATTTATTTAAAGTTGTGCGTTTTGATGTGACGTCACATTTCTCAAATCCCTCCTCCCCCCTCGTCACACGTCACAAATGTCTGACCCCCCTCCCCCCCCTAGGTGCGTGACGTCATTTATGGACGGCCCCTATGACTGTACAACACACGCTCACCCCCAAAACTCACATGCACCCCCAACAACAGCAGCCACCATTCGCCACTAAGTGGCGGTGACGTAACCACGGCGCCTGTGCCAGGCGAGGTGCACTTTGAGACCACGTGAAGTGTCGAAAGCTCGTTGACAGGTTACGGGACAGACCCAGGTGCCATGGGTTGACTGACATGACTGGCAGATGCACCAGCTGTGCCTCCTGCTGTGCCATCACTCACACCCACCCCCATCACTCACCCCTACCACTCACTCGCTCCCATCACTCACACTCACCCCCATCACTCACACTCACCCCCATCACTCACCCTATCACTCGCTCCCATCACTCACACCCACCCCCATCACTCACCCCTACCACTCACTCGCTCCCATCACTCACCCCTACCATTCACTCGCTCCCATCACTCACACTTACCCCCATCACTCACCCTATCACTCGCTCCCATCACTCACACCCACCCCCATCACTCACCCCTACCACTCACTCGCTCCCATCACTCACTCGCTACCATCACTCACACTCACCCCCATCACTCACACCCACCCCCATCACTCACCCCTACCACTCACTCGCTCCCATCACTCACACTCATCCCCATCACTCACCCCTACCACTCACTCGCTCCCATCACTCACACTCACCCCTATCACTCACCCCTACCACTCACTCGCTCCCATCACTCACACTCATCCCCATCACTCACCCCTATCACTCACTCGCTCCCATCACTCACACCCACCCCCATCACTCACCCCTACCACTCACTCCCATCACTCACACTCATCCCCATCACTCACCCCTATCACTCACTCGCTCCCATTACTCACACCCACCCCCATCACTCACTCGCTCCCATCACTCACTCGCTCCCATCACTCACACCCACCCCCATCACTCACCATATCACTCACTCGCTCCCATCACTCGCTCCCATCACTCACACCCACCCCCATCACTCACCCCTATCACTCACTCCCATCATTCGACCCCATCACGCACACCCCCATCACTCACTCCCATCAACTCCCATCACTCGCTCACCCCCATCACTCTCACCTGACTGTCCGCTTGAATGAGCTTCGCGTTTGGGTCACGTGGCCCTCGGGAGGCCTGGGTGGGGGGCGCGGCCCGCGCCCACTTGGTTCCCCCCACCCCCGCGTGACGTCATCACGCACAGCGAAACGGAATGACGTCAACACGTACGCAAATACAATGGCGTGGCCATACACGATGGGTGTGGGTCATACGGCACCACCGCATGGGAACGCCACACGCCCGGTCACGTGTCTCGCGTGGTATTCACACCAACATCTCGCGAGAGGTGGCGAGCCCGACTCGTCTGGTGATGCACCAATGGTTGAATCCGCTCCCGGAGTTGTGCTCGCGTCTAACCAATGCTGCTGAGATTCTGCACGCCCCAGAACGGACAGTCACGCGAAGGACCGCGTATCGTCTGCTATGCAGAGGGGGGCTCACGCCGCAACCCACTGGGGATTCCTTTGCGCGAGGTCACTAAGCCCCACCTTACGATGGGAGCCAAGTCCCAACGGCAACCGCCGCTCGCTCGCCACCAAGTGGTGGTATGTTGTTGAACTTTTTTCGCACCGTACGTAGGCAACCGCACTAATCGGAATGGTGACTTCTCTATTTTCCACACTTTGCGGTTAGCACGGTTGGCTATGTACGGTGCGAAATAAGTTCAACACATACTGTGGCGATTGTGCCAGGTTAAGTGCACTTTGAGGCCACGTGAAATGTCGGAGGTTCGCTGGTTGGGGGCCGTCCATAATGACGTCACGCGATTTTGGACCCCTCCCCTCGTCACAGGGCGTCACAAAAAGTCAGACCCCCTCTCAAATATGACGTCACAAACCTCTGCCCCCCCCCCCCAAAACCATATTTCCATTTTGAAAATAAAACATGCTTCAAATCGCTTTAAACTATTGTTATTGTAGTGCGTATTTGATATGGCGCTGCACTCTGATGTTGTAGGAGAAAACATTTATTAAAACGTCTATTTAATTAAGTAGAACGTGTTGTCTATATGTATTTAAAGTTGCGCATTTTGATGTAACGTCACATTTCTCACCCCCCCCCCCTCGTCACACATCGTCACAAATGTTTGACCCCCCCCCTAGGTGCGTGACGTCATTTATGGACGGCCCCTTGGTGGTCACGGCACAAACCCAGGTGTTATGGGTTGAGAGCCGACTGGCAGGCCATGTCCAAAAACTCACAGCGCCAGTCTGGTTCACCCAGGAGGGGCACACTCAGCCCAGACTGATATTCGAATGCACACCACGAGTGTGCAAGGAAGATTCATCTCTCCCCGTGAGAATGTCGCCCTGGTCCCGATTCGACCCAGTCCTTCCCAACCTTTATGGACCTGCGGCCCAGTCAACCCTCAATGTTTCTTGGTGGACCACCATGGTCCGATACCAGCATCAGCAAAAAAATACGAATTTAAAAGTGCTCAGAAATGTCGAATTAAATGGCCATAACAATTTACTTGCCTTTTATTGGCTCACAAAACGTAAATAGATGTGCAATGGGCTGTAAAAAACTATGGTATTTGGTGAAAATAATTGTGATAATTGCAAGTTCCACAAAATCGCACGCCCTTGCAGCCTACAGGTTGGGTGGGATCCACTGCCCTACCTCAACCTTGATTTTTAGAAAACAGAGACAATGCAACGCTCTGGACGTGGATCATACATACTTGTTCAAACTACATCACTTTTGATGAATATATGGTTAATGACAACACGTACAATGCAGAGTAAACACTAAACTGTTAAAGTAGGTCTACAACAGGTCCATCTGGTTCGCCTAATTTCATTGTTATCCAGACCATACCCCCAAATAATTGAACTCGCAACCTCCAGCACGCTCTAACTGCACTTTAATTGGGCTGCTTGCTATTGTAGTGACTGGGAATGTCACTGTGTGGTGCCGGGCTTGAGAGGCCACAGTGGGATGTCTACTGTTGTGTGTACACCCCGGACACGGGGTGTAGCAGCAGCCCTAGTGGGGGCTTGGGTGAGTGCTGGTTCAGCGTGGTGGCACCACGCACAGCGTGCGGTGCGGGCTCCCGTTGAGAGAGCGAGAGTCAGCCAGCTGGGGTTACGTTGGGGGCACGATACTCTGGCTGACCCGGGGACATGTGGCCGGATGATACTGGAGGGGGGCCAATGGGTGGTCACGTGGTCCGAGAACTCTCGAGAGCCTTCGGGCAAGGGCGAGTGAGATCGAGGTGGGTGGGGCGAGAGGCAGAGCCAGCCCATATAAGAGGGGCCCCTGTGAAGGGCTCGGGGTTCTTACTGTTGGAGAGGCAGGAGATCCACGTCAAGCTTGAAGAAGCTTCCAGCCACGAGGTCCGGGACCCAGCTTGTGGTCCGGACCGGGATAGTGGAACCGTGTCTCGTTCCGCCATAGCGTGGTTACCACCCGAAGGTTTGTTTTGTTAATACCCCTGGAGTATGTTGTGCAAATAGTTAATAAACGTGTTACTCTGAAGACGTCTGCGACTCAGTTGGACTCACTACACGATCACACCATGTTTCAGCTCAGTATGGAAATTGCAGGGTACAAACATCCAGGTATTGCTGTTGTTATTCTGCTTGTTTACCCCAGAACAGCCTCACCAAGTCTCAAACTATTTTTAGGAGGATCCTTCCAAGTTTCCACAGTAATGAGTGATTGCCGTGTCACTTCCAAGAGTGATTTGCCATCAAGAGTAAGTTTGCCATTACGGCCGACCTCTTCGAATGACATCACGGGATATTTAACGTGCACTGTGAATAGGGCGTGTATTTTGAGTCAATCCCGCAGTATTAATCAGGGCAGCCGCTGGGTTTGAACCATTATCCTCTGCAACAAGTGGCAAAGGAAGGTCACAAACAATTTGGCTGCATTGTAATGACACCCCCAATCACGCTACAATAAACTCAAGCAATTGCCCCATATTTCCACCTGATAACTGGTACGTGATGGGAAACGGGATGCCATGTGTTACATTACAATGGCAGGAAATGTTATTCTGAACGACAGAGGCATGCGAAGAGGTTAACAGGATTGGCTTCCAAAGGCTCAGACACCGGACCAGTGATTAGATATGCAATAGACTGGGTAACTCATTTTAATAAAAGCAACTTGCGAATGTATAATTTTACAGAAGATGCAACCTTTGTGAGACAGGTGGGTGCTTGGTAATAAGTGTGCCATCTGCTTCAACACAAATTGGCAATACAACAAGACCTGTGTAAGTAAAGACCATGTGAACACCACCAGACCAACCAGATTCACTTGTGCCTCAAAAATAAATACCGCATATAAACAGCGCATCCCAGGTCAAGGGTCAGGGGAGCCCACTTGAGTTATTTATTCCAGGACATCATCGTTTTTGGCTCCATTAAATAATAACTCTGGCTCAAACGTTGAAGGTTAACCAAGTTTTATGTGGCACTCATTTAAATCATGAGGCAGTGGTAGAATTCCACATTTCTATGGCAGGGTCAATCTATCCATAGAACTGCGGTACTCATTTAATCATCCACGGAGAGATGATGGGCTGAGTTGACTCCTAAACTTTGACCTCCCAAACATTCTTACTGCAAGTTGGGCACTTCTGCTGAAACATCACCAGCCAGGTTCAACTAAACAGCTACAGAAACCTAAACGTGGTGTGGAGAGTGAAAGCGACGAGTCTTTCAGTGCTGTCAGATGACAGAGTGCGGGTCATGAAGGTGGCGCTCTCAGGGGCCCCACCAAGCGAGCCTCGTGTCCACCCTCCCCAGCGTAGGGAGCGCCGCCAGCACACATCACTGCGCCATCTCTGTCTCCATGGCACGCGCCGTCCACTCGGGGGCGTGCTGCGTGATCTTCTCCAGCAGCGTGTTCACCTGCGCACACAAACGTGCCAAGACAATAAGATAAAGGTTCCCCCTATAACCTCAACAGACATTTGGGGCAAGTGCTGGTATGGCACAGGAGGGGGTGGGTCGCTAGCACCACGCCTGGCCACCTTTGTCTCTCTAGCGGCAATGTTACATGTCGCACAAGGTACTCATTTAAGGTTCAGTCGACCGAGAGAAGGCCCAGGACCCGTTCAGATAATCGCCAATTGTGTTGGCCGTGAGAGGGAATGGAACTTGGGTCTCCGGGTTCGTAGTGCAAGACACGAACGACTACACTGCCGCTCTACACACACGAGCACACACGCGCGCTTAAAACACGCACCTGCCGTGCGTCGCAATAGTGGAGGTGGCTTCCGAGGCTTGAGGCATCGATAAATGAATTAAAATACATTTCAGCCACGAATAATTAATCACGCTCATGCATAGTCACAGGAACGCGTAGGCCGCCCGCCTTGCCTGGAAGCACAGGGATTGGATTTGCTTGTCCCACGTGGGCAGGGGCTCCCGCGACTCGAAGTGCACGATGCCGTCGATCTGGTCCACGACGCCGGCCATGCGGCCCTCGGTGATCATCTGTGACGCGATCTTCTCCGCCTTCTCGGGCGGGATCTCCAGCAGGGCGCCCAGCTCCGAGAACGTGATATTGTTGTACAGCTTGCTGGCCGACAGCAGATTGTGCTCTATAACTGCACGGTCCAGGATGCTGGAGCCTGTACACGCCAGGGTGAAGATGCAGTGAGGGTCCCGCTCATCCGTGATTGCCACAGAGAATTACGTCTGTGTTTTGTTTGTGAATCAAACCGCTGTGCAACCACACTCTATCACCATACTCTGCTTATCCGGAAGACTGCAGGGGCAAGCGCTGTTGGTGAGCACCTATTAAGGCCGGAAAGGCAAATTATTTGTGTGGTGGGGCCAGCACCCTGCCATTGTCCCTCTCATGCTAATGTAAACAATGTGCACCAGTGATATAATTCGAGCCAAGGGGAAGCAGAGGGCATGCTCAGAAAACACTTGCCAGCTATGTTATCTGTGGCAAGGGGTTGCTGGGTTTGTGGCACAGTGTGCCAACTGCTGCACCACAGCTCTTGTGCCCCTCTCACCGTCTGCTGTGGTGGCCTTCTGGTGCGGGGCGAGTTCGGCTGAGAACTCGTGCAGCTGCCCGCTGCGGATGATCCGGTCAAGGTACATCTTCTCCAGTATGCCGTGGGCTGCCAGCTGCTGGCACCGCTCGTCTGGTGACGACACAGCCAAGGACAGAACGCATGGTTACATACGGCAATATTCAACAACGGGGAGGTGATTTAAACATACCTATATTTGTGCCCGCACACCTATACGACTATTAACGTACGTGATTACGCCCTGACAGCGTGGTGACTTATCTCAGAAGTACCAGCCCCATGCTGCAATTGCACGGTTTATAGAGTGATCAGTACTCACTGCTGTAGCTCTCCTCACATTAACCCCACAACAAGCAGAGTGCCGGGTGGTTAAAACGTGAGGTGGCAAGGTGGGCATCACAGGTTGTGCATCTGCCAGTTAGCTCGGTCAACACATAACAGATGGGTGTGTCCCGTAACTTCCTGCAAATGAGTCTCCGACACTTCATGTGGCATCAGTACACCTACCCTGGCACACGTGCCGTAGTGACGTTACTGCCACCTAATGATGAACAACGGTTGTTGTGTGAGAGACACGTGTGCGACCATACCTTTAAACAGCGTGGCGAGCATGCGTGACCGCTGCTGTCCAGCGGAAGCCAAGATGGTGCAGTGCAGTGCATGCTTGAGGGCCTGACAAAAGACAAAGCACCCTCTAAGTCACCGAGCTGCCTGTCAGGGCAAACGCTGTAACACCTGTCACGTTCAACACAGCAAACAAGATGGTGGTGGGGCCAGCCACACGCAAGACCGACTGCTTTTGTCTCTCCAACGCCGATGCTGACCACACCAGATGATACTTTTAAGTTTAATTAAAGAGGTCAGGTTAAATAAGTTCATTAAGAGATGTCCAGCAGTAAGATATATGTGAAAAAGTTTTTAAGTCTTGGGCAAAATGTATCTCCATACTCAGGGTGCTCATCTGTGTTGGTGGCCAGTTTCAGAAAATCCAGTCTATATTTCTATGGCAGAGAAAAATCTACAGACTATAAAATTATGATGGAATGTTGAATGTAAACATCAGTTTTCCCAATAGATTAACTAACTGTCTGCCTCCCTGCTGTGACCTGATATTGCAATGATGTGTAATCATAATTGTGGGTCACCGCTATTCCAGGTACCTGCAGACGCTCCTCCTCCGCCACAAGGGGCTTGTAGGAGAGCTCGTTGTAGCGCTGCGCAGCCTCAATAAACTTGCGCCTGTAGTCCAGCACACGGGCATAGCAGACCTGTACTCGCGGGCACACAAAGACAGACATATGTGCACAAACATTCTCCGATTATCCTGGTCAGAATGTTATGAAGAGCGATGGCATATATAATGAGCATGTCTGATATAATCTATAGAGGCAGAGGAGAATATGAAGGATGTGGTGAGATGATGTGCGATACATGCAAACGTTACCTCAAGGATAATTGAATGAACCAGACAATAAAACTTAAAAAGGCAATACAAGCTAGATGGGACAAACAATACATAAAATAATCAAAGCTTAAACGAAATTCTGACTGCAAATTGACGATTCAAACTGCAAAGGAGAGGTCAATCGCTGCTGCATACGCAATGGCAGCTCTGGTTGTGATGTCACAGGCATTGTCTGCTGGATCATGGAGACGGCCGTAAGCCTGAAACAGGCCCGGGTCTGGTGGGGGCCACACTCGGAGCGCGCTGCGCGCCCCGCCGTGGCAGCCACACGAGCACGGCGAGGGCCACCGCGGCATTTACCTTGTAGTGGATCTGCAGCAGGGGGCTGGCCGACTCGTTCTGCAGCAGCGACGCACGATTGATGAAGGCCTCGGCCTGCACGGGGTCATCGTCCTCCAGGTAGAGGCGTGCAATCTTCAGGTACGTCTCCAGCTTGTAGTCGGTGCTGTAGTGCTTCTGCCCGGTCTCCAGCGGGATCCCCACCAGCACCTGCGCCGCATTGCGCCAGTCCTGCTCGCGCTCGTAGATGCTGGCCACGTGTTGCCGGATGCTGGCGACCTGCACGCCACCATTCCATCACAGCCTTCATTCAGTTTTCATCGCACAACACACGAGAGCGTGACGGGAGTGAAGAACTAGAATGAGGTAGAACTGTGCATGATGCAGGGGGATGCCAGGTTGAGAGATGTATTCCATTACTTGGGCGCGCACTTCATGGAATACACAAACTACTTTGGAAAATGGTGGGAATATTTTGTTAAAAGTGTAAAGTCTTCGTGACTGAAGTAATTTTGGTGTTAATGTATGGGCCAACAATGCATTGAGAAAATAAGTATTTAGCCATTCAGGGCTTATGGAGGAATGTATTGGATGGTCAGAATGTTATGACAGGAAAGGGCAAGCAATTAGGAAGTTTTAAATTAAATGCGGCAAGAGTGCATTGGATATGTATTCATGAAGAGGGGGGTGACGAAGACAAAGCCAGATAGTGGGTCACTATAAGCGCAGGAAGAAAGGTGTTGACTGCACAAGAGCTGTGGGTTTTGGTAAAAGAAAGCAATGGCGAGCTGTCGGCCTCATCATCACTGGGCCATGGTGACTTCTTCGTGACTGACCATGTCACCATGGCCAGTCACATGCTTACTGTCGACTTCAACGTATTACATCCGTTCAGGAAAGAACTAAAATCACAAACTGCCCCGCTCAAGTGCAAGGTGATGCTCATCTCCCACTGCGCTACTCGGAAGCATCTCAACTTCACAAAGGCGCTGTGGAGCCAACGCCGACACGGGAGGCAAGCGGCACCTGCTCCTCGAAGCTGATGACACGCGGCTGGATCTTGTCGAGGGCGTGGTGGGACACCTCCTTGGAGACGGGGTCCGGCAGGCGCGCCAGGTGGCCCGTGAAGTCGGAGAGCAGCTGGCGCGATATCACCAGGCTCACGTTCTCGTTCACCATCGCCTCCACAAACGCCTTCAGGCCCTCGGCCTGGTCCTCGGAGCCCGGGGCGGCCACGGCTCGTTCAAGCACCTGCGAGGCGTGCGGGCCGAGACAACAACAACCCCGTCAGCCGGGGCCAGAGAGAGTGGCGTGTGACACGTGCCACTGTGTGCGCACGTGTCAGTTCGGGCGCATGTTTGTATGTACTGTACGTTGAACTTCTTTCGCACCGCACGTAGCCAACTGTGCTAATCGGTGGTGCGAAAGTGTGTTGCGTGTTAGGATGTTGATGGTATATAGTGCAGTGTTGTTGATGGTGCTGGTGCTGGAGTGCCAGGCACGCTGTGGATGTTGGGGAGCTGCTGCTGTTGCGAGCCGGACCCCTCACCTGGCGGTACCTCCCCGCCAAGTCCTTGTGGGAGCCGCTCGACGACACCAGAGACGCGAGCTCCTGCCGCACAGACGCCGCCATCTTCGCAAGCGTGACGTCAAGCGTAAAGATGACGTCATGTCACCGTTAACGGACATCCCCCCCACACAAATGACATCACCAAATGTGACGTCACCCGAAGCGTGTCGTTTGCCGTGACTTTACAAACAATTATTTATGTTTTAATGTGTTTAATAAATCCGCCTTGTCGACACCAACGGCGTGGACTTGTCACGAAGTTTAATTTCAAACTGCACGTGATAATACGGTGTGAATTCAATATTTCTGTTTGGTCAATGTTTTTTTTTGTGGAGAAAAGTTTTTGTTTTATGTTGTTCCTTGTTAATGAAGTGAAATTATTCTGAAAAAAGTGATTTTATACCGCGCTGTAAATTTACACAACCTGCGAGGTGACGTCATCACTACATCCGGGGCACAGCGCGACCCCTGACCCGAACGGCGCTGCTCACGGTGCAGACACGAGGAGCCGAGCGTGAGTGCGGGACAGAGCCGAACACTCTCCTCACCTTATATTCACCACCACACTCACCTTATACTCACCATATTCACCACCACACTCACCTTACACTCACCACCACATTCACCACCACACTCACCTTACACTCACCACCACATTCACCACCACACTCACCTTACACTCACCACCACATTCACCACCACACTCACCTTATACTCACCACCACACTCACCTTACACTCACCTTATACTCACCATATTCACCACCACACTCACTACCACACTCACCTTCACACTCACCTTATACTCACCATATTCACCACCACACTCACCTTACACTCACCACCACATTCACCACCACACTCACCTTACACTCACCACCACACTCACCACCACACTCACCTTACACTCACCACCACACTCACCACCACACTCACCTTACACTCACCACCACGCTCACCTTATACCCCTCACCACCCTCACCACCACACTCACCTTACACTCACCTTACACTCCTCACCTTACACTCACCACCACACTCACCTTACACTCCTCACCACACTCACACCACACTCACCTTACACTCACCTCACCGCACTGATCAAACTCGGCCCATTCATACCACACGAACATTTATCTCACCACACTCGGCTTACACTGACCACAGCCATGTTCTGTGTGTGTGTGCAGGGCGCGTGTGAGAATGGCAGCTGCTGACCCTGCTGCTGCTGCTGCAGGAGCGGGCGCCGCGCCGCGTCCCAGCCGCCCGGCCGTGCCCGCGGACCTGGGCGCCTACCTGAGGCGCGCCAGCGAGACGCTGCAGCAGGGCTTCCCCGGCGCCGACGAGCAGGGTGGGCTGCGTCCCACGGCCATCGTGCATCATCCACTCGAATCGCTCTCCTGTGGTGCACCGTGCTTTCTGGTGATGCGTGTCGGCCAACGTTCCGTGCCCCTATGCGCCGAGTTATTTGTGCTGCGCTCTGTAGACAACCGCTACGTTCTACAAGGATCTGAATATTTATTTATCCTGGAGGATTCCCGTGAGCTATAAAGCGCTTTTCACAAATCTCCAGGGCAGGCCAGAACGTTACAACAACAAACAATACAAAACACGATAGGAGTGCAAAGTATAGGAACCGATAAACAATTTGAAAAATATATACAAATAAAACTAAACTTTTTTTTAAAATCTAAGTTGCACGCTGCGTTGTGTGCACGTGTGAGCAGTCCTCTTCGTGGAGAACGTCCTGACGGAGCTGCGTGGCCACGAGCTGCCCGTGGCCATGGACCCCGTGCTGGGCCCCTTGCTGGAGCGGCTGCTCGAGAGCGCGGACGCGGGCGCCGCGGGCCGCGTGCTGGCCGCCCTGCGCGCCGCGCTGCTCTCCGCCTGCACGCACCGCTCGGCCGCGCACGTCCTGCAGACGGCGCTCACGCAGTGCTCGCGCCTCGCGCAGGCCCCCGCGTCCGAGCCGGGTGGCGACGCTCGGCAGCAGCCGCCGCCGCGCAAGCGCCAGCGAGTCGGTGCCGCGCGGGACGGCGACGAGCAGGGGGACGGCGACGAGCAGGGGGACGGCGACGTGGTTCGGTTGCACGAGGAGGTGGTGGGCATCGCCGAGGCGCTGGGTCAGGACGAGGATGAGGAGGAGGAGGGGCCGGCGGGTGGCACCGCTGGGCTGGAGGAGAAGCCGCAGGGCGGGCGCTTCATGCAGTGCGCGCGCGACGTGCGAGGCAGCCACGTGCTGCGCTCCCTGCTGCAGGTGCTGGGCGGCGTCGCGCTGCGAAGCGCGGCCGCCGGGGTCAAGCACACGGCGGCCAGTGGCGTCACCACGCTGCGGGGTGTGTGTGTGTGTGTTCCTGCTCACAGCCAACATCAGTGATGAATGTTTGAACTGGTCCTGGGCCTCCATAAGATCAACTCAGCCTTAAATTAGTATTTGTTGCAGTGTTTAAACATCATAACTGTGGAGAAAGACGCCTGGACGAATTACTGGCCACCCACCCGCTTGTCCGGCGTTGCCAGCCTTAATAGGTGCTCGTTAACAACACAAGGACGCTACTGGGCAGTTTGAGGCAGTCGCTTTCCAGCAACAGCTGAGGGCAAATAAGTGGCGCTCGCAATAGCGAGCGGAGTGCTGGGGGGCTAAAACCCAGAAAGTTGGCACAGTGGGGAGCGCAGGTGGTGCATCTGGCAGTCATCTCATTCGGTCATCTGAGTCTATCCAACGACCTGCCAGCGAGCCTTCCACACTGCATGTGATAGTCTCAAGGTGCACCTTACCTGGCATAAGAGCTGTGGTGTGCGTGTGTACATGCACGTGCTGGGTGTGTGCTGCTGCCGAGTGACTCGCGTGCCGGGTGCTTTTTGTGCAGGCGAGGGCCGTGGGTCTCAGCCAGATGCAGCGCCCGTGCTCTTCCCGGTTCCTCTGAGTTTCCGCCCGGCGCTGCGCTCGCTCATCACCCACGGCCTCCTCCCCAACCTCCTCGGTGAGACCATGCTCTCCACTAACGAATCGACACGTGCACACAGAGACGTTTTGTTAACAAAGTGGATATAACAGGGCAACCCACCACTTAAATGGACCGGTATTTCAAGGACAACACTGAATTAAAAACATCTCCTATATCCCTCTCAACGAGGGTTTGACCCAGGTTCCACCCGGACAGTCCGGAATTAGCATCTGTGTGCGGGCGGCAGGAATTGATTTGTTCGGAGATCCGGTGGCATCGTGTTGAACTTCATTACAGTTTACTACACATCTCTTATAGCCCGAGGCTGACTTAAAATAAATTTGTTCTGGTTTGGTCTGCAGTAGAAATGGTGGGAACCCTCATAAACAAGCGATTGCCCTGCTTGTGCATGTGCGGTGTTCCCACCTTAGCTTGCATCCACGAGGAGGCGCCGGCGCTGGTGCTGCAGACGGCGCTGTTGGTGCTCCACGCCAGCGATCCCAAGCTGGGGCGCAGGCTCTGCACGTCCCTCCTGGACGGCCTCACGCCCAGGTGAGTGCCACCCACGGCGCCGCCGCCGCCCGACACGACGTCGGATCTTGCAAAGAGTCGCTGCATCTGTTTCCGCAAGTTGGGCGCATCGCGTTGGGGTTTTTAATCGTATCCCAAGTGACGCACGTTGGTACAGGAAGAGAAGTCTGGTTTCCTAGAGAGTGGACTGCAGCAGATTCGCGTGTTTGTGATGAAATTCACGCATTTTGTGGTTGTGTCATCTCACACAACGATAGAATCATTGCAGTGATTGTATTTATAAGCAATTCCAAACTGTCGCTCGTTCAGGTTTCCATTCCCCGATTCGATTCTGGAAGCTGTGATGCAAAGACACGAGCAGCCTGCCACTGTTTAGCTCTTTGCACTTTCCAATAGCTGCCTCCATCTATTACAAGGAGCATTGGCTCCGTGGTAGTGAAGGATCACCTGTGTGGGTGTGCGTGTGTGTCTCAGCTCCGTGTTGACACTCATGAAGGATCACGTTGGAAGTCGTGTGCTGGAGCGCATCGTCGAGGTGGGAAACCCCAAACTCCTGCGCCGGCTGCACAAGGAGACGCTGCAGGGGAATCTGCTGCCGCTTGCGCTACACCCCCTGGGCAACTTTGTGGTGCAACGGCTGCTGCAGTGTTGCAGCGAGAAGCTGGTACACGATCCTGCTGCCCGCACGCGGCCCACGACGCCGGCGTGACCTTCGAAGCGCGGTCGGTCTCGCCGATTCCTCCGGTCTCCTGCACTGCCGTCATCACCTCTCTCTTGTGCTTTGCTCCTGTGCTCGCTGTCTCCGCTGCAGTTTCCCCGGCTGTGTTCCGAGCTGGTGCCGGCCGTGGAGGAGATCATGGCCGAGGGCCACATGGGCGTGGTGACGCGACTCGCGCAGGCCGCCGGGAGACTCGGCGTGCTGCAGAAGGAGTGTCTACAGCAGCTGCTCGTGGTGCGCCCTGCACGAGCCCCAAACGCACGCACGCATGCACACGCACGCATGCACACGCACGCACACGCACGCACGCGCACGCACGCACACGCACGCACGCACACGCACGCACGCACACGCACGCGTGCACACGCACGCACGCACAAGCACGCATGCACACGCACGGGCTCGTGTCACATTCTCGTGGTGCGGTGTGTAAACATCGGCACTGTGCCTTCCCCAAATGTTTTGCTGCTTTTCCTAAACTTGCATTTATTATTGAATAATCGGGAGGAATTGATGTACTTATGGAATTTGTACTAATATTTTTTTGTGACTTACCTTTTCTCTACTTTGCGCTCCTATCGTTGTTTGTTGTAACTTGCTGACCAGCCTCTACTGGACATCTATAAACAAAAAAACTTCATAGCTTATTGGATATCGCCAGGATAAGTAAATAAAGATTCTGATTTTATACCTGTGTGTGTGCGCCATGATCTGCAGGCTTTCCACTGTGCGGAGAAGTCGCGGAGGAAGAGCTGTGCGCTGCCCTTTGCCTGCCTCCTCACGTGGGACATGCTCTATGGAGAGAGTGGCACTGAGCAGCCAGAGTCCTTCGAGGTGCGTTCTCATCGCCGCATAATCACGGCGTGCCGCGTCCTGTGCCGTAACGACGGGATTGATTGGCTGCGCAGCGTCTACCGGAGCCCACATTCACACCTAGGCTGTGCCGTGATCTGAGAACTCGGCTCTCTATCGTGAGGTTGCACGATGCCACCCACCGTACCTTGCCTTCGTGATTGGGGGCATGGCATCCTTAACGGGCGCTCGGAGACAACGCTTGGCCTGTCAGTCCTGTACCTCCCCCCCTCCCCCCATCGTTTGCGGTGCGCAGGTGAACTACCACGGCTCGGTGTTGCTGCAGGTCCTGCTGGGCTTCTCGGAGCCGGCGCTCGTCTCGAGCAGCCTCCTTAGCCTGCCGTCCGCCCAGCTCTCTGCGCTCTGCTGCTGTGCCGCGGGAAGCCACGTGATCGACGCATTCATGGGCAGTGGCACCGTGTCGCGCAAGCACAAGGGCAAGCTACTGCAGCAGCTCAAGGTAACCACGCTGTTCGGTCACAAAATCATAAAAGTTTGACTGCCCCTAGAGCGACAGCCTGAATGGACACTCTCGCTCACAGACAGAGCTGCTTCAACGTAGAACAGTCTGCCAGACGCACTGACATGTGCCTCCAGTATCAGCTTATTTGAATCTCTAATTAAAACTCGCACCACATCTGCAACTGTTACAGATAGAGTGCATACCTCATGAACTGATGGCGTCCACCTGGCCTGTGCGTCCTGGGTTGTCCAGCACGGAGCTGAAGCTTCCTTGATGAGAAGTGACCGTTGCGAGTGTAAGCTGATCACTCGAGTGCGCTGCCGTAATGTCTCTAATGACCCCACTGGGGTCCATCTGCTCTCCATGTGCACATCACCAACACTGGTGAGGTGCAGAGAATCCCCATGTATCCACACCAAATCTGAACTCTAACCCATAGCAACGCACAGTCCCGGGAGACTCGCCAAGTGTGTGTACCTGGAGTCCTCTTGCTCAGCTCACCAGTGGAGCCCTCTAACCCCACCTTTGTCGCAATTCCCAGTGCGATCTACGCCGTGGTAGATAATACAGGGCCTGGTGTGCAGCAGGGAGAGACCCCAAGGTGGCAAGCTGCCTTGTAGCCAGGAGCTCAAATTGAGGAAGTTAATTGGCAGTTTTCTTTTCACAAAAACAAATATTGGATTCACAATGCGTTAAAAATATGAAAATAACAGCCCCACCTGTTTAAGTTGCTTTTTTTAATTAACCAAGCACTGTGCAGCGTCACAAGCTCGTATTTCAGGTGGCGACAAAACGATAAAGTCTCGGCCGGCTCGGTGTGGTCTTGTCGATCGACAACCTCCAGCGTTCGTTATTAGCCCAGAGAAGAAGCGTGCGGGGGAATGCAGTACAGAGTGCATCAACGTGAAGCCGCCGCCAAGGTGAGCGAGGGGCGGATGGAGGCGGCGAACGTTTTTGGACATGCGCGCTCCGTGTCGGTGCCTCCACAGGACCAGCTCCGCACCTTGGCCACGAATAAACATGGAAGCCGGGTGCTCGACAGACTGTGGGCAAAGAGCGGAGTCAAGCAGCGGGAGGAGGTGGCGCAGGAACTGGGTGGGTTGACACTAGTATACACAGCTCACCTGTACACGCCACTCACCTGTACACGGTGCATTTGTGCATCTCTGGGGTCCCATGCTATCAATGTTTTTCTGGGGTCTGTCTCAATGGGATTGTGTCTGTGGGGTCTGTGTCTGTTTTGGATCTCTGAGTCTCTGTGGGGCCTGTGTGTCTCTGGGGTCTGTGTGGGGTGTCTGTATATGTATATGGGACCTGTGAATTTCTGTGGGGTTTGTGTGTCTCTGTGGTGTTCAGCCGCATGCTGGACTGATCTGCGCCGTGACCCCATCGGCCGCTTCGTGGTCCGGAACCTGTGTCTGGAGAATTTTGTTCGGCGGCCGGAGGAATGGAAGCAACACCAGGCATCTCAAGAGAAGAAACGCAAGGCCCTGTCTGAGATACTTGAGTAATGGCCATGGGGCCACCAGCATGCTTGTTGTCCTTCCCCCGCACCTCCGTACGGTGGGAAAGAAGTTCAACATACATACAATGACCCTTGGTCATGAAGCCCAGGAGGACCAACGCTATACTCCATCATCACCATCGTCGTTGTCGTGGTCCCAGTCATCAGGGTCCATATATCGGGGACTGCCTGGCAAATATAAACAATGTGGTGCAGGGAAGCCAAGAAATTAAAAATATCAGAATCCTTATTTATCCTGGAGAAATCCGATGAGCTATGAAGCTCTTTTTCACAGATGTCCCACCATGGGAATGTGGCATTTATGTAATTCTCACCGCCTCGGGAAACACGCGTGCGAGCCAGTGCTCTCATTCACGCTTGGTGACACTCATGTGCCGAGTGAATACACGCTGCTCCGTGCTGTTAAATAAACCTCGCTCAGTTTTGGCAAGTATTTTTAGTGGGTTACGTTTTCTGCGAGAATATATGCCTGACTTTTGTTAGCGACGCGTGTGAATTTTGTACTCGTAAATCGGATTTGTTATTATTACACAGCCACACTTTTTTAAGGCCATTAAACTATACTTCAATGCCGTATTGCAAGTGTTGTTATTTAGTCATAACGATCCCAGATTTAGTTGATCTCCAAAATAATTACACTAAAATAAACAAAAGTTTTCATTATTTATGACCTCAAAATCACCGTATACATTGACATGACCGCGAATATACTGTACGATGCATATTCAAACAAAGCCCCAATTTCACTTCACCCACTTGGCCACGATGGATGTATGAGGTGGAAGGACCAAATGCAGCTCTGCACTCCTGCTTTCCCAGGCACGAGCGCGGTAAACCAGAGCCTCACCTCCAACCCTGTGAAATCCTGTCCCGTGCGATGTGGTCGGGCATCACCAGAACACCAATACAACCTTTGAGCTTTGGATGGTGGAGTAGTGAACCTGGGTCACCACCCAAATCATGCTGAAACGACCATACAGCACCAATGAAAACTGATTCAATTATTTTGTTAAAGTATCTGCACCGCGAAATTTTGTCCTCGTTATAAATGTCATGAGTGACCTCTTTAATTGGGCTGATCTGTTTTCTGCCATGGATACGATTATTTTGTTTCCACACATCTCGGTTTGCACAGACCAGGCCAGCTCCTGTGCCGTCGCAGGCGCTGCTGCCGTAAGACAGCAGTTGAGACGGCTTCTCGGTCACGGCGCTGCGCAATGTGCCCATCTCGTGTTGTCAATCCATTGCTGGATCAGGGCTTCCCCCCACACCGTACGGGTCGCGAAGGTTGTTTCAACCGCTCCTCCCCACGCTGGTGGGCCTGGAGTGGTGGCAGGGGAGCGAGAGATCGATGGGTTGGCTGCACCGCCCTCGAATGACCACGGCACCCACATCCCATTTTTGTTCACGCTTGCCGCCCATGCTAGCGCTATCCAGGCTCATACCAGCTTAGCTTCCAAGGTCTGATGGTATTGCGTGCTTTATTTCTCAGTTACGCGATATAAATTCAACCAATATAAATTCAAGTTGTCATTTTTATATAAAATTTCACATCCACAAACGTTCGTTCAACCCAGAAAATCCTATTCTCATGTAAACCTTGCAAACACAAGGATAATGTAATAAAAACAAATGTTGCCATATACTGAATTCTAATTTAACATTACATGCCTTCGCTGCGTTTCAGTGCAAGAACAGTAAAATTTAATGTGTATAACATTTGCAATGGCACACTGTTCATGATCTCGGCAGCACACCATTTTGGCCAGCGTGCTTCTGTTAAACCCAATTCTGGAGCCTGCACCAAGCAGGGCCCCACGGCTTGTCCAGCCGTGGGGCCCTCGTGACGCCCATGGCGCCTTCCTTGCCACTCCCCTGGCTCGGGATTGGCTGCCGATAAGTTTCTCATCCTCGGAATTTCTATAAAAGTCGAAATAATTTCCATATTTTCTGAATTACGAGGTACACTTTATCCTCTATTTTAAAGCAAACGTTACGTGTGTGGAACCATATTGTAAATGTATTGATGCCAGGCACAGGTTCTGGGGTGCATCTTGTAATGGGAGAATAGGGAAGTGCAACTTAATGAGAATGGAGTCGTTCCTCATGAAGTTGCACCGTCGTAGTTTGTGGTGACTTGGCTTACTGGAAGCTTTGATCAATTCAGTGAATCTGGTAACTCAAACGTAACTTAGGTGGTGCCCTTCGTAAGGCGAGAGGAGCCCCTCGCACAGGAGGTTTAGGACGTCGTAGTGCTTGACGTCGTACAGCGCCTCTAGCAGGCTTGGCACGCTGGCAGCGCGCGTGCTCGCCACGCGCAGCAGCTCCTCCGCATTGCCCAGCAGCAGCGCCTCATCGCTCGTGATGCCCAGGCGGTGCGCCAGCTTGGACAGCAGGTTCTGCTGGCTGCCTCCGCTGCTGGCGTTGAGGGAGGAGTTGAGCTTGAGCGTGAGCCTCTCCCTCAGCCTGAAGTCGAGCGAATCGATGGCCATGTCTGTACACGTGTCCACAGGGGGCAAGCCGCACACGCCTGACGTTACTGCCGCGCCACGCGGGCCTGGTGCAGGAGCGTGGTCCGCAGGCTTGCAGTTCGGGGCAGCTCCTCCACACGAGCGGGTGGTGATGGGGCCTGCGCGTTCGTGGAAACTAGTCCAAAACACGGCCACGACGGGGGCATACCAGAACTCACCTTTAGTTTTCTTTAGGGCACGTCTGTATAGGTCTTCTACACGCTCAATCAATCTCTGAAAGATAGCGGTAAACAAAGTTTCCTTAATAAAAACATTCCGTGTCCAGCAACTGCAACGACCAAGTCTAAGGACAATAGTGAGGCTCTGTAAATGTGCAGCAGATAGAATGGCTTAAAGTCTACAATCTGTAGCATTGTCTCAAACGTTCCAGAAAAAAAACGCCACCTCAACATTTCAAAGCTATCGTAGAGCACCTTGCCTACAAAACATTACATCTCACAAATCCGTTCACGTGGCACGATCAACATCTCTGCCTGAACATTTTGCCAACACCCAGATGTCCCATGTGACCCAGTTGCATTTGCGAGCCACTGCAGACCACCAGATTCCCATTCTCAAAAGCAGTGGCTGTATCCTAAACAAAAAAGGGGAATGTTACAAGCTAAGCATAATAAAGGAAAAAGGCTAGAAAATAGAATCTGAAAGTAAGACAATGTACAGTGAAGGAAAAAAGTACTTGATCCCCTGCTGATTTTGTACGTTTGCCCACTGACAAAGAATGATCAGTCTATAATTTTAATGGTAGGTTTATTTGAACAGTGAGAGACAGAATAACAGCAAAAAAATCCAGAAAAACGGATGTCAAAAATGATAGAAATTGATTTGCATTTTAATGAGGGAAATAAGTATTTGACCCCCTCTCAATCAGAAAGATTTCTGGCTCCCAGGTGTCTATTATACAGGTAACGAGCTGAGATTAGGAGCACACTCTTAAAGGGAGTGCTCATAATCTCAGCTTGTTACCTGTATAAAAGACACCTGTCCACAGAAGCAATCAATAAGATTCCAAACTCTCCACCATGGCCAAGACCAAAGAGCTCTCCAAGGATGTCAGGGACAAGATTGTAGACCTACACAAGGCTGGAATGGGCTACAAGACCATTGCCAAGCAGCTTGGTGAGAAGGTGACAACAGTTGGTGCGATTATTCGCAAATGGAAGAAACACAAAACTGTCAATCTCCCTCGGCCTGGGGCTCCATGCAAGATCTCACCTCGTGGAGTTGCAATGATCATGAGAACGGTGAGGAATCAGCCCAGAACTACACGGGAGGATCTTGTCAATGATCTCAAGGCAGCTGGGACCATAGTCACCAAGAAAACAATTGGTAACACACTACGCCGTGAAGGACTGAAATCCTGCAGCGCCCGCAAGGTCCCCCTGCTCAAGAAAGCACATATACATGCCCGTCTGAAGTTTGCCAATGAACATCTGAATGATTCAGAGGACAACTGGGTGAAAGTATTGTGGTCAGATGAGACCAAAATGGAGCTCTTTGGCATCAACTCAATTCGCCGTGTTTGGAGGAGGAGGAATGCTGCCTATGACCCCAAGAACACCATCCCCACCGCCAAACATGGAGGTGGAAACATGCTTTGGGGGTGTTTTTCTGCTAAGGGGACAGGACAACTTCACCGCATCAAAGGGACGATGGACGGGGCCATGTACCGTCAAATCTTGGGTGAGAACCTCCTTCCCTCAGCCAGGGCATTGAAAATGGGTCGTGGATGGGTATTCCAGCATGACAATGACCCAAAACACACAGCCAAGGCAACAATGGAGTGGCTCAAGAAGAAGCACATTAAGGTCCTGGAGTGACCTAGCCAGTTTCCAGACCTTAATCCCATAGAAAATCTGTGGAGGGAGCTGAAGGTTCGAGTAGCCAAACGTCAGCCTCGAAACCTTAATGACTTGGAGAAGATCTGCAAATAGGAGTGGGACAAAATCCCTCCTGAGATGTGTGCAAACCTGGTGGCCAACTACAAGAAACGTCTGACCTCTGTGATTGCCAACAAGGGTTTTGCCACCAAGTACTAAGTCATGTTTTGCAGAGGGGTCAAATACTTATTTCCCTCATTAAAATGCAAATCAATTTATAACATTTTTGACATGCGTTTTTCTGGATATTGTTGTTATTCTGTCTCTCACTGTTCAAATAAACCTACCATTAAAATTATAGACTGATCATTTCTGTGTCAGTGGGCAAACGTACAAAATCAGCAGGGGATCAAATACTTTTTTCCCTCACTGTAAATGTGAGCAAAACATTTCAACAACAGAACGGCAATATTGGAGCAGACGTTCCGGCAGCCAGCCATCCAGGTGGCGTTATCCATCCAGTGAAACCGGTTCGAATGAGTACAGAAAAAGCAAAATTGTATCACATTCACAATTGCCTTTCTGCATATTACAGTTGGAATGGTGTGGCTAAGTGCCTTCATTGCGAATGTCAAACGAATATCAAACATCCAAACAACTTTCCTTCGGTCGCCTACCACTGCACATAGCACGACATGGATCTTGTACCCACTGGCATGGTGCCACACCAGACACTCACAGTTCTCGTTGGTCCCTCTGGCTTGATGGGCACCGTGGGAAGTAGACTGCAACAACAAAAAGCAGCAGCAGAATTAACTCAAAGAATTGTCCTCTACGCAATCCGGGCGTGCATTTCACTGGCGGAACAAACTGGGAAGTCGATGCAAGGGTGCTGAGCACGACCTATCGACGCGACTTCTCAAACAGATTAGCTACTGCAGTCCTTGCTGGATGAAGTTCACGCCATCTACATCACAGATGCAGGTTACGGTGGGTGTCCCTTACAGAAGGAACATAAGGAAATGTTGGTAAAAAAAGGCCGTCTTCATTGTGAAGTCAGCAAGGCATAAGGGAAGTGTTGGAGAGTAAACCCACAACATTTACAATTCGAGGATGATGTATTGCCGGATTATCCTAGTCGCAAAAGTAGCTACGCGTGTAGTATCTATGCGTGTAGTAGCTACGCGTGTAGTAGCTACACATGTAGTAGCTACACATGTAGTAGCTACACATGTAGTAGCTACACATGTAGTAGCTACACATGTAGTAACTACACATGTAGTAGCTACACATGTAGTAGCTACACATGTAGTAGCTACACATGTAGTAGCTACACATGTAGTAGCTACACATGTAGTAGCTACACATGTAGTAGCTACGGGCCCCGCACTTTCAAGGGCCCCGCGCTCAATGCTTTCAAGCTATCAATTCCGGTTCTGTATTCTAGATTTAAAGCTTTCGTGACTGCAAGGATCCATACTCTTTGGTTCTATTCGGTAAAATCACGTAGGTGAAAAATAAAACAACAAAAATTACGACGTTTCGGCCACAACACAAGCGGGCTTCATCAGGTGAAGGGATCAGGCTGTCTCGAGGACAGCGCTGGAGTGAAACACAGCCACGCTCAGACCGTGACCTTTAAGCTGTGTGCGAGGAAACAATGTGCCTTGACAAAGGAATTAGCATAAAAATTACCATTTGATTGGCCGACTTTAGAAAAGAGGTGGTGTACGTGCTGGTGTACGTGCCGGTGGACTTGCCGTTTGGCGCGGGGGGGGGGGGGGGGGGGAGTTTACCTATTGATGGTGTGAAAAGGGAATTTATAAGAGCTGCGAAAGTTTGGGGTACCACTACTTGAAAAATATACTGTACCATTGAAATTAGTTTAATGTTTAGTTCGATTTAGAACATCTTTCCAATGGTTGATTAATTTGAAACCATCTTCTCGGTTGAAATTGTGTCTGTGTTTGTAGATCTGAATTGCCTCGTGAACAAATCTCTGATAAAAACCCGTGGGTTTGCAAAGAACCTTGGTATCGGAGAAAATTATATCGTGATCACCCACAGCGTTGTAACAGTGATCAGCCACGGCAGAAGAATTCGTTTTGCCGTGTTTCAAATCTGATTTGTGCTCGCGAATTCGGTCAGAGACATGTCGCTTCATCTCCCCGATATAGCAATCACCGCAGGTACAACTGTAATTATGGATAAAAAATCATACAACAACAAAATCCAGAATCTGCTCAACGATGGAAGTTACTCAAAAATTAAAAATGACCCTACCAATAGCCTAGCGATAAAAACCAACAAGATCATCACAAGTTCGACCTCCCTAATCGACCCAACTAAACGTCCCTCCCTAAAACCTTCTGCTGCAAGACCCCCTAGATTCTATGGTCTTCCCAAGATTCATAAAGAAGGCACCCCACTACGACCCATCGTATCCACAATCAACTCCCCTACCTATAGACTAGCCCGTTTTCTGTCAGATACCTTGCTACCTTTCACTGGCAAGACCGCCTCAGCAGTACTTAACTCGGCCCAATTGGTCTCTATGGCCAAAGACGTTGTACTGTCCCCTGACGATATCCTTGTCAGCTTCGATGTGGTCTCTTTGTTCACCAAGGTCCCAGTACCTGATACCATCGAAATAATTAAAATTTGGTCCAACATGGACTAGACCCCGACACACCTGCACTGGTTAGGCACTGCCTCAACAATACCTACTTACTTGGAATGGCTCCTTCTACAAACAAAATGAGGGTACCCCCATGGGATCCCCCTTGTCACCAGTGATAGCCAATATTTTCATGGAGAAATTTGAATCAGACGCCATCCAGACTTCCACCCTCAGACCTTCCCTGTGGAAGAGATATGTGGATGACACTTTCGTCATTTGGCCACATGGCCTCCCAGCTCTGAACCTTTTCCTACACCACATCAATTCCAGACATCCCGCCATCAAATTCACCACGGAAGTGGAGAAAGATGGCAAGCTACCATTCTTAGATGTTCTGTTTGAGAGGAGACCTGATGGCTCATTGGGGCATTCTGTCTACAGGAAACCCACCCACACAGATTCCTACTTAAAACCTGATTCCCACCACCACCCAGCCCAAAATAATTCTCTCATCAAAACTTTATACCATAGGGCTCATTGGATTTCGGACCAACACCACCTAACCAGTGAATTAAAACATGTACACCTGGCCCTCAAAAGGAATGGATACTCTGACCGTACCATCCATCAAGCTGTTTCTCCCTCCATACAGAAACAACCACTTGATACTCCGGTCAAAACCATCACACTACCATATATAGCAGGCGCTACTAAAAAGATTTCCAAAATTCTAAACAAACACAAGATCCAGGTCCGGTTCAATACAGTACACAAAATGGTGATCTGATCCCATCCATGAAGGATGTAATTCCTGACTTACAGTACCCCGGGGTGTACCTGCGGTGATTGCTATATCGGGGAGACAAAGCGACATGTCTCTGACCGAATTCGCGAGCACAAATCAGATTTGAAACACGGCAAAACGAATTATTCTGCCGTGGCTGATCACTGTTACAACGCTGTGGGTGATCGCGATATAATTTTCTCTGATACCAAGGTTCGTTGCAAACCCACGGGTTTTTATCAGAGATTTGTTCACGAGGCAATTCAGATCTACAAACACAGACACAATTTCAACCGAGAAGATGGTTTCAATTAAGCAACCATTGGAAAGATGTTCTAAATCGAACTAAACATTAAACTAATTTTCAATGGTACAGTATATTTTTCAAGTAGTGGTACCCCAAACTTTCACAGCTCTTATAAATTCCCTTTTCACACCATCAATAGGTAAACTCCCCCCCCCCCCCCCCGCGCCAAACGGCAAGTCCACCGGCACGTACACCACCTCTTTTCTAAAGTCGGCCAATCAAATGCTAATTTTTATGCGAATTCCTATGTCAAGGCACCTTATTTGCTCGCACGCAGCTTAAAGGTCCGCGGTCTGAGCGTGGCTGTGTTTCACTCCAGCGCTGTCCTCGAGGCAGCCTGATCCCTTCACCTGATGAAGGCCGCTTGTGTTGTGGCCGAAACGTCGTGATTTTTGTTTTATTTTTTACCTACGTGACTTTACCGAATAGAACCAAAGAGTCCGATTCTGTACTTGCTCTATTACTATAGTACTTTACTGCCTTCAACTTTTATGAACGACTGGGTGTTTGAGGTTAGCAATTTTTCGTATTATCTGGCTGTATAGAAAATGAAAAAATACAATTAGTTTACTGTGCAAGTTAAAAATGTGTTATAATATTAATATTTTTTTGTAATTAGGGCCCCTTTATAATATATGCTACAGGCCCCACACTAGCTTAATCCGGCACTGGATTACAACCAAACTTCAAGCGATTAGCTAGAATTGTGACGAAGTCTTCCTCTTTCGGTCTTAAATAAGGTAAAGGTGATGTCACCAATGTGAGCCGATCATGTACGAATGATCCATTGGCATGTATATGACTGTATTAACCCTCCTCTGGTCTTTGCATTAAATGTAGGGTTACTCTCCAACACACCGGTGTGCTGAAGTACAGGAGTAACTCATTGGCACCTTTTATTTATGTGACAAACCTTACTAAAGTGCCTGTGTCGAGTGGTGGTGGGTTTAACGACACATTTATATTTACGCGATCTAACTACCCCCCCCCCCCCCCCCGGTTATTATGGATAATATTGGTCGCGAGGTTGGGGAGTGCCAGCTCAGACTTCTGCCTCTGATGGCGTGAGGAGCGGGCGGCGGTCCAGGAGGAGTGGTGCAGGCCTGCACCACACCACTGGACCTGCACCCACACCACTGGACCTGCACCCACACCACTGGGCCTGCACCACACCACTGGACCTGCACCCACACCACTGGGCCTGCACCACACCACTGGACCTGCACCCACACCACTGGACCTGCACCCACACCACTGGGCCTGCACCCACACCACTGGGCCTGCACCACACCACTGGACCTGCACCCACACCACTGGGCCTGCACCACACCACTGGGCCTGCACCACACCACTGGACCTGCACCCACACCACTGGGCCTGCACCACACCACTGGACCTGCACCCACACCACTGGACCTGCACCCACACCACTGGACCTGCACCACACCACTGGGCCTGCACCCACACCACTGGACCTGCACCACTCCTCCTGGACCTGCACCCACACCACTGGGCCTGCACCCACACCACTGGGCCTGCACCCACACCACTGGACCTGCACCCACCCCACTGGGCCTGCACCACTCCTCCTGGACCTGCACCCACACCACTGGACCTGCACCCACACCACTGGGCCTGCACCACTCCTCCTGGACCTGCACCCACACCACTGGACCTGCACCCACACCACTGGGCCTGCACCACTCCTCCTGGACCTGCACCCACACCACTGGGCCTGCACCCACACCACTGGGCCTGCCCACAACAGGACCATTCTTTTGCCACGGAGGTGGCCAAACTCTTGCAGACAGTTCTACGAAAGGGCCGACTTTCGGGTACGTGAAAAGCAGACTTGTGTTCCTGCTGGGTGCGCCCAAGCTTCTCAAGCTGCTGGTCCTCCTTGCCAAACGACAAAGGCTCCTCAAAGGGCAACCGCGTGAAAACCGTCTTCAGAGCCTGAAATAAACGAGACTGCTCTGTTCATAATGACCCAAAAGGGGTCAGCTCGGAATCTTCCCGTTAGTTATCACCGAGTGTCCTCTCAGGAGGAGGCCCACCAGCGACATCCTGGGGCTCACCTGGGCCCCACGGAGGCACTCCTGTAACCGATGACTGACGGGTCCTTGCGCGGGACGGCCTTCATCCAGGGATCCTGGCCCGGATTCTTCTGCCGATTCTCATCACTGAGGGGAAAATAAAAATAAAAAACATGAGGCTAAAAAGAGTTATACATTCAAATCCATGAACATTCCTGCTCATCGTTATTCACAGACACGAACTGGAAACTCAAGAGGGTGCAATGGCTCCTGCCAAGGACACAAAAGCTTCGTGCAGGCTTGTGGGACGGGGCGCTATGTACCATATCAGGCCATTTCTGTAGGATTGTTATCAATTAAATTATCGGTGAACGTGCAATGAGCTACTGATGTACACAGCATAGACGGCACACGCTGCTGCTGTGCAAGTTATTCCTGCGTGGACTCTGTGACGCGATAACTAAACCAGCATGCCGCTTGTGTTGATCAAAATGCAGCTGAAAAGATGCACTCCCAGAAGGCTGTGTGGCCGATGGGATGTGTAAATATATATATATTTTTATGTACCTGGAAAGACAAATAGAGAAATGTGGCGTGATATATAATTGTTACGTCTGCAATGAAATCTGCATCAGCCGCCAGTCCCTCCTCTAACGCAGTGTGAAGCGTGCACCCTCTCGCTCGGCGACCGACAGGACAACCGCAACGGAGGCAGATCATGATGCTTCAGGAGCACGCTTGCTCGTTCCCCCCATGTATTCGTATCGAAGGTTCGCGGCTTCGAGACTGCTGTGTCCCAGCAGACGCAGCGATGATTGGTTGCCTCTCACCTGTCAGAATCATCCTTCACCAAGTTTGGACCTTTGACTTTTTGCACTCCAGAAGTGTGAGCTAGGGGAAAGACGCAGCCACAGAGACCTGCTCATGCCCACACCTCTAAAACAAAATGTCATATTTCATACTCTGGTAACTGTGTCCAAATTGAGTTAAGCAAAGCTAAACCACCCCCTTAAAAGTATTAAGTATGATTAAGTATAATTTTGTAGGTACATAGCTATACTTTGTGCCTCTGGTTGTCCAACAGGCTGACACTTTGACAATGAAAATAGTGAACATTCATAACGAACCGGCTCAGTGCGAACCCGCAGCCCCAACGTGACCTCACAACTCTCTTGTGCAAGTTCGGTTTGAGGACGTTGCGCTCAATGGCGACCACTCCATCACTATTCCTGCCCATCGACCATCAACCCTTCTTACTGACACGTTCTGCACGAGTCCACTTTACTGTTTGAACGATGTCATTAGCCTGGATAGCGCGCCTCCCTCTCTCTGCCTCTCAATGTGATTCCAAGCACGCATCTCCTTTCTTCATTGAGTACTTTTCACTTCCATGGATTTTGCGAGTTACCGCATCCTAGGGACATGGGCTGCTGTGTTACCCAGTTGTGGCCCTCGGAGAGAAATCTGCCACTGTTTGACAAACCTCTTGTCCATGAACTTTGATTTGCTAAAATGTATTTGGCGCCTAAATGCGCTTTGCTTTGTACATTTTTATTACATGAACATTGCATCATTGAAGCTTCAATACAAACCACACATGCATTGAAATTTTGTTACACAAATGACATGGTCGCAATATAATCATTTACAAGTAGCTGTAATAATGTTTTACTTACAATAATTGACAGTTGTTTTAATCGATGGAAATGAATTGCAGCGTTATTGTTCATGACAGTGACTATGAAAGAAACGAACTCACCATTTTTCTTGTCGCTCTGAAATTAAAAGCAAAGGTTAACCATCACGTCGTGTGCATTATATCACTGGTTTACTTGCTGGCGAATGCCTCTTCTGAGTTTGGCGGTGTTAATACGCTTACATCTCCATCGCCAACAGTGAATATATAAAAAGTGACGCGTTGCAGTCATCCTGGTGAATCTGCCTCTTAACAGTCGGCTCTTAAACATCCATAGAGACGCGTCCGAGTGTCCGCGTGGAGATGCTGAGCCGTGATGAAGACGCCACTGCAGGGGCCGCTCGCTTCGGTCCGTGCCCTCTCCATTCACCGAGAGCACAACCAGGGGTGGAGCAGATGCCGATTATTCCACTCCTTTATCCAGGAAATGCTCCCCGAGTCTCAACTCTTTTTAAGGAATGTCCTACCAAGTTTTTTTGCAGGAGGGGGCGATGTGCTATCCCAATTTAGCCGGGCGGTGGTGGTGCGTGCCCATGGAGGCAGCGAGGATTGGTGGATCGCCGCACAAATGTTGTGAAACTCCCTTCCCGTGGGCGTGGAGGTGCCATGCCCTGGCTCACCAGGAGACGGTGGCCCGGCACAAACGCGGACTCGTGCGGTAATTTCCGCTCCTGAGTTACCGACGTCGGCCGCATGCTGGAGGGTGTGGACACCCCGCCGGGCACAACGGATTTCGCCACTTTACAGTAAACACAACGGGCACAACGGATTTCGCCACTTTACGGCAGTAAACCAACGTCATGCAGTCAAGGAGAAGAGCTTGTCACGACAATGATTTACATGGACGATTGGAGAGCTCGCATTTGGATGAGAGAAAGCTGACTGTACATCGCCAATTAAGGGCGCACTGGTGATACCCATCGACTTTGTTTCGGGACTAAGATAGTTTTACCGTAGCGGATTTCCTGTTGGCGTTGTGTTGAGAGTGGCCACTGGGAAAACAGAACACACGGTATACGGCATGAGAAACGTTCATGCAAATGTATGTTAATCATGGAAGCACACTCCGTGTGTGGCAATCGAATCTCCGTCTCGTCCAGGGGATGTCATCACTCGTGAATGAGTGCCCAAACCCACATCGACAGTCTCTCTATGTAGAACCACTTCACATTTTTTACTCATGCAGCTCCCAACGTAAGCTAATTATAACCAACATTTGAATATATTGCCTTATAAAACACATGGCTAGGGCTCATGCCAACTGAACTAATCATTTTGAATGAGTTTCGCCTCATATAATAGCTATCCAATCTCAAACATTGTTATACAGTTTTGGAAACATCTTTTAAACTTACTCGAATGCTTGCAATCTGCTAACACTACATTTAAAAGCAGATTGGTTGGACGAAAAGAGAATGGAAGATAACTCACGATTTCAAAGAGTTAAAAAGGTCTTGGCATTGCTCGCACTTGCAGTTCTTCAGCTTGTCGCAGACTCTTGGGAAGGTGCTGTGGCGTCGTTGATGCAGCAGCTGTCTAACAGCCATGAACATGCAGGCGTGAGCCGTGAGTAGTGAGCCCCACTCATCACTCAGCCATGAACATGCAGGCGTGAGTAGTGAGTAGTGAGCTCCACGCATTCACTCAGCTATAAACAGGCATGAGCCTTGAGTAGTGAGCCCCACTCATTCACTCAGCCATGAACATGCAGGCGTGAGCCGTGAGTAGTGAGCCCCACTCATTCACTCAGCCATGAACTTGCAGGCGTGAGCCGTGAGTAGTGAGCCCCACTCATTGACTCAGCCATGAACATGCAGGCGTGAGCCGTGAGTAGTGAGCTCCATTCATTCACTCAGCCATGAACATGCAGGCGTGAGCCGTGAGTAGTGAGCTCCATTCATTCACTCAGCCATGTATAGGCAGGTATGAGTTTTTATGCACAGCTCCAGAGACATAGATCCCCTGTATAGCCTGAACATACTTTTGGGGCAAGTGCTGTTAGTGAGCACCTATGAAGGCCGGTACGGCACATGAAGGGGTGAGTTGAAGCACCACACCGCCTTTGCCTACCGAGTGCTGATGTTTTACAAATCGTACCAGGTACTCATTTGAGGCTGATTCGACCTAGGGGTGGCCCAGGACCATATAAAATATTCGCCACTGTAATTGATTGTGAGCGGGAATCAAACTCGATGCACACTAGCCCGTATGCTATGTTAAGTTTGTCTCATTTGAGAGGGGGGAGTTACAGAGAAGGAAATTAATTGCTCATGGTCATTAAAATGAACATTGGTGTCCATCTGTTCTGACTCAACTGCTGTCCACTCATGCACAGCTGTCCTGCTGGATCGAACGTGGCCTCCTCCGAAGGGCTGTACTGCGAGTCTCTGGAAGTCTCCTTCCTAAACCAAAAGGGCAAGACAAGATGTACCACACGTCGATACGCTGGGCCATTTAAGCGCCCAACAAACACACATCCTTAAATCTTTACCGGATAAACACGAGCAATGAAAACAGCCGGTGCTGGGCCAGTTATGCTGCAATTTACCTTTCTGTTGGCAAGAGCGGATTTGTGACTTGTGTAGCTGCAAAGAATACAAAGATTTGATACATTTAGTTTTTTTGGTGCGGTTGAGAATGCAGTACATTCAAAGGGTGCTGGTCGGGTGCTGAGCATTTTTTTAATGTTTTAAGTTTTTGAGCCGGCTGGCCAGGATTGGGCAAATCCTCACCCACTGTAGTCAATTTAGAGCGGCTGCTTCCACCACGTCAGTTCACAAGCATCAGTGCAGTACACGCAATGTGCACATTTTGTATTTTCATTCAGGTGCCTTAAATGTATCAATAAAACCTCACCGAGTCTCGAGGTTCTTTTCAGGAGAGTCCTGCGTTGGGACGTTTTGCTAATTCCTCGATTGAACGAGCGTCCCCATTGGGCAAGGTAGCGAGCGTTGCCTCGTTATGGCGCTTGCAAGCGAGTGGAGATCTCTCCCGAGTGCGCGGTGACTTGCGCGCTGTGTCCCTGCGCGCTGCTCTCACCCGAGGTCGCTCGCCATCCGGATGAGATCCTGTGACACCAGGAGGCCACCGGGTTCAAGAGGCGGCAAGTGGCCCGCCGGCGCGGCCCACAGACCACCCACACGACCAGGATCGCAAACAGCAGCAGCACGCCCAGCAGCATATAGAACAGCGGCCGTACGTGCTCGTGGGATGAAGTTGGCACTGCAAGACGACACGAGGGCAACAGGCGTCATCTCCAATCGTCTCCACAAGAAATGAGAGGGTGGTTAGACGGGACCCAAAACGCGACAGACACCAATGGTCACGACACAAGCGGTCATCGGCCCACAGTCTGCGTCCGGCACGTGGCGCGTCTGGCGCAGTCACGCCCGATGGTTTTGACTGTCTGGCGAGCGTTCGCGTACCACCGCCGCTTTCCGTCGGCTCACACCAGGCTGTTCACTGCAAGCTGGCTACAGTGATGTCGCGTTCTTTCTGATCCTCGCCCATGGAGATTAGCGCCGCCACATTTCTCATTAGAACCGGGAGAGACATTCATGTTTGACCGATAGCGAAACAGGCGCTGTCACACCTTAGTGGTGTAAGTGAGAATACTCACCGGCATGGGGGATTCTGACATTTGCGGTAGTGCGACCATCCCCACATTCTAGAGGAAACACACACATAATATAGAGTGAAATATGGCACAAGCCACCAACAATCACGATTCTAAACACTTATCCAGAAAAGTCATGGATTCTGACAGATTCTTCATGCCCTAAAGTTACCTTGTCCATGTCTTCAATTTATATGTGCTGCTACTTCAACAAACGTCTCAACCCATGCACCGCAAAATATTGCAATATAACGAAGTTTAAACCAGCACAATGACAAACTGGCCATTGGTAAAAACGCATCTGTGGTGTAAACAACAAAGTTATAGCAGATGTATCAACTTTTAGGTTCTGGGAGCTTCAGTCGGGCTATAAACATCTGAAATCAATTAGATAAGCAGACCATATCTCCGTTTTACTGGTAGGAGCCTCCTGGTTACACCAGCCCACAGGGGATTACTGTGTCCGTCCGTCCGTCTTGCATCCAAAAATGGGAGGGGAGGGGCTGGGTGGGAGGGGTGGGGCTGGGTGGGGAGGGGCTGTTCACCCCGTGGTGCCCTTATAAAACTCAACGTTTAACCTACTCACGCCGGCTTGTGCCCGCCTTCACAGTCGGGCATGTTTGTGGAATATACCACGTGGTGCCGCCGTTGACCCTGGCCATATGCCGAGCAACCCAACGTTCCTACCAGCTCCCTCCGCAGGAATGTGTTATGTAAAGAATACTAAAGTAAAGAATACTAAAGTATTCTTTACATGACCCATTGGCCCTGTGGCCATCTGGGAGTGAATTATTTCAGCAGCATTGATTCTCAGTCAACTCTGGACTGATTTCGACACACGGTGTCTCATCAGCAGCAGAGTCAGTCTTGATGGACATCTGTAACGAGCCAGTGAAGTCTCTCCCACCGGGGTACTTTGTTTTGGCGCTCCTGCAGTCGCAGCACTCATTCTTATCGTATTTGTTGCTCGAGTCCGGGGACAGCAACGAGCAATGGTAGAACCTGCAGAGAGCAACGCACACAAACCATTAATAATCTCAAGTCATTGAAACTCAATACATTCGTCAATCTTATCTTTTATATGATTATGTATGGAGTCCCTTATTCCAAAGGGCTTTACAGCAATCATAAAATTGTACTTAAGACAGTGGTTGAGATAATAAAGAGTGGGGTTATTAAAAGTGGAGGTGTAGTTATGGTGACAAGAGAACAGGCAGGAGAGGTCAAGGAGGGGTTGGGGTGGGCCTGGTCGTAGCTAGGGGGTGGGCGCAGGGAGTAGCAGTCGGATGGGCTAGGGAGAAGAGGAATAGATATCATAGCACCTCCACAATGAAGAACGGACATTTCCATAAATAACACCTATTATATATTTTTCCATTTTAAGGTCACGGTGTTATTAACGGTTGTGTGCAGTTATTGTTATTGATGCTCATACACCGCTGCCAATGCAGCATCACAAACTATCGTTTCCTGCGCAGTCAAAGCAGAGGAACATGGGGCTTGGAGGAGACCACGTGGTCCCCGAGCAGAGTGGCTAGGGAGGGGTGGGGATCTTCCAAGGAAGGCAGTGCCAGAGGGAAGACTCCAAAGGGGATCCAGACAAAAGGGGAATGAGATCAGCGCAGCAGCAGCAAGCGGATTGACGGACGGCGGTGGGATGGACCGTGGTTGACTCGCGACGAGCGGCTCCTCACTGTGCAAAGGCGAAGACAAAGGGATTGAAACGGGCGGACGGCGGCGGTGGTGGAGCGCTCACCCGGGCAGACACTCCCCGCAGACGGAGTCGCGTTGCTTGTTGCCGGCCTGCTGTGTCTTGGCGTTGTAGAGTTCGCAGTCGACGTGCGGCTGGCACTTGCCATAACCGAGTTTGTCGCTGTAGTAGCCAGCGGGACAGGCCGCGCACGTTGTGCCTTCACCATAGTCGTAGCCGCAGACCTGCACGTGGCACGTTCGCGACCCGGGCCGGTGACCTCCAGGTCGGTGTCAAGAGGTCAGTGGGCCCTTGCTGTTAATCCCAGCACACGGCTCACTTCCCGCCAACTCGCACAACTGTTGCTTGGTCGGCATTCCACATCCAACGAGTTTGGCATGGAGCCATTCCCACAGTCAACTAAACATGCTCATCAGTAACACTGTGGCGTTACAATTAAACATATATAATAGGCCAGTTACCAATGGCCCTGCAAATGTAGAATGTGATTGTGGTAAAATACACACATAATTATAAAGGGAAACTTTAGGGATTCAGAGGTTCGTGGATTGATGGATTAAAATAAATTCCAGTTGCTCTCAACAAGTGTATCGAGTAACGTGCATCAGAGTGGATGCCATGAAACCTCGTGATTGCGTTTCCCTGCATACGTCTCTCTTACTAGATGACCTCACAATCCAGAGTGCGTGTTTCTGCTTCTCTTTCCACTCATCACGAGGCGTGTGCAATGAATGTGTAGACGTGGATGGTGGTGGAGCACATGGGGTAGTGACTGGAAGCGTGGCTGCGAAGAAGCAGATTGTCTGATTCGTTGGTTTGAAGCACAGCACCTGATTGGGCTCCTCTCCAGGGGGGCACTGTCGGCAAGGCTGGCACAGTCCGTTTGACAGGAACTGGTGCTCCCCACACATGGGCGCGCGTGCAGCCACGCAGGTGACAAGCTGCCGATACAGAAGATACGGCGGTGAGCAAACTCGACGGACATTGCAACTACCAGCCGTGCACAAAACGCACAACGGATCAACGCCACTCATAAAACAACGACACCGAGCAATCCACCTCAACAGTCATCATCCATCATCGATCCATGATGGATAAAGTTATCTCCAAGCTATCGCCATCTCTTACGGTCCTCCAATATAACATCAATGTCACATTACTAATCAGAACCACCTAACATCTCTCAACAGTGACAGCCAGTGAACAGTATTACACTCAGCACAAATGAAGTGCCACTGGAATGTGTTGCTGTATTATCAACGTGGTTTCAGAATTGTGGCCTAGTCTGGTGCCAGCCCAACTAAGACCCTTCACCCCATGGCCCACCACTAACATTCTATGAAGTGCATTAAATTCCCTTTATACACGTAAAACTCTTGATATTTTAGACATTAATGCACTATATGGCGTAGTTTAATCCATAGATTCTATATTACATTAATTACATTAATTATTGCACTTTTTTACTGATGATTTATTTCATTAGATACACATTGTAATTGTTTTATGTGACCAACCTGGCTCGGCTAAATCCAAATTCCGGCTAGCCTGGGTCTGGATAGCTATTGGTGTTTTACTCTCCATGATGACGCACCACGGCTCTCTCGAGAGGCAGCGTGAACACGAGGCGACGCGAGCTTGCAGGACACCCATAGAAAGTGGAAAGCGCCAATCTGTGAGTGACTGAGAAGATCACGGCGCAGTGCCTTACTAAAGGGCGAGGGAGGACATTTTGTGGATTTTGAGCGTCTTTCTCTTGAAACATGGGGTTCTTCTGAGTACTGGCAGTCCCCCCCCCCCACGTCATAATAAATACTAATATTTACTTATTTATCCTGATGAGTTGTAGGACTCTTTTTCAGAAGGGTCCCACATTGAGGTTTTTATTTTAAGAAGTTTTCAGTGAATTCTTGAGTCGGAGGAAACCAGACCACGCGGAGAAAACCAACCCACGAGAGGGGGAAACACTCTTTCCCCCGTACAGATGGAAACAGATGGCGATGAGTAAATTTGCTGCACTGCCTTCTCGTGGCGAGCCGGGGTATGGCACCTCCTCAATGCCTACGAGAAGGGAGTTTCACAACATTTGTGCAGTGATCCATCAACCCTCGCTGCTGCCTCCACACTGCTGGATTACAGGCTACGTGTATAGTCACCACTGCCCAGCGATCTTGCAGTAATGCTCTGGCAAGAGCGTGTATGTAAAGCAGAGATTGTGAGGCCGGGTGAGTGGAACGCAGAGGGTGGACTCACTGTGCCGAGCGCGAGGAGGCCCAACACCCCTGCAGCCACAGAGGCTGCGTGGGGCCGCACAGCACGGCACGGTGCACAGCCCAAGCTCCCACGCTGCAGACAGCATGGACAGCAACACCATCAACATCACCATCAACATTGTAAGCATCAACATTATCATAATTAACATCACAATCATTATCATTGCATAAATAAATAAAGTTCCCATGTCATGTGAAAACCTGTTTCAGCTAAGCAATCAAAAATTAGAGAATAAGACATCATATTCGTATATATCGCCCTCAAACCCTTCAGATAAAGACCTTTGTAGGCCTAGGTGAAAAAATTACAACATCGAGATATTTGACTCCCACTTCTTCCAAATTGTTTGGGGCCATATTCAAGGGGTGGCTTTGCGGATGTTTCTAGTTGCGAGCACAATTTTAGACTGGCCAGGTGGCTCAGCAGTGGAGCGAGTGGCTCGCAGTCGCAAGGTTGTGAGCTCGAATCCTGGTTGGGGGTTGACTCATGAGGAACAATAGTTTGACCGCTTCTGTGGGAAAGTCAAGTGGTCGCCCTATGGATATACTCACCCCTGCCATAGGAATGTTGAATTTCACTGGCTCGGAGCTGTGAACTGGAGATGAGCACCTCCACAAAGCTCAACTGAGAAATAAATTACTTTGACTACTCAATTCGACTCTATATGTGCCAACGTTCAGCTTTTTAGTCTTTCTGGGACGTTATGAAAATTTACATCATTCATTCAGTCTCACGACGAGCAAAACGAGAGTAACTGGTCACGGGCATTGCCAGCTACTTACCATTATAACATTCCACCAAAATTACCGGCATTAAATGTCACATTGAGATGTTAGCACCCTTTATAGCCTCCAGATTTGATCCAGCATCGGGCTATGTTCAACAATTTTTTTTTAATTCATCCAATTCTGGGTGGCATAGATTAAAAAATTTTGGTTTTGGAGATTTTTCTAGTAACATTTGTTAACGTGCTGCATTATCTTCAACAGAGCGAAATGCTTAGGAAATTACATTACTTCAAATGGTATGTTTTAATATTACATACACGATTGATATGTATTGCGTTATGCCTACCTGGGACCCTTAAGGGTAGGCATTCCCAGGTATTGTGATGTATTATTTTTCACGATGCAGTGTGTTTACCTCTTGGCCTATGATTCATCAGCAACCACGCCTCGGATAGTCACCACGCCACAAAGAAGTATGTGCTGAACTAATCACGTACGCCGGTTTAATCAGTGATCGGGTGCAGACGAGGACAACGAGCACCTTGCTACCTTTAAACAGAGGCACCAAGTAATCCTCATTCTAGTCGTGTTAAACATGACAATGTTTGGCATCGCATCTTCATTTGGCTGAACCTTAGTGTTCTTCACGTGCCAGTTTTGAATGCATACTGCACTGCAATGTTTTATTCATTTATGGCATTTCCCCTCCTCTTTGGAAGTGAAAATCAAATCAGTATAGATGGCCAGGTGGGTGAGAGGTACGAGAGGCTAAGCCGGCACAGTCGACACCTGGGATCGAATCAGGATTTTAGCCGCCCGTGGGTAAGCCGGTTTCACAAGTGCAGTGAGTTCGTGTTCTCAAGTGCAGTGAGTTTCGTGTTCTCAAGTGCAGTGAGTTCGTGTTCTCAAGTGCAGTGAGTTCGTGTTCTCAAGTGCAGTGAGTTCGTGTTCTCAAGTGCAGTGAGTTCGTGTTCTCAAGTGCAGTGAGTTCATGTTCTCAAGTGCAGTGAGTTCGTGTTCTCAAGTGCAGTGAGTTCATGTTCTCAAGTGCAGTGAGTTCGTGTTCTCAAGTGCAGTGAGTTCGTGTTCTCAAGTGCAGTGAGTTCATGTTCTCAAGTGCAGTGATTCCTGTTCTCAAGTGCAGTGAGTTCGTGTTCTCAAGTGCAGTGAGTTCATGTTCTCAAGTGCAGTGAGTTCGTGTTCTCAAGTGCAGTGAGTTCGTGTTCTCAAGTGCAGTGAGTTCTTGTTCTCAAGTGCAGTGATTCCTGTTCTCAAGTGCAGTGAGTTCGTGTTCTCAAGTTCTGTGAGTTCATGTTCTCAAGTGCAGTGAGTTCATGTTCACAAGTGCAGTGAGATCATGTTCTCAAGTGCAGTGAGTTCATGTTCTCAAGTGCAGTGAGTTCATGTTCTCAAGTGCAGTGAGTTCATGTTCTCAAGTGCAGTGAGTTCATGTTCTCAAGTGCAGTGAGTTCATGTTCTCAAGTGCAGTGAGTTCGTGTTCTCAAGTGCAGTGAGTTCATGTTCTCAAGTGCAGTGAGTTCGTGTTCTCAAGTGCAGTGAGTTCGTGTTCTCAAGTGCAGTGAGTTCGTGTTCTCAAGTGCAGTGAGTTCATGTTCTCAAGTGCAGTGAGTTAGTGTTCTCAAGTACAGTGAGTTCATGTTCTCAAGTGCAGTGAGTTCGTGTTCTCAAGTGCAGTGAGTTCATGTTCTCAAGTGCAGTGAGTTCGTGTTCTCAAGTGCAATGAGTTCGTGTTCTCAAGTGCAGTGAGTTCATGTTCTCAAGTGCAGTGAGTTCGTGTTCTCAAGTACAGTGAGTTCATGTTCTCAAGTGCAGTGAGTTCGTGTTCTCAAGTGCAGTGAGTTCGTGTTCTCAAGTGCAGTGAGTTCGTGTTCTCAAGTGCAGTGAGTTCGTGTTTCCAGCCCAGTCACGAACGACAGCAGAAACACCCCGGGATGTAATTTTATTTGGTTTTGCACTTATGTAGTGTTGTAAATAAAGCCACATTGGCCAGATTCCGCCTCTTGATAATACAAAAAATATTGTTTGGACTGTTTTGTGACAAATATTACTGTCCCTGGCAGGGTGGGTGGAAAAGAGGTGGCCCCGAGTGTGGATTAGAGATTTCACAAATCGGTCTGTGAGATGAGAAGAGGTTCTCCCCTTTTTTCTGGCAATAAAACAGCTGTGTTAAGATGTTAAAACACCAAACTGAAACCTTTTACAGGGAATCATGTCTTCATTAACCACAATACTTGTGGTCAGAATGCAAACAAAAAACGTACTCTGATAATATATGTGGCATTGTCTTTGAAACTGATTGGTCCACACCAGAGACAGCTTTCTTTGGAGCCTAGTCTCAGACGGTGTTAGACCCCAGAGGACGCCTCGTCTCAGACGGTGTTAGACCCCAGAGGGGCTTCGTCTCAGACGGTGTTAGACCCCAGAGGACGCCTCGTCTCAGACGGTGTTAGATCCCAAAGGACGCCTCGTCTCAGACGGTGTTAGACCCCAGAGGACGCCTCGTCTCAGACGGTGTTAGACCCCAGAGGGGCCTCGTCTCAGACGGTGTTAGATCCCAAAGGACGTCTCGTCTCAGACGGTGTTAGACCCCAGAGGACGCCTCGTCTCACCTTTTGAGACGAGGCTCCAAAGAAAGCTGTCTCTGGTGTGGACCAATCAGTTTCAAAGACAATGCCACATATATTATCAGAGTACGTTTTTTGTTTGCATTCTGACCACAAGTATTGTGGTTAATGCAGACATGATTACTTGTGAAAGTTTCGATTTAAAGCTTTCGTGACTGCAATGATTCATCTTCTTTGGTTCTTTCGGTAAAGTCACGTAGAATGAGAATAAAATAATAAATTGATAAAATAAAATAACACAATAATATTCTCACGACGTTTCGGCCACAACACAAGCGGCCTTCATCAGGTGAAGGGAGCGAGACTGTCTGGTAGGACAGCGCTGTGATCTGAACGTGGCTCTCTCACTCCAGCGCTGTCCTACCAGACAGTCTCGCTCCCTTCACCTGATGAAGGCCGCTTGTGTTGTGGCCGAAACGTCGTGAGAATATTATTGTGTTATTTTATTTTATCAATTTATTATTTTATTCTCATTCTACTTGTGAAAGGTTTCAGTTTGGTGTTTTAACATCTTAACACAGCTGTATTGTTGCCAGAAAAAAGGGGAGAACCTCTTCTCATATTTTGGTACTGGCAAAGGAGGTTCCATGGTAGCTCTGTGATAGCTCCTTCCATGGGAAATGCATTAACACTGCTCTGAGAGTTTCCAATTGATTCTTCATCTCGTGACACACTGCCGATAGCATAAATCGATACAAATACAAAAAATAAACAGGACCTTTCTCAGCAATGAAACTGACATACGTGACTCGGGTCATACACTATCTGATATTTTCAAAAATGTAACTGAAAAACCTGAAAGGCTGGTTTGGAAGTGAAATAAAAAAAACCCACAAATAATAAAAATGTTAAACATTGCAAGTACAGTAATTTAAATATATCTGAATAAAGCAAGTTTTAAAAAAAATACTGTGCTGTAAGCATATTTAAATGTATCAGGTCAGTAATGCATTCCCTTAATCTCACACTGAACTTACATACGCGTTAAAGGACTAATGTCTGCTTGTCCTCTGATCCTAATGTATACAAGTTAGAGAGTGGTATTTCCACCAGCGTTAACGTGCCAAACCTTGTAGGCCTCAGTGAGCAGAGCCCGAGTCAACGCATCATTTGGCCATGCAGTAACCCCCTGCCCCCCATTGCACTGAGCGTGACCTCCACCGAGACCAGTCAGCTCCTTCAACGCTCGCTCTGGTGGCACGGTCAAGGGTGAGGGGCAAGCCCTCTCCATCGCTGTGCCATGATCCAGCAAGCTGCTGGAGTGATTACGGAATGACCTTACATTACCGTACACACTTCCAGCACCTGCTCGCCACTCAATGGGCCCCAGAGTAAGCATAGTCCACAGTGTAAACATCCACGGTGAAGCCCTCTCTCGTTCGCAGCGAGTGCCCCGGGCTGACAGTCCGCGTATTGCTGAGCGGCATTCTTCACTGATTGGTGGCAGCAGTGGCCGACCTCGCGAGGCGCAGAGGGAAAACCGGTTTCGAACCCAGTTTCGCATTCAGGCATTTGGCACACACGAGACAAAACAGCCCTTTGGCCTGTCGCTAATGCGGCTTTGTTGTCAACATTTTGTGGAGAGATACAGCTGCTTTTCACCGCCGGTAAAACGAGCGGCACTCTCCAGCATTTTGCTGAATATGCTCAGAACGGTGACGACGGGGGGCTGTTTTTGTCGCGAGTTCTGCCAAGGTGGTGAACCGGAGAAACACGGCTGGTCTCTGGGGGTTCGTGCAAGCAGCGCGCTGAGACTGCTCTGGGCCTGCGTGCGGGCCAGCCCCGCCGTGACCTCTTGCCCTGGGCGGCCCACGGGGTGAGGGGTGTGGCCACCTCTCCCGCCTCTCCCCGGCCACACCCCGGCGCGCCCCTGGCGCCTCCGTGGGCTCGAGGCCACGAGGGCTGCTCGAGTGTCGAGTGGGAGCTCTTGCAGCAGCCCCACCATTACACCCCTCATGTCCACGCGTCAGGCACGAGGCCCCGTGTCAGGCGAAGTTACCGAGTAAAGAGTTTCACGAGCGAACACACCCGACCGGACCGTGCCTCTCTTTGTGCACAACGCCTCCACGTGGCACGGGGACTTGTTGATAAAGCAAGGAGGCCACTCACAGACCAAGGAGGTCACTCACAGACCAAGGAGGTCACTCACAGACCAAGGAGGTCACTCACAGACCAAGGAGGTCACTCACACAGCAAGGAGGTCACTCACAGACCAAGGAGGTCACTCACAGACCAAGGAGGTCACTCACAGATCAAGGAGGTCACTCACAGACCAAGGAGGCAACTCACAGACCAAGGAGGTCACTCACAGACCAAGGAGGCAACTCACAGACCAAGGAGGTCACTCACAGACCAAGGAGGTCACTCACAGACCAAGGAGATCACTCACAGAGCAAGGAGGTCACTCACACAGCAAGGAAGCCACTCACAGACCAAGGAGGTCACTCACAGACCAAGGAGGCCACTCACAGACCAAGGAAGCCACTCACAGACCAAGGAGGTCACTCACAGATCAAGGAGGTCACTCACAGACCAAGGAGGTCACTCACAGACCAAGGAGGTCACTCACAGACCAAGGAGGTCACTCAGACCAAGGAGGTCACTCAGACCAAGGAGGCAACTCACAGACCAAGGAGGTCACTCAGACCAAGGAGGTCACTCACAGAGCGGGGAGGTCACTCACAGACCAAGGAGGTCACTAACAGACCAAGGAGGTCACTCAGACCAAGGAGGTCACTCAGACCAAGGAGGCAACTCACAGACCAAGGAGGTCACTCTGACCAAGGAGGTCACTCACAGAGCGGGGAGGTCACTCACAGAGCGGGGAGGTCACTCACAGACCAAGGAGGTCACTCACAGACCAAGGAGGCAACTCACAGACCAAGGAGGTCACTCACAGACCAAGGAGGTCACTCACAGACCAAGGAGGTCACTCACACAGCAAGGAAGTCACTCACAGACCAAGGAGGTCACTCACAGACCAAGGAGGCAACTCACAGACCAAGGAGGTTACTCACAGACCAAGGAGGTCACTCACAGACCAAGGAGGTCACTCACAGACCAAGGAGGTCACTCACAGACCAAGGAGGCAACTCACATACTAAGGAGGTCACTCACAGACCAAGGAGGTCACTCACAGACCAAGGAGATCACTCACAGAACAAGGAAGCCACTCACAGACCAAGGAGGTCACTCACAGATCAAGGAGGTCACTCACAGACCAAGGAGGTCACTCACAGACCAAGGAGGTCACTCACAGACCAAGGAGGTCACTCACACAGCAAGGAAGCCACTCACAGACCAAGGAGGTCACTCACAGACCAAGGAGGTCACTCACAGACCAAGGAGGCCACTCACAGACCAAGGAAGCCACTCACAGACCAAGGAGGTCACTCACAGATCAAGGAGGTCACTCACAGACCAAGGAGGTCACTCACAGACCAAGGAGGTCACTCACAGACCAAGGAGGTCACTCAGACCAAGGAGGCAACTCACAGACCAAGGAGGTCACTCAGACCAAGGAGGTCACTCACAGAGCGGGGAGGTCACTCACAGACCAAGGAGGTCACTCAGACCAAGGAGGTCACTCAGACCAAGGAGGCAACTCACAGACCAAGGAGGTCACTCTGACCAAGGAGGTCACTCACAGAGCGGGGAGGTCACTCACAGAGCGGGGAGGTCACTCACAGACCAAGGAGGTCACTCACAGACCAAGGAGGCAACTCACAGACCAAGGAGGTCACTCACAGACCAAGGAGGTCACTCACAGACCAAGGAGGTCACTCACAGACCAAGGAGGTCACTCACAGAGCAGGGAGGTCACTCACAGACCAAGGAAGTCACTCACAGAGCGGGGAGGCCGCGCCTCGCCGTAACTCTCCATGCTCAGTCGGCAGTCGTAGCCGCGCGGTGCTCACGGCTGAGGGTTCCTGATAAACACGAAACAAACACACCAACACATCCAACACAACAAATACACTTTAATACGTAATATTGTTTTTTTTGGGTTAGATCGCGTAAATATAAATGTGTCGTTAAACCCGCCACCACCCGACACAGCCAACTAGTAAGATTTGTCATGTAAACAGAACATGCCAATTCGTGGCAGGTTTAACGACACATTTATATATTTACGCGATCTAACCCAAAAAACCCTCTATTTATGGATATTGGTCGCGAAAGCCTACGTGTTAAATCAAATAAAATTTTACATCCAATCAATGTCGTCACCAGTTGTCCTTAAAGGCAACACAGTCCACTCACACACAACACAGTCCACTCACACACAACACAGTCCACTCAGACACAACACAATCCACTCACATACAACACAGTCCACTCAGACACAACACAGTCCACTCAGACACAACACAGTCCACTCACACACAACACAGTCCACTCAGACACAACACAGTCCACTCACACACAAAACACACAGACACAACACAGTCCACTCACACACAACACAGTCCACTCACACACAGCACAGTCCACTCACACACAACACATTCTACTCAATCACAACACAGTCCACTCACACACAGCACAGTCCACACAGGCACAACACAGTCCACTCACACATAACACAGTCCACTCACACACAACACAGTCCACTCAGACACAACACAATCCACTCACACACAACACGGTCCACTCAGACACAACACAGTCCACTCAGACACAACACAGTCCACTCACACACAACACAGTCCACACAGGCACAACACAGTCCACTCACACACAACACAGTCCACTCACACACAACACAATCCACTCACACACAACACGGTCCACTCAGACACAACACAGTCCACTCAGACACAACACAGTCCACTCACACACAACACAGTCCACACAGGCACAACACAGTCCACTCACACACAACACAGTCCACTCACACACAACACGGTCCACTCAGAGACAACACAGTCCACTCAGACACAACACAGTCCACTCAGACACAACACAGTCCACTCACACAACACAGTCCACTCACACACAACACAGTCCACTCACACACAACACAGTCCACTCACACACAACACAGTCCACTCACACAACACAGTCCACTCACACACAACACGGTCCACTCAGACACAACAAAGTCCACTCAGACACAACACAGTCAACTCAGACACAACACAGTCCACGCAGACACAACACAGTCCACTCAGACACAACACAATCCACTCACACACAACACACTCCACTCAGACACAACACAACACACACAGACACAACACAGTCCACTCACACAACACAGTCCACTCACACACAACACGGTCCACTCAGACACAACAAAGTCCACTCAGACACAACACAGTCCACTCACACAACACAGTCCACTCAGACACAACACAGTCCACTCACACACAACACAGTCAACTCAGACACAACACAGTCCACGCAGACACAACACAGTCCACTCAGACACAACACAATCCACTCACACACAACACACTGCACTCAGACACAACACAACACACACAGACACAACACAGTCCACTCAGACACAACACAGTCCACTCACACACAACACAGTCCACTCACACACAACACAGTCCACTCAGACACAACACAGTCCACTCACACACAACACAGTCCACTCACACACAACACAGTCCACTCACACACAACACAGTCTACGCAGACACAACACAGTCCACTCAGACACAACACACACAGACACAACACAGTTCACGCAGACACAACACAGTCCACTCACACACAACACGGTCCACTCAGACACAACACAGTCCACTCAAACAACACAGTCCACTCACACACAACACAGTCCACTCACACACAACACAGTCCACTCACACAATACAGTCCACTCAGAAACAACACAGTCCACTCACACACAACACAGTCCACACAGGCACAACACAGTCCACTCACACAACACAGTCCACTCAGACACAACACAGTCCACTCACACACAACACAGTCCACTCAAACAACACAGTCCACGCAGACACAACACAGTCCACTCAGACACAACACAATCCACTCACACACAACACAGTCCACTCAGACACAACACAGTCCACTCAGAAACAACACAGTCCACTCACACACAACACAGTCCACACAGGCACAACACAGTCCACTCACACAACACAGTCCACTCAGACACAACACAGTCCACTCACACACAACACAGTCCACTCAAACAACACAGTCCACGCAGACACAACACAGTCCACTCAGACACAACACAATCCACTCACACACAACACAGTCCACTCAGACACAACACAACACACACAGACACAACACAGTCCACTCAGACACAACACAGTCCGCTCATACACAACACAGTCCACTCACACACAACACAGTCCACTCAGACACAACACAGTCCACTCACACACAACACAGTCCACTCACACACAACACAGTCCACTCACACACAACACAGTCCACGCAGACACAACACACACAGACACAACACAGTTCACGCAGACACAACACAGTCCACTCACACACAACACAGCCCACTCAGACACAACACACACAGACACAACACACACAAACATAACACACACAGACACAACACAGTCCACTCAGACACAACACACAGACACAACACACACAACACAGTCCACTCACACACAACACAGTCCACTCAGACACAACACACACAGACACAACACAGTCCACACAGATGAACTCCGTGCACGTGGCCGTGAAGAACCCTCAGCGCGTCACCACAGGAGCCGGGCAGTGAACGAATGCTGGCGACAGAACCACACGCACCACGGCCACCACCAACATCCAGCACAACCACACACCACTCACCTGGGGTATCCCCTTGACATCCCCACAGGTGTCCACAGGTATCCCCTGAATACCTCAACAGGTGTCCCCTGAATACCTCAACAGGTGTCCACAGGTGTCCCCTAAGTACCTTAACAGGTGTCCCCTGAGTACCTCAACAGGTGTCCCCTAAGTACCTCAACAGGTGTCCCCTGAGTACCTCAACAGGTGTCCCCTGAATACCTCAACAGGTGTCCCCTGAGTACATCAACAGGTGTCCCCTGAATACCTCAACAGGTGTCCCCTGAATACCTCAACAGGTGTCCCCTGAGTACATCAACAGGTGTCCCCTGAATACCTCAACAGGTGTCCCCTGAGTACCTCAACAGGTGTCCCCTGAATACCTCAACAGGTGTCCACAGGTGTCCCCTGAATACCTTAACAGGTGTCCCCTGAGTACCTCAACAGGTGTCCCCTGAGTACCTCAACAGGTGTCCACAGGTGTCCCCTGAGTCTCCCTGCTCCCGCCTCGCAGCTCTGCGCGGGGTCTCTCGCCGCGGAGAGGCCGCGCCCCGAAACTCCTCCCCGTGTACTCTCACCACTCACCGTGTACTCTCACCACTCACCGTGTACTCTCACCACTCACCGTGTACTCTCACCACTCACCGTGTACTCTCACCGTGTACTCTCACCACTCACCGTGTACTCTCACTACTCACCGTGTACTCTCACCACTCACCGTGTACTCTCACCGTGTACTCTCACCACTGACCGTGTACTCTCACTGTGTACTCTCACTACTCACTGTCTACTCTCACTACTCACCGTGTACTCTCACCACTCACCGTGTGCTCTCACCGTGTACTCTCACCACTCACCGTGTACTCTCACTACTCACCGTGTACTCTCACTACTCACCGTGTACTCTCACCACTCACCGTGTACTCTCACCGTGTACTCTCACCACTCACCGTGTACTCTCACCACTCACCGTGTACTCTCACCGTGTACTCTCACTGTGTACTCTCACCACTCACCGTGTACTCTCACCGTGTACTCTCACCACTCCCCGTGTACTCTCACCACTCACCGTGTACTCTCACTGTGTACTCTCACTACTCACCGTGTATTCTCACTCCTCACCGTGTACTCTCACCACTCACCGTGTACTCTCACTGCTCACCGTGTACTCTCACTGCTCACCGTGTACTCTCACTGCTCACCATGTACTCTCACTGCTCACCGTGTACTCTCACCGCTCACCGTGTACTCTCACTACTCACCGTGTACTCTCACTACTCACCGTGTACTCTCACTACTCACCGTGTACTCTCACTACATGACCCCACATGAAGAACGGACGTCAGTATTTTAACCAATTGTCTTTTTTCGCGAGGTATCCTAACGAGCTCAGTCACTGCAAGCGAATACAAAAGCGAAGGGACGCTCTCTGCACGAGTCGCGTTATTTGTTCTCGCTCGCTGGCCACTCTTGGGAACCCACATTGTTTACCATCAACGAGTTTAGAAATTTATTTAATATCGTTCTAGGTTACCATATGGATTCATATTGAATCGTAGTTATTTTATAGTGGCAGATTCATACGTGATTATTCACCAATGACTCGGAAATGTCACACTTCACGTAACGTCTTCCCTGGGACATGGTTACCACGGACCCCTGGTTGAGGACCACTGGGATCGAGTGTTTCCCCCTTGCACGGCGCTTGTGCACGTCAAGAGAGTGTCGAAGGCTCGCTGGCAGGTCACGGGCTCACGGCACAGATCGAGGTGCCATGGGCGGTGAACTGAGACGACTGGCAGATGCAGCGACTGTGCAAACATGCAGTAGCGTCCTTGACGAGCCTCCTCCACAGAGGCCGATCTTGACACCGCTGGTACCGGACATCGACACTTGCACCAAGCACCACGTAACCTCAACCTCGTCCACTACCATGGCGAACTTCTTATTCTCACCACACGGACCGTGCCAGCGTCGTGGCACGGGGCTCGCGCGCGCCTCTGAAGGTCGCTCAAAAATGTGACGGTGATGCCACCTACAGGGCGACCAGTGACGCCAGCTCACAGCCCTGCACCACACACACCACAGCCCTGCAACCACACACACCACAGCCCTGCACCACACACATCACAGCCCTGTACCACACACACACACCACAGCCCTGCACCAGACACACCACAGCCCTGCACCACACCACAGCCCTGCACCACACACACACCACAGCCCTGCACCATACACAACCACAGCCCTGCACCAGACACACCACAGCCCTGCACCACACACACACCACAGCCCTGCACCACACACACACACCACAGCCCTGCACCACACACACACACCACAGCCCTGCACCAGACACACCACAGCCCTGCACCAGACACACCACAGCCCTGCACCACACACACACCACAGCCCTGCACCACACACACACACACCACAGCCCAGAACCACACACACACACCACAGCCCTGCACCAGACACACCACAGCCCTGCACCACACCACAGCCCTGCACCACACACACACCACAGCCCTGCACCACACACACACACACACACCACAGCCCTGCACCACACACACACACACCACAGCCCTGCACCACACCACAGCCCTGCACCACACCACAGCCCTGCACCACACCACAGCCCTGAACCACACCACAGCCCTGCACCACACACACACCACAGCCCTGCACCACACCACAGCCCTGCACCACACCACAGCCCTGCCCCACACCACAGCCCTGCACCACACACACACCATAGCCCTGCACCACACTACAGCCCTGCACCACACCACAGCCCTGCACCACACCCCAGCCCTGCACCACACCACAGCCCTGCACCACACCACAGCCCTGCACCACACACACACCACAGCCCTGCACCACACCACAGCCCTGCACCACACCACAGCCCTGCACCACACCACAGCCCTGCACCACACCACAGCCCTGCACCACACACACACCACAGCCCTGCACCACACCACAGCCCTGCACCACACACACACCACAGCCCTGCACCACACACACACCACAGCCCTGCACCACACACACACCACAGCCCTGCACCACACCACAGCCCTGCACCACACACACACCACAGCCCTGCACCACACCACAGCCCTGCACCACACACACACCACAGCCCTGCACCACACACACCACAGCCCTGCACCACACCACAGCCCTGCACCACACACACACCACACCACAGCCCTGCACCACACACACCACAGCCCTGCACCACACCACAGCCCTGCACCACACACACACCACACCACAGCCCTGCACCACACACACCACAGCCCTGCACCACACCACAGCCCTGCACCACACACACACCACACCACAGCCCTGCACCACACACACCACAGCCCTGCACCACACCACAGCCCTGCATCACACACACACCACAGCCCTGCACCACACACACACCACAGCCCTGCACCACACACACACCACAGCCCTGCACCACACACACCACAGCCCTGCAACCACATCCGGGCCTGCACCACACAGCTCTGCATCACACAACCCTGCATCAAACAACCCTGCATCACACACAACCCTGCATCACACAAACCTGCCACACACAACCCTGCCACACACAACCCTGCCACACACAACTCTGCCACACACAACCCTGCCACACACAACCCTGCATCACACAACCCTGCACCACACAGCTCTGCATCACACAACCCTGCATCACACAACCCTGCATCACACAACCCTGCATCACACAACCCTGCCACACACAATCCTGCCACACACAACCCTGCCACACACAGCCCTGCATCATACAACCCTGCATCACACAACCCTGCCACACACAAACCTGCCACACACAGCCCTGCATCACACAAACCTGCCACACACAACCCTGCATCACACAACCCTGCATCACACAAACCTGCCACACACAATCCTGCCACACACAACCCTGCCACACACAGCCCTGCATCATACAACCCTGCATCACACAACCCTGCCACACACAACCCTGCCACACAGAACCCTGCCACACACAACCCTGCATCACACAACCCTGCATCACACACAACCTGCCACACACAACCCTGCATCACACAACCCTGCATCACACAACCCTGCCACACACAACCCTGCATCACACACAACCTGCCACACACAACCCTGCATCACACAACCCTGCCACACACAACCCTGCATCACACACAACCTGCCACACACAACCCTGCATCACACAAACCTGCCACACACAACCTGCCACACACAACCCTGCATCACACATAGTCCTGCATCACACACAGTCCTGCATCACACATAGTCCTGCATCACACATAGTCCTGCATCACACATAGTCCAGCATCACACAGCAATATCGTTCAGGAGTTGAACACAAATATCGAGACGTGCGAGCCACGAGGGGGCTTCAGCAGAGACTTCGTGTCGTTTTCTGTTCCTCTGTTGAAGAAGCGCAGACCACAGTCATTTACTATATGGTCAACATTGTGGGTTGCGTGGCCACAATCACACTCCTGCACTGTGGCGTGTCTTTATTTGTCTATTCATGGACGTGAATATGCGCATCGGCCTGTTGATGATGTTGTGATGGAGTTGATGGTTACTCCCGTGCCTTCGAGGAGGAGTTTCTAGTCCAGGAGGTGTGCGTTGATGTTTGGGTCTCGAATGAGGAGATGGGTTCTATTAGTCTGGACCTGCGCGTTGGTTCACTCGGCTCGCACAGCAACAACAGAAGCAGCCTTCTTGAAGTGACGTGCGGCGGATGAGGAAGCAACGGATCCACACCCACCCCGAGACAGCTCAGCACTCACCCCGAGACAGCTCAGCACTCACCCCGAGACAGCTCAGCACACGCCTCCACTCTCACACTGGAGACGAGAGTTTTGATTTTATTTTATTTGTTACGCGGATGATCCCATTTGGCCAGTTGCCCGGCTATTTTTACGCAGGAGATCCGTGGTGCCGTGAGCACAGCAGCAACATAAAAACGTAATTACTGTACCTGCAGTTGCAGAAAAGGAGGACAAAGTCCTGCAGGTTTATTGCACAACGAGCACACGAGGTGCAGTCGAGCATTCAACTGCGGTACAAGAGAGTCGCGCGTGACGCAGGAGAGTTGGGGGAGAGGCGGCCCAGCGCGGCTCTGCGGAGCGGGCGAGGGGAGTGCGCGACCACCAGGTGAGGAGGGCCGCTGTGGGTCAGGGCGAAGTTGGTCACTTGGCCGGGCTGTGTGTGTGTGTGGTAGTGTTGTGTGTGTGTGGTAGTGCTGTGTGTGTGTGTGGTAGTGCTGTGTGTGTGTGGTAGGGCTGTGTGTGTGTGTGGTAGTGATGTGTGTGTGTGTGGTAGGACTGTGTGTGTGTGTGGTAGGGTTGCGTGTGTGGTAGTGATGTGTGTGTGGTAGGGCTGTGTGTGTGTGGTAGTGCTGTGTGCGTGTGTGTGTGGTAGTGCTGTGTGTGTGTGTGGTAGTGCTGTGTGTGTGGTAGGGCTGTGTGTGTGTGGTAGGGCTGTGTGTGTGTGGTAGTGCTGTGTGTGTGGTAGTGCTGTGTGTGTGTGTGGTAGGGCTGTGTGTGTGTGGTAGTGCTGTGTGTGTGTGTGGTAGTGATGTGTGTATGGTAGGGCTGTGTGTGTGTGTGTGGTAGTGCTGTGTGTGTGTGTGGTAGGGCTGTGTGTGTGTGTGTGGTAATGCTGTGTGTGTGTGTGGTAGGGCTGTATGTGTGTGTGGTAGGGCTGTGTGTGTGTGGTAGTGCTGTGTGTGTGTGGTAGTGCTGTGTGTGTGGTAGTGCTGTGTGTGTGGTAGTGCTGTGTGTGGTAGTGCTGTGTGTGTGTGTGGTAGTGATGTGTGTGTGTGTGGTAGTGCTGTGTGTGTGTGGTAGTGCTGTGTGTGTGTGTGGTAGGGCTGTGTGTGTGTGTGGTAGGACTGTGTGTGTGTGGTAGGACTGTGTGTGTGTGCGGTAGGACTGTGTGTGTGTGTGCGGTAGGGCTGTGTGTGTGTGTGGTAGGGCTGTGTGCGTGTGGTAGGGCTGTGTGCGTGTGGTAGGGCTGTGTGTGTGGTAGTGCTGTGTGTGTGTGTGGTAGGGCTGTGTGTGTGTGGTAGGGCTGTGTGTGTCGTAGTGCTGTATGTGTGTGGTAGTGCTGTGTGTGTGTGTGGTAGTGCTGTGTGTGTGTGTGGTAGTGCTGTGTGTGTGTGGTAGTGCTGTGTGTGTGGTAGTGCTGTGTGTGTGTGGTAGTGCTGTGTGTGTGTGGTAGTGCTGTGTGTGTGTGTGGTAGTGCTGTGTGTGTGTGGTAGTGCTGTGTGTGTGTGGTAGGGTTGTGTGTGTGTGGTAGTGCTGTGTGTGGTAGTGCTGTGTGTGTGTGGTAGGGCTGTGTGTGTGTGTGGTAGGGCTGTGTGTGTGTGGTAGTGCTGTGTGTGTGGCAGTGCTGTGTGTGTGTGTGGTAGGGCTGTGTGTGTGTGGTAGTGCTGTGTGTGTGTGTGTGGTAGTGATGTGTGTGTGGTAGGGCTGTGTGTGTGTGTGGTAGTGATGTGTGTGTGTGTGGTAGGGCTGTGTGTGGTAGTGCTGTGTGTGTGTGGTAGTGCTGTGTGTGTGGTAGTGCTGTGTGTGTGTGGTAGTGCTGTGTGTGTGTGTGTGGTAGTGCTGTGTGTGTGTGGTAGTGCTGTGTGTGTGTGGTAGTGCTGTGTGTGTGGTAGTGCTGTGTGTGTGTGGTAGTGCTGTGTGTGTGGTAGTGCTGTGTGTGTTGTAGTGCTGTGTGTGTGTGTGTGGTAGTGCTGTGTGTGTGTGTGTGGTAGTGCTGTGTGTGTGTGTGTGGTAGGGCTATTTGTGTGTATGTGGTAGTGCTGTGTGTGGTAGGGCTGTGTGTGTGTGTGGTAGTGCTATGTGTGTGTGGTAGTGCTGTGTGTGTGTGTAGTAGGGCTGTGTGTGTGTGGTAGGGCTGTGTGTGTGGTAGTGCTGTGTGTGCGGTAGGGCTGTGTGTGTGTGGTAGTGCTGTGTGTGTGTGTGGTAGTGCTGTGTGTGTGTGGTAGTGCTGTGTGTGTGTGGTAGTGCTGTGTGTGGTAGTGCTGTGTGTGGTAGTGCTGTGTGTGTGGTAGTGCTGTGTGTGTGTGGTAGTGCTGTGTGTGTGGTAGTGCTGTGTGTGTGTGGTAGTGCTGTGTGTGTGTGGTAGTGCTGTGTGTGTGTGGTAGTGCTGTGTGTGTGTGGTAGGGCTGTGTGTGTGGTAGTGCTGTGTGTGTGGTAGTGCTGTGTGTGTGGTAGTGCTGTGTGTGTGGTAGTGCTGTGTGTGTGTGTGGTAGGGCTGTGTGTGTGTGTGGTAGGACTATGTGTGTGTGGTAGGACTGTGTGTGTGTGCGGTAGGGCTGTGTGTGTGTGTGTGGTAGGGCTGTGTGTGTGTGGTAGGGCTGTGTGCGTGTGGTAGGGCTGTGTGTGTGGTAGTGCTGTGTGTGTGTGTGGTAGGGCTGTGTGTGTGTGGTAGGGCTGTGTGTGTCGTAGTGCTGTATGTGTGTGGTAGTGCTGTGTGTGTGTGTGTGGTAGTGCTGTGTGTGTGTGTGGTAGTGCTGTGTGTGTGGTAGTGCTGTGTGTGTGGTAGTGCTGTGTATGTGTGGTAGTGCTGTGTGGTAGTGCTGTGTGTGTGTGGTAGTGCTGTGTGTGTGTGGTAGGGTTGTGTGTGTGTGGTAGTGCTGTGTGTGTGTGGTAGTGCTGTGTGTGTGTGGTAGGGCTGTGTGTGTGTGGTAGTGCTGTGTGTGTGGTAGTGCTGTGTGTGTGTGTGGTAGGGCTGTGTGTGTGTGGTAGTGCTGTGTGTGTGTGTGTGGTAGTGATGTGTGTGTGGTAGGGCTGTGTGTGTGTGTGGTAGTGCTGTGTGTGTGTGTGTGGTAGTGCTGTGTGTGTGTGTGGTAGGGCTGTGTGTGTGTGTGTGGTAGTGCTGTGTGTGTGTGTGGTAGGGCTGTGTGTGTGTGGTAGTGCTGTGTGTGTGTGGTAGTGCTGTGTGTGTGTGGTAGTGCTGTGTGTGTGTGTGTGGTAGTGCTGTGTGTGTGTGGTAGTGCTGTGTGTGTGTGGTAGTGCTGTGTGTGTTTGTGTGGTAGTGCTGTGTGTGTTTGTGTGGTAGGGCTGTGTGTGTGTGGTAGTGCTGTGTGTATTTGTGTGGTAGGGCTGTGTGTGTGTGGTAGTGCTGTGTGTGTGTGGTAGTGCTGTGTGTGTGTGTGGTAGTGCTGTGTGTGTGTGTGGTAGTGCTGTGTGTGTTTGTGTGGTAGTGCTGTGTGTGTTTGTGTGGTAGGGCTGTGTGTGTGTGGTAGTGCTGTGTGTGTGTGGTAGTGCTGTGTGTGGTAGTGCTGTGTGTGTGTGTGGTAGTGCTGTGTGTGTGGTAGTGCTGTGTGTGTGGTAGTGCTGTGTGTGGTAGTGCTGTGTGTGTGTGGTAGTGCTGTGTGTGTTTGTGTGGTAGTGCTGTGTGTGTTTGTGTGGTAGGGCTGTGTGTGTGTGTGGTAGTGCTGTGTGTGTGTGTGGTAGTGCTGTGTGTGTGGTAGTGCTGTGTGTGTGTGTGGTAGTGCTGTGTGTGTGTGTGGTAGTGTTGTGTGTGTGTGTGGTAGTGCTGTGTGTGTGTGTGGTAGGGCTGTGTGTGTGGTAGTGCTGTGTGTGTGTGTGGTAGGGCTGTGTGTGTGTGTGTGTGGTAGTGTTGTGTGTGTGTGGTAGGGCTGTGTGTGTGGCAGGCCCACGCGAGGGGTCGAGCCTTGGTCGAACTCTCCACATGACTGACGCGGCGTGAGGAGGCCCTCATCCAGTCAGATTCTGAATATATATAGAAAAACCAAAAACATAACAGGTGATATGACATGAATGTGTTGTTTGTACTTTAAAATTATTCAAATACTACATTTTATCGGTCTCTCGACATTACAAGTGAACGTTTTTCTTATTCCACGGCCGATCAGTCGGTAACATGTGGCAGTCCTGTGAAACGTGGCAAAAAATCATTGCCGACAATCATGCAGAGGAGATGCTCGCCATGGACGGGACGCGTGGTGTAGGGTGGAGGTGGCCAGGTGGTGCTCGAGACGGGCAGAGTGGCCAGCGAAGGCCTCTTCAGTTGTCACGTGCCAGGTCTCCTGCCGCGTGTGTGCTGCCTGTATCGCTCTACTGAGCCACGTGACGATACACGGATGTCACAGCTAACCTCGACAGCAGTGGCAGCCAACAAGAGGAGAGGTACCTCGAGGTGGTCAGAAACTCGAGCGAAGACCTGAAGCCAGATGGTGGAAGACGTCACGTGCCGACGGAGATATTGTGATGATTTAAAAAATACGTATGGACTCTGGCATAGCAGAGCTATCTTGGTACAGCGAACTGCATCAAGTGTTTGTATTATTAATCCACTGGTACTGTTCATTTTATACGTCGGCCTTCACGACCAAAATTATTATTCATAATGGGTTTATTTTGGGTAATATCGCCGTGCCGGCGTGTCGATTTTCAACTACCGTTTATCCTCCTCCACCGACTGACAGGGCCAAGCAAATAAAGTTGTTACTTAATTGGCAAATGTGTTGATTGATTTGGTTTATCAACAAAACTTGATTGTTGAAAAGAAAGGAAATGTTTGTAATTTAATAAAAAAAATCTGGTCACAATGTTTCTCACTTTTAAACATTTGTTTTTGCTGATATAACAAATCAATTGCCATTTGACCATCATGTGACAACTTAATTTGATTGGATCTGTCGGTTGAAACTAAACATTGACATTCTACTTCCACGATCTACAACCCAAAATCAGCTAATTATGAATCGCAGTTGCTAAATGAGATCCTCCAGCCATTGAGCGGTCACGCTCTTGCCCATGTGGGCGAAACGTGCTCTTTAGTTGAGGTCTCTGCGTGCCATGTAGTTTGTGTTGTGACGCGTCGACTCAGCCTCAAACGAGTAAACATCGCCACTGGGGAGATAACAGGCGGCCACCTACCCCCTCGTGTGCCTTCATTGGTGCTCGCTAACAGCACTTGTCCCAAAGGTCTAAGGCTATACGGGGGATCTTTGTCGTGACACGTAAGCTTGTCTCTTTGAATTCTCCATTATAGACCAAGCATTTACACATTCCAGGTCACCTTTTCAGCTGTGATGCAGGGTACATAACTCTGTACATAGCTGTGTGCAGAACATAGACATTGCTTTAACAAATATGTACACATTCCTGTTGTATTTACAGCTAAACGTCAAACTAGTCTAAAAAAAACATTTGAAACATAGATTCGTGACAGTTAATTCCTTTGGTCCTTTCTGCATTCTGCTATTGGCGTTGCTTGGGTCAACAATCGAGTGTTTGTGGCGCATATCGTGACAAATATATGTAAATAATATATTCTATGCCCAGCAGAAAACGTAGAGATTCCAATGTGTGATGTGATTGGAATACATACTTTGCAGTTAAGGTATGTGGTATGTTCTACACTGCCTTGATGCCACTCGGTCTATACTCTGTACACTCAACAGATTTTATCAAGTGAATGGAGAGAAAAAGTTTGAGTGGTACTGGATAGAAACGAATTGCAGTATATATTTTAAATGTATTTACCAGTGAAACAAATTAGCATAATTCTGCAGATACTTGACTGTGAATGATTTCAACAGTACCATCATACAATTGTGAAGGTAAATGTACATTTTATCCTTGTCTTATTTTTTTTCTAAACGACCCAAAAGCCAAGTCAAATAGTGAGACAGACCCCCAACATTTCTGGGGGTCCATCTGTAACTTGCTGACCTGCCCCGACTGGACATCTGTGAACAAAAAGAGCTTCATAGCTCATCGGATTCCTCCTCCTGCAGCAGTCTGAATAAGAATTATAATTTTGATCCGTATAATGCATCAGAACAGAGATGTTTATCCTTGAGCCGCGCTATGCACCGTGGGTGGCCCGAGTCGCTCCGTGATCTCCCCCCATTCACACATCGCTGCCCACTCACAGTGCTGTGTCTGTGTGCAGGCTGCGCCAATGGACAGAGCGAGGCCCCCAGCCCCGTGGCTTTCCACTGTGTCCCTGAGGCTCTTCACATTGGTCGTGTCTGGCTCTGGTAAACTCCCCCCTCGCCTCCTCTACTGATTTCTTGCTGGAATCCTCTAATTACACAGCTTGACAGATGACACACCACAGACATGATCGTCTTCAGCTCTGATGTGGAAACCATCTTCAAACAGTATTTCAATGTCTGTTTGCAAAAACATTCCCGATAAGAGTCGGTGTATTTTGTACAGGCGACTTGTGTTTGCAGAATACATCATGTACAACAGCTGTTCATCAGTCCACTTCTGGATGATGGCCACCTCACGCCGTCTGGCTCAGGGGGGTCGTAAAGGTTTGTAAAGACAAGGAGCCTAGACCTGGTGGCATAGATGCGCAGTACAACAATATACTATCTTGCACTGTGTTCTGCTACCCACGACAGAGTACTGTACCGTGACAGTTATTTGGTCACAGTTTGGTTTTCTTCATATTACGTCGTGTTTGCTAAAGTCGGCACTGTTTGTAATGCACTGCCTATCACGAACAACGGAACAATCTCAACAGAGTAGTAATAGGTTGGAACAAACGTGACTCGTGTGATGAGTGGCCCCAGTAAGTTCACCAACACTGGTCACTGTTTCACCAACATTGGCGCAAAGGCTGCAAGTTATCGAGATCACCAGCTTCTATAAAAACAACATTCACAATTGTCTCACGCATCTTATGAAGGGCGTTTGAGTACAATTCCCATCAATACTATCAGTAAAACAAATACGTAACGACTGATTCCTATGGAGCGGTCTGCCTGAGCATCATATTTTGTTCGTAATATATCAATAATGCCCTTGATCCAGGAACTGTTCACCGAGTCTCAATGCTCATTTCCAGCAGCGTGCCGCTGCACCGAGACGCTGGTTCAGTTCCAAGTTTGCGCGGTTAAATCCCACACACATTGGTCGCCAGAGAGAGGGGATGGTGAGTGCAGGAACATGGGCGCTGGTAAGCCCCCTCTATTTTAGAAAATCGCCCTGTTGTCGTCATCATAATTCACAGTCGACCATCCCCAACATGATTTTGCGCTTCGCTCTTTGCGTATTGCACAAACCAGCTTCAGTTGTAGCCTAGCACACGCGCACACGCGCGCGCTTGCACGGCAACCGTGGCTCAGAACCAGTTTGGCCGCAGTTGCCCGCTTACTTTGTGTGCAGAACGCTGCCTCCAAAGCGATGTGGTCCGTCTCGTCTCCTGGGCATTTGGATGTTTGTACAGTGGCCAGCAACGGATTGTTGTACGCTGCTCGCTTTGTGGCCAGCCTAGTTACTTGCTACGCAGTGTGTACAGACACATTGACATGTGTACACATCTACACACGGATGCAGGCACTTGTGGGTTTTATGAGCGCTGCCATTGATATTTTACTAATTCACTTCATCCGCCGTTTAAAAATCGTGGCTTGTGGATTGGTAAAATAGAGAGAGAGGTTTCCTGGACAAAGTTGACAATCCACATATATACTTGTATGTTAAGATAACTAACGCAGGGTTCATTATAACAAATTTACAATCCACTTTAGACAGTTTATATTAATCTAGTATTGCGTATGATGGCAGTATGCTCATGAGCTAAATGCCAGTGTCGAGGTCTGCTCGCCACGAGAGGGGCTTGAGCAGAGAGTTCGTGTCGTTGTGCTATGCCTCCATAGAAGCACAAGTCACGATGTAGGTCGTCGTTTGGTTTGCATGGCCTTTCATTTTCCATTCGTGAAGACGTGCACATCGGTCTGTTGACGTTCCGATGCTGTTGATGATACAACAGTGTATTCAAGGAATGGTAAAGTCAGGAGATGCGATGTTTGGGTCTCGATTGAGGTGTTTATTGATAAAAGTATAACTAACTTTTAGTGGTGGAATGTTTGGGGCTCAAGGATTTAAACTTGTCTCATGGTTGTTATTGTGTGTCTTGCATCACACTGGGATTTTTGCACACAGCGTTGTAATACGGTGTTTTTTTTTTCTGGAAGATTTGCTGGTTTGTCCAGGATGTTTCTGTTGCGCGTCATCGCTTTAAGATGTTCTTTGTTCATATTTTGTTTGTTGCGGTTGCACCCGACTCAAGAGCCGCGTAGCTCACAGGGTTATACCTAATACATGAAACTTGAAGTTTGTTGCTATTCTGTACCAAGAGCTCAATGCTTTGCCTAAGTGCCCGAACAGCCACATGTCTACTTACAAATAGAAACAAATCTTTAACCCACTGTGCACCATAATCACTCCCGTTTATTTAGCTACACCAGATGTGAGAGGTGGTATAGTGGCTCACAGGTTAGCACCGCTGAGATCTTCCATTTGAATGCAGGTGGTTACCGATGATGCAACCTGCTTCTCCAGCGTAGTGACTCTATGGTCTCTGCCCAGTCAAACAATGATGACACAACACACGCCAAACAAAAGACATTCGTTGTTGCCCTTAATTTGACTGAATCCCAGCCCTTAAGGGGGGGGGGGGGACAAAATATTGTACTACTGTTTGTCAAGACTCAAAGTGGTAGTAATAATAATGGTTTCGTTTGTTGTTAATAGTTTTACCCAGCCGTGGGTTGGAAGTGCGCGCGCCAGGAGACGTGTTTGTCACAGCTGGAGCTGTGGCGACACTGAGCTGCACCTACCAGTGTGAGGCCCAGCAGCAGCTCATCACGGTGGTGGAGTGGTGGAGAATCGACCGCCCACAGCGTGCGAAGGCCAGTACGGTATCCCCAACTCGGCAGTCTGTGCACACAATGAAGCCAGTCGCGCATTCCGGAGGTCAACTGCAGTCATTGTCAGCCAGGGTCAACCCACGACTGCATGTCGGCCTCCCCAGACGGTCGTATGATAGAATTCTCCATCTGGCTCCAGAAAGTAGCCCATTTCATCTCATCATCTCCTCGTAGATGTCATTTTTTACTTGTTCCCGCCTTTGACCACCACTGTCGTTTGCCTTCATTTCCGCTATCCTATTTTCAGAACGTGCAAAATATCACGATTAATAATTGTGTGAAAACTCAGCTTGTCTGACTCCCCTCTCAATATGCATTTTGGGACTTTCTTCATGCAATCTCAGTGTGGCTGCTTTTGTAAATGGTTTTCACGATACCCATATGTGTTTATTTAGGCCTTGGTTTTTTAGATGGTGGATGTCTGCATGTATGTATGTTGGATTTAGTTTGCACCGTATGTAGCCGACAGTGCTAATCAGAGGTGACTGCATCAATGTGTACCGAGTCAAAGGATTTTCTATAGTTTACAAAGGTCTGGCACAACAGTCATGGCAATGCATTGCCCTTTTACAGAATCTGATTATATGTTTGTAGGTGGCTGCCATTGAGACTTCTCAGCTTCCTTGGCTGCGAGTGTTTCAATAAAACGTCCTTCTGTGTTTACAGATACTGACTATGGACTACTCCATCATAGCCCACGACCATCGCGCCGACTGGATAGGCAACATCACGTCCTGCAATGCCTCCATCTCCCTGCGGGACGTGCTGGTGTCCGACACTGGCACCTATCTCTGTGATGTGCTGCTTCTGCCCATATACTCAGAGGGCCAGGCCACCCTACAGCTCCACGTGTCGCCTTATGATGGTGGCTATTGCCTCAGAACACCTTGAACATCCACTGTTTGGAGATGACACATTTACATCTGTGTTGTGAGCTGTGCATCGTGATAATTATGTTGATGATGATGTTGAGGAAGTACAGAGAGCTATCCAGAATCTGAGACCAGGAAAAGCACTGGGCAGAGATGATCTCCAGCAAACTGCTCAAGGAGGGTTGCATTGTGTGCAGACTGCTCTATATGACATCACAACTATCTGGACCACAGGATGGGTTCTGCAGAAATGGAAGGATTCCTTGGTGGTCCCCACTTCAAGAAGGGGGACCGTGCTGATTGTAACAACTACTGGTGCATCTCTCTCAGTATGCCGTGAAAGATCCTAGCAAGAATTAGTAAAAATCGCCTTGCCAGGCACGCTGATTAGAGGCTTGCAAAGCCTCAATGTGGTATCAGGCTGGGGTTGTCCTGCACGGATGCCATATTAATTGTCCATCTACTACAGCTGAAGTGTAGATAATTTTAACAGGACCTGCATCTCTGCTTAGAAATTTACCTGGTCAAGGTCTAAGATGCCATCAATTCTTTGTAATTTCGGCGTCCATTACCTTCTGCTCACAATCATTAAGAACCTTTATGATGATGGGCAGGCCCAGGTAAAGCTGTGTGGCTAAGAGTCAGAGTCATTCCTTGTTCACCTTGGTGTGCAAGAGGGATGTCCTCTGGTCCCTACACTATTTAACATAATCTTTGACCACGTAGTTTGTGGCGCTTTACATATCTTTATCGGAGGAATTTCCATTTTCTACAGATAAAGTAATTTGGGAGTTATTTTTCAAATTCCGCCTATTTGGACCGTGACACCAGTACACAATAGCCGACATCATCATTACCATATTCTTGGTTCTTTCGGTAAAGTCACATAGAAGGGAATCCCTGCAGTCATGAAATCTTTGAATCAAAATAATCATTCCCCTTTTGTTGAGACTATAGCACAACCGTTTCGCAGCAGGGAGTCCTCACAGCTGTATTGACCTTTTGATTTCACATTTACGACCAGCAGGTTGGGAGACGAATCGGTATGCAGATTTAATTGACTTTAGCAAAGCTTTCAGACGAAGTCATACTTGTATCCATAATTGAACATGTGTAAGAGTTTTTAGGTGAAATTTAAAACTAAATCCAATCTTTTTATTCTATTTCCCTAACATGTCTGTATTTTTGTTTCTTCATATATTTGCAGTAAAAAAAAAATCCGATCTAATCCAGCCTCTGCCCAAGCCCACACCCAAGCCCCCGACTACGATAATTGTTGCCTTCGTTTTAGTTGTGATCATTATCACGGTTATTGTGGCTCGCTACTGGTTAAGGTAAGCCAAGCAATGGGGCAGGCATCATGAAGCAGTTCTAAAAAGTCTTTAGAATGCTTCCGTTGTTTGTCTGTATGTCTGGATGTGGATGTTGGGTCAAGTGCTGTTAGGGAGCACCTATGAAGGCCGGCACGGCACACGAGGGGGTGGGTGGCCAGCACACGCCCGGCCGCCTTTGTCTCCCAAGTGGTGATGTTTACACACTGCACCAAGTACTCATTTGAGGCTGAATCAAATAGGGAGTGGTCGTGTAGCGATTAGCGTGTTGTGCTACGAACCTGGCGACCTGTGGTCGATTCCCGCTCACTGCTAACACCAGTGACGATTATCTGAACTGGTTCTTGGCCTCCCCAGGTGAACACAAATGAGTACCTGGGGCAGTATGTAAGCTAATCTACCAGGTAAAGCCCACTGAATTATTCAGATTTTCTTCAGAGGTGAACTGGTCACGCAGGATAAGTCATTGAAGTGACTAATATCATATGTGGAAATTTATAGTAGCAACCAAATAATGTAAATGCATGTTTCTAAATGTAGAGGGCAAAACCGGAGGATCCGGATAAAAATCCACGCAACCACGGGGAGAGAAACACATATACAAGACCCATTTCTTTGCCTCAAAAACTTCCCTTACGTAAGTGCGCTGGTAGGCATGGGAAGTTATCCGATTATCATCGTGCCTCTAGTGCCTCCAGCACCGCTCCTTTTTCCGTAGCTGCACGCAGATTGTGTGGAGGTCTTCTGAGTACCGGGGTAGCGTTCGGTGTCATTGGCGCTGGGTTACAGTGCTCGACTCGCTCATCGGCAGTGTCGCCAAGAGGTGTCATGAGTGGCTGGCCTCCAAGGCCTGCTGGTATTTAACGGCTGAGCCGATGGGAAATCTCAGATAACCTCGTCTGTAGGATGGGGCTTCCCTCTCGTCCAGTGTAATCCCTCTTCTGATTGCCTGAATGTTATAAGTTGCATGCAATGCAATGTTTTGCATCTGTACCATGTCACTCATTTGCCCCAATATTTGATTCGTTTTTAAATCAGCCGAAAACTTTATTTCATTTAAATTCGGGCGATATGAATTGTTTAGAAATAAATTAGCGCAGCCAAATACACAGTTTTATGATGTGGCCCAGATGAATTGGCATACGGCATTATTGCAATACAACCACGCAATACAGAACACACCTCCAGCTTAAACATTCATCGAGACATGGGCAGTATGAATGGTTGCTGACATGCACATTGACCCTGCTCACAGTGATACTGATTTGACTGTTGTACAAACCTCAAATCAGAAGCTTACAACTTTAACAGATCGTCCGTGCTCTTTCTAACCAGGCCTAAGCCAAAGCCAACGGGTGAAAGCAGAAACATGTAAGTCTGATTCACGGAGTCTGAAGACCTGTGGTTATTGGTTGCTTCCTTGTGCGCGTTTGTGAGCTCACAATTCCTCCGCACCCATGAGAATAGTTATTTTGAGCACCTGAATGAGTTAAATGATTACATCACCCTGCTGCTCTATTTTAAGACCGGGAGCAAGTGGGGCTTTACTATTCTGGCGAATTGCCCGATGATGCTGGATGCAATTACCAGCGAAACGTCGTACTCAAACTGTAAATGTTGTGGATTCACTCTGCAACACACCGGTGGGCTAAAGTAGTGATCTATTTGTCTTTTATCAACGTGACACTTTTTGCTGATTGGCCGTGTCGGGTGGTGGAGGGTTACGACACATTTATAAATAACGCGATCTAACCCAAAAACCTATATTATGAATAATATTGGTCGCGAAAGCCTACGTGTTAAATTGAGATTTAACGTGTTCAAACACTATCAACTGTATCTGCACTGTCTAGTGTAGGTCGTACAGAACATCTCCCAGTGTATTACTCAGTGGTGTGTGCCGTCTATAGCCATGCTATAGCCATGTCATTGCCAAGGTCTGTAAGCCACTTTATCTGGACTAAAGGATTATGACATTTACTCATTATTGGTGTGGAGGTGCAAGCCGTGTTGGATACGAGACTTTACCTCTAACTTCGAGAAGAAAAAAAACTCAACGAGTCTGTCAATAACACTCCCCTAAAAGGAACAAATATATAAGAGGTGATGTTGCAGGTATCATGGTCCTTCTGGCATAACACAACTATCAGCAATTAATGCGTTTACTTCTAAACAAACGACCCTGTAGAGTTGGGGTGAAGACACGAAGACAAACACTAAACCAAACAACGCATCCACACTCTTGACACATTTGGCCATTGGCCGAAGTGAGCAGTGTATGTAGATTTTATTCTCAATCGCTTATTTTAAACACTAAAATAATCGCTAAAACTGATAGTTGTAAGAGTAATGAAGTCATAGGTATCATTTATTTTTTAAGTTTGCCATGATAATAAAATCTGTGGCTTGTCGAGTAGCCCTGACTTCACACTTCTTCCTGTGTTTCTCTCTCTCTAAAGTGGAGGGAGGAGAGTCAACCGTGCCCCTTGCGTGAATTCCAACCACGGATTCACAGTGCACGCAACCTCTCTTAGTAAATGTGGATGCAAGGAGTGCAAGAGTCTTCTCAAATACACACACAAGTAAGCTGTCTGCCTTCCACACATTCTGTTGTGAATACATCTTACACGTTATAAAGACTCCAACTTATTAGTGAACGCATTTCCTTATTTGTCAGAAGCAAGAATTAAATATTACCCACCAATAATGATTAATTTATTTAGAGAGATGAAATAAGATTTATGGTTTCACGCTTGTGGTTGTGTAAAGACCAGTTACAGTACTGCCACTCTTGCTAGAAATATATCCAGGTTCATGAGTTGTGCTCGAGATGCACATTGTCAGGATAATAATCAACGGCGCACACATGCATACGTGACACAGTTCTCAAACAGGACATGTGTTGAGGTGCAACTGACGACGCTGACACGGCTCTTGAGTAGGGGCGGATGCCAAGGTTTATTTAGGGATACTGTCGGTAACTTATTAAAGGCTTACGCCTAACATGTGACAACCCTAATATCTCCCCCAAGAGAAAGGGTACTGGGAGGTCCCTAGCTCCACCCAGGCTATACGTGATCTTCCCCCAGCACCGACCGAGGGATCATCCAACTCGGTCGGCCGGGTGAAGTTTCACTCTCGCATGGTGCTGATTCCCCCTACCCTGGATCCCGACTCCCTAACGCTCTCCGTTCCTGGCCCTTCGCGACGACCCGCTCTACGTCACGGGTTCCCCCTTATATCCCCGTAACCTGACGTCATCCATTCTCACCCCCCTGAGTGACATGACGTCCTCCACTATTCGGCTACGCATGTGTGTATGCTTACGGTGGGTCTGCGGGAAAGCGAGGGGCTCGCAATCAGAAGGTCGCAAGTTCGAATCTTAATTTTGGAATTGACTCAACCCATCGTATCTCCAGGTTTCATAAAATAAGTACTACCTTGTACAACTTTGTGGGCAAGTCAGTAGTGCTTGTCCTGGTGAGAGACTCAGTCCTGCAATAGGATTGTAGAACTTCCACTACTGGCTCAAGACTTTAAACAGAATGAGCACTGCTTCAATGCTCATTTGAACAATAAGCCACACATATGACTTTTAACTTGCGCATGTATCGATGGTTCAATTTTAATGTACAATTATGTTGAGGGACTGTTCTTGTCTTGGTGTTTTGCTACCTGCCCAAGCTGCATTTAGTATTGAAAAATCGGCAAGAATGTACGTATATTCTTGGGTCTTTTGGTAAAGTCACGTAGATAGGTTCACTGAAAATAACAGCAGCTTTCCCGCTATTTTTTCCTCCTGATGACGATTGCTTGTGTTGCCATCGAAACGTCGTAGTTTTTTCGTTATTTTTTGTTATTTTCTTTGAACCTATCTACGTGGCTTTACCGAAAGACCCAAGAATATTAATTCCTGCAGTCACGAAAACTTTCAGCCAAGATTTAAGAATGTATGTACTCATGCAATTTGTAGTTATATACTTTATTCATTTTTATTTACTTACTTTTAGTGACTTTCTTACCCTTTCTATACTTTGCACTCCTATCGTTTTTTGTATTGTTTGTTGTTTTAATTTGGTGACCCGCCCTCCTAGACATCTGTTAAAAAGAGCTTCATAGCTCATCGAATACCTCCTCCAGTCTAAATAAAGATTCTGATTTTGAATTGGACTTGTTGAGTATATTAACTGTGATTTACACAATCGGTATTTGTTTACCCTTATCTTTTGCAGTCTTCAGCAAGAGGACATGGCTTCAGCCGTGCAGGTAACCGTCGGAGCTTGTTTAATGTGCTGAGTGAAAGTTGTTGATACAGAAACGACCATCCAGTTCTTACACAGCGCAGAACATTTTCAAAACAAAAAGCACAAATCATCACCACATTCGCCGCTGTTACTGACTTAGAGCAGACAAATACACAGAAGGCTGATGTCGCAGGCGATGCCACTTCTGCAGAGCTCAGAGAGAGTAGCTATTTTTAGTTAATTAAAGCTGCAATCTGTAATTTAGAATCACAATGCCAACGATTTACCGAGTAAAGCCTCAAAGTTGTAGAAGTAACCTAACCTGAGTGTTAGTAGACACCCCACGCATAAGAGGGGAATTCTCACAGTTTCCACACAGATGGATTCAATCCACAAACGCAACCCAGTTAGTGGACCAAGTCCATCCGTGGACCGCGCACAGTGCTGTACCGGCACTCCTGGGGCCTGGTAGCCCTTGGGGATGGTTCTTCGGAATCACTGTGGAATTGTTCGACAGCTGATATGTCAACAGTCTCCTGTAGAATATTATGCAGCAAACAAACATGATTGGCATTGGAGTGAAAGTGGGGGGGGGGGGGGGGGTAAATAAAAATAAACAGACGGCAAGGGATCTGAAACCACGAAAAGTGTGTTGGTAAAGGAAAGGTGTGAAAGGATAGGAAAATACCAACAAATATAGAATGCACAGAACCCTCTAAAACAGAAGTCCCCAACCTTTTTGGCACAAGGGACCGGTTTTGTGGAAGACAGACCGGGCGGGGGGGGGGGTCATCATTGCGTCTTTGCCCCTTTTCAAAGAAGCTCTCCAGCGACGTTTGTTTTTTACTCATTGTGGCTACTAGGGGTCAGCTTGTGGGCTTACTCATTGTGGCTACTAGGGGTCAGCTTGTGGGCTTACTCATTGTGGCTACTAGGGGTTAGAGCTTGTGGGCTTACTCATTGTGGCTACTAGGGGTCAGCTTGTGGGCTTACTCATTGTGGCTACTAGGGGTCAGCTTGTGGGCTTACTCATTGTGGCTACTAGGGGTCAGCTTGTGGGCTTACTCATTGTGGCTACTAGGGGTCAGCTTGTGGGCTTACTCATTGTGGCTACTAGGGGTTAGAGCTTGTGGGCTTACTCATTGTGGCTACTAGGGGTCAGCTTGTGGGCTTGCTCATTGTGGCTACTAGGGGTCAGCTTGTGGGCTTACTCATTGTGGCTACTAGGGGTCAGCTTGTGGGCTTACTCATTGTGGCTACTAGGGGTCAGCTTGTGGGCTTACTCATTGTGGCTACTAGGGGTTAGAGCTTGTGGGCTTACTCATTGTGGCTACTAGGGGTCAGCTTGTTGGCTTACTCATTGTGGCTACTAGGGGTTAGAGCTTGTGGGCTTACTCATTGTGGCTACTAGGGGTCAGCTTGTGGGCTTGCTCATTGTGGCTACTAGGGGTCAGCTTGTGGGCTTACTCATTGTGGCTACTAGGGGTCAGCTTGTGGGCTTACTCATTGTGGCTACTAGGGGGTTAGAGCTTGTGGGCTTACCAACACCACGTGACTGAGTGCACGGTGCGGGAAAGAGGCGCGGATGGAAGTGGTAAATAATGAAATAATGAGTTGGTGGGCCACGCGCGGACTCACCGCTCTCACCTCCTGCTGTGTGGCCCGGTTCCTGCTGTAAAACCATTAGCAAACAAAATAGAGAACATGTCACAAACATTCAAGGTGTCATAAATGCAATGGAAGCATGAATTCAGTAAACAGGAAGTTTATGATTTGTACATCAAAAACAGACAATGAGAGAGTTGGGAAAGTAGTGGAGGGATTGTTTGTGTGGATCTCTCTCAAGTGAAGAGGATTTCCAAATGCCACTGCTGAAGAATCAACATCAGGATCTTTATTTAGACTGCAGGAGAAATCCGATGAGCCATGAAGCTTTTTTTCACAGATGTCCAGTTGGAACGGGTCAGAAAGTTACAACAACAATACAAAAACAAATACAAATGAACACTTTATTAAGTGGTTATTGTTAACGTTTTAGTTATTTCATAATCCTTCTCAAATAACATACATCCGAGTTAAATATCCGCAGTCGGACTTGTAAATAGTTGGTGTGTGAACAGCAGACGTTGCGCTGTTTGTTAGAGACACGATCCCAAAGCAGTTGCATACGGCCTGTGTATTTTTTGTGGTTACTTTTCTTTAAAGTTCAATATTATTATGTTGCAGATTGGGGATGAAGACAGTGGTAAGTTGTTTCCATTCAACGTGACTTTACCGAAAGAGCTAAGAATTTGAACACTACTATTAAAAAGTTGCAGGAATTTTTCAGAACGGGTTAAATGGGAGCAAGTATTCCTTGCCAAGATTTCTTGAACTCCTGCTAACCCCTCCTCCATCCCCTTTTCTTGCTTCCTTCACTTGAATGTTCAGTCGTGAAGAGATCGTAATGTGAAGGGTGACCTTATTGTAGCAGTGGGCATCCCATTACAATTAATGGTAACAAAAAATCCTCTACGTCACCTGCTGCTCCACGTGAGGTATATTTCCATCCCAGTGAGTTGTCAACTATTCTGAGGATTATTGAACAATCTCAGATGTAAGACGCACCCCAAACTTGTTTTACTAACGTGGGGAAAGAGTGAAACATATAATCCAAATGATATAGTACAGCAATTATTAAATGTACCTTTAACCATTCAGGACATTGTTTAAAACTCCATAGCTCTGGTTTTAAAGCCTGCGTCTTGCTACAATGATGCTGCCGATAACTGACTTTGGCACTCCATCTCTCACAACCGCTGCCACTGGCCTGCAGAAGATTCTGATGGAGCGTCTGTTGCTAATGTCTTAATATTTACATGGAACCTCCCATTCAGTTTGCCACAATGCGCCCTGTGGCAGTAGAGCCCAGGTAGAAGCTGTCTTTGTGAGGCAAACGTTGGACCCAGCTCGGGCCTACAAGTGGGCATCAGTCTGCCAGTTTAATCACAGGCAGCTGCCTGGATTCAAACCCAGGCAACAGCAATGTTGGCTCAGCACTCTGACCTTGGAGCCACCAGGTCATCTCGACCACTATACGTGCCTGGCCACTGGCTCCTCGGCAGTTGGTAAACGCCTCTCGTTGCTGTGTGTGTACACGTTGATGCGTGGACACTCACATTTGCTTTCGTGCATTGTTTTGTGTAGCCCTCAAGTTTCTCCACTTCAGGCTGAAGAAGCAACCCGAAGAGGAGGACTCCCTCAACAGGAGCTGGACCTGCACCATGTGAGGGGAGGGCGTGACCTTCACGAGCTTCTCACTGTTCCCCGCCTCCCCGCCTAGGCTGGGGCTGATCTCACCAAAGACAAAGATCCTCCATATAACCTTAAAAGACTGTTGGGGCAAGTGCTGTAAGCGAGCAGCTATGAAGGCCGGCACGGCACACAAGGGGGTGGGCGGCCAGCATCGCGACCGACCGCCTTTGTCTTCCTAGTGGCCATGTTTATGCACTGGACCAGGTGCTTATTTGAGGCCGAGTCGACTTAGGGGTTCAGATAATCATCACATTGGGTTTGGTGGCTGTGAGTGGGAATCGAACTCTGGTTTCCGGGTTCCTAGCGTAGCGTACTAACCACGACACTACCGCACGCACACGTAAGCGTGGCAGATGACCGCCGCCTTTGTAAGATGACAGCTGATAAGCACCCCATTTTGTTTACAAGTCAGTTATTTTCTGGTCAAATGAACATCTGCACGTTGAAGTCCTGAAAACACTGGTCGAAATTCCACATTCCTATGACAGGGGCGAGTGTCTCCTCACACTCCGCACCTGCGAATGCCCACACCTCCACTTAGCACGGTTGGCTACGTACGGTGCGAAAGAAGTTCAATATAAATATTCACATGTTCTTTAATCTACGTGTTAAGATTCTAGCAGGTCATTCAATTAATCCTTTACAATTCGGAGTGTAAATAAAACTACACAAAGCTCTAATATCAGTAAAATATTTGTACCAAATGTGACATTTCTCTTAAACGAACACCATTCAATTCGGCCTTTTTAAAATCTTAATTTCATTTTATACAGCGGAGTCATTGATGCTAATTGCATTTCACAACACTATACAATAACTTTATACATAATCACATGAAGGACTAAATCCTATTTGTAACAATTAAATAAATGAAAACCCTCAGAAAAAAGTATTAATTAAAATGAATAAACAAACCCATAAGTGGCATAAAACTTTTATACTGAAACAGCCTACAATAATATTTTCCTGAGGCCTCATTTACCATCAATAATTACTGTTCTCTTTGGTAGTTTGGATATTCCAAACCATTTCCTAATTTATTCACACGTTGCCATACACCCAAAATTACATCGAAACCAATCTGGGTTCCGAAAAAAATACAGCACCACATCTGCTGCATTATACTCTCTGAATCACGTTTACAGTGGCCTTGATAATAAGCAGTACTGCGCCTGTCTTTTTCTTGACTTGTTCAAAGCCTTTGATACAGTGGACCGCAACACCCTGCTTAGTAAACTAAGTTGCCTCCATTTCTCCAAACACGCAGGGAATGGTTAAAAAGTTACCTCTCTTCTCGCACCCAAACTGTATTCACAGATGGTTGGAGGTCAAACAGTGTTAAGATAACAAAAGGCGTTCCACTGGGTTCCATCATCGGCCCCCTCTTGTTCTCACTTTATGTCAATGACTTGGGCACTGACCTGGATCATTCCAGGGTAAATCTCTTTGCAGATGACACGATACTGATTACTGCTGGCCGCTCTCCGGATCACGTAATTGCTAAGCTCCAGGGTGATTTCAACAAACTACAACATCAGCTAGTTGTTCTTAAACTAGTCCTGAATACCTCCAAAACCAAGGTGCTATGCTTCTCAACAGGACGAAAGCAGGAAGTTATTTTTCCCCAATTATATTCCTTAAATAATCATCAAATAGAGCAAGTCAAGATCTATAAATATCTTGGGGTCATGTTTGATTCAAAACTGATTTTTCAAGATCACATTCATTATATTGGTAGACACAATAAAAAATTGGTTTTCTGTATCGACACAAGCACTGCTTCCCCACTATGTTCCGCTTGGAATTGATAAAAGCTACCATACTGCCTCTACTTGATAACTGTGACATCGTATATAAATCAGCCCCCAGTACTATACTGAATAAGCTTGACTCAATTTATCATTCGGCCTTAAGATTTGCATTGAACTGCCCATATAGGACCCACCACTCCGATCTCTCCATTGGGTCAAACTTAACTTCTCTTAATGATTGACGGCTTGTGCATCAGATATTATTTATTCACGAATTAGTTACAAAAAAATCAGCAGACTACCTGCTGGATCTCCTCACTGTTTCGAAGAACAAACATAACCTAAGGTCCTCGCTCATTTACCAGTTTCACATTCCTTATTGCCGTACAAATACTGGAGGAAGGGCCTTTTCTATTGATGCCCCCAGGGTCTGGAATGCTATCACCAATAAACTGCAACTTGTATCACTACCTGTGAGATCTTCACTCAAAACTGCTCTAGAGTTGTACACCCCGAGCTGCCACTGCTATTCAGAATGGCCTGAAATCAAATGTATCGTTCCGGATGAGCGCTGCAAAGTATGATCTTGAGTTTTGATTATAGTGTGCTGATCTTTAAAGATGTATTGAAAATGTTTGATACTGCTACTGATACTCCTGCTGTTATGGAGTGACTCATGCAGCCAGCTGTGGCTGCAAAGTTTGGTCGTATATGTTATGTATATCGTTTATAGTTAAATTTGAATCACAGTTCCTATGATCACTGTTACATTCAAATAAATACCTCTGTTGGGCAACCACACACACACGCACCTCTGTTGGGCAACCACACACACACCTCTGAGTTCTGCACCAGCGGAGAGATCCTTGCGGTGACAGGAGTCAAATGTATTGTCTCCTCGAAATGAGTTTGCTTGTAAGGTTGAGGAATTGTGAACATGTATTCATTTCCTGAATTACCAAATTCAAATAACGAGTGAGGCCCCTGTTCAGTGCGATGAAGAAGGGTCATTACCCAAATTGTCACATATATTGTTCCTTTAAAGGCCACAGGGTCACTTACATTTTTGAAAATATTTGTGCTGTTTATATTTGTGCGCAACTGATCATTTGTTGGTACATTATATATCAACTGTTTGCGTATACTCGGTGGGCAAAAGATCGCGTAGCCTGCTGTGTAATTTTAGTTAAAATCTTCTTGGTCTGCCGGCCACAGAGAGCCACCTTCCCACGGCGACTCAGGGAGCCACATCTCGCCATGAGTGCGGGGAGAGGGGAGCGGCGGTGCAGCGGTCAGCGCGCTGCGCAATGAACCCGGCTGCCCGAGTTCGATTCCCGCTCAGTGAATACCAGTGACGATTATCTGCACCGGTCCTGGGCCTCCGCTAGGTCGACTTGGCCTCAAATGAGTGGTGTGATGCGTAAATATCGCCACTAGGGAGACAAAGGCGGCCGGGCGTGGTGTTGGAGTCTACTTAGGACCAGCGGCGAAGATTCTTCTGTCACCGATAAATCCCAAATCGTGGCTACCACCTACTCCATTGAGGCGTCGAAGCCCAGCGATTTACCCCCTGGGATTCCGCTGTTGTAGCTGCAGTCAAAAGGGGTGAATCAATGTCTTCTGTCCCTTCGATCAGATGCTCCGTAACCTGGGTCACAACTTGATTCAAAGCCCCTCACGCACTCAGACACTCAGGTGTATTTGGCGACCCACAATGACGCGTATCGTCCTCAAGTCGCCGGCAGGATGTTGGCATTTATTATCCATGATGGATTTCAAGCACACGTGTCTCAACGATCACTTCCTGGAGGTCTGGGGAGAACAGCATCCATGCTTCCTGCGTGCACACCTTCGAAAAAAGTACAGTCAATGGCGTGTGTACAAGCGTTTTGTACTATTGCTAAAACCAAATCACCCTTGTCTTCAGATTGATTCGTTGTGATCCGAATGCGTGACATTTTTTCACTTGTTTTGAATGCAGGTGGAGAGAGTTTATGATTTAAAATTTCCATAGGAAGCTTTGCTGCTCTCACGTCGTCAGCTAAGGTTTATGCAGTGGCTTCGTAGCTGCACAGGAAATAAAACTACCAAAATGAGTGTTCACCGGTGTCTGGAATCACTTGCGCCCATTTGAAAACCTCCCTGTGCGTACGATAGATACCATCACAAAATAACTCAGGCACCACAGGCGGATCATATCAGACGTTCTTTATTTACAGGTTGTGACCGCACTGCACACCATCCTCACGCTGGCCATGGAGGCAGAGGGCCGATTTGCAGTTCTACAAACGAGTATTGAACAGGAGCTTGAAGTTTGAAGGCTTTAAACAGTTATGGAATAAAAGTCATGAAATGTGATCTCAAAATCGGTGTTATTTACACCCCAATCCACTGTAGGGCTGCCATGTGAAAAACTCGTGTGATGGCAACCGTGTGACTAGTAACTTGTGCTCATGGAGACCATGTGACCAGCGACTCATGAAGTAGACCATGTAACTAGTGACTCACATGAAGGGGACCAAGCAACTAGTGACTTGTATGAAGGGGACACTCGTGACTAGTACTAATGGAGATCATGTGACTCGTGTGACTATTCTGAAGGAGACGATGTGATCAGAGAACTCGTTGGGGAGAATGGCAGAAGGGCAGCACGGGAAGGAGGAGTGTGAAAGTGGAGATGAGCGAGTGGTGTGTCCGTGCGAGGTACGAGCAGCACGCGCGAGTGACCTGCAGCTGCCCGCATCACAAGTGGGGAGGTGAAATTAAACAGTGCAACTTTCCAACAGTTACTTTGAATGTAGATTAATGTTGCTCCGATTACAGCGTGGTCTGCATCACTGGAGATATAAAAGTTGTTTTCACATTTGCAATGATGTTATAAACCCAGTCCACCAGGATTGTCATATAAAGAGTTATGAATGGTTTGAATGTGGTCGCATTGGTTTGACAAGCGTAAACTTTGAACTTTAAGAATGGCCAATTCTCAAAGAGAGGTTCGCGGATTTAATAATTTAGCGCCAAAGTTAAGTATGGGCGAGTTAATTACGCATTTGTTTAATTTACATGTCTGTGTTTCGATTAATTCATTTGTTTGTTCTCATTGGATGGGCAGGTGGCATCTCCTCACCTTCATCCCATCTGTAAAGGCAAGAAATGCAGGAGGTGCTGTAGAGTGTTATGCCTATCCTAGTGCGTACATATGAATGGTTTACAAGATGCATATTACCTGTTGTAACATTATAACGTATCAGCATAATAACATCAACATTAACAAATTAAAGCTGAACAATGTAATGTATTATACAAAACAAAAATAAAGCGTAAGCAGCCTTGCTTAACACCAAATTGGTGCGACGTCTGCAATCAACAAAAATGCGGAGATGCTCAATAAACTTAATCTTCGCTTGCCGGGCGCAGACACTTCACACTTTTAAAAACATCCCTCCCTCCCACCGCAACCGCTGACAGCTCCTGCAGCGTGGGGGCCGAGGACTGCAGGAGCTGAGCGTGGTGGCTCACGGCAGGGCGTAAGAGCAGGGCCGAACCGCAGGACCTAACTGGAGGGTGCGCGGCTGCACGCGGATCAGCAGCGCCACAAACGGCACTTGCTGACGGTGTGAGAGGGCGAGCGGTGGGGCCGGTGGGCGGGCGAGCGTGCTATGGGTGTAAGACCAGAGTGGTCGCGTGCGTGTAAATAGGGGGCGGGGGTGTGTAGAGCCGCCCCGCGTCGGGGCGTTCTTGGTTGTGCGTTTCGCGGCTGCGGTGCGGGGGGTGGGGGGCGACCTCGGGCCTCTCGCTACTTGCGAGTGCGGTTGGGGCGAGAGCGGCGCCGGCGGTCGGGCTTCCTCTGCTTGTGGAGCCGCCCGATGCTCACGCCCTGACGGCGCCGCACCGAGATGTTCTGCTCAACCAGGCTGGACAGCTTGCCTGAGTGTGCGTGTGTGCGCACAAAGACAAAGACCCCCCCGTATAACCTGTAACAGTCTGTTGGGGGCACGTGCTGTTAGCGAGCACCTATGAAGGCCGGCACAGCGCACGACTGAATGGATGGCCAGCACCACTCCAGATGGTCTTTATCTCCCCTGTGGCGATGTTTACACACTGCACCAGATACTCATTTGAGGCCGAGTCGACCTAGGGGAAGCCTGGGACCGGTTCAGATAATCCTCACTGGTGTTGGCCGTGAGTGGGAATCGAACTCGGGTCGCTGGTTTTGTAGCGCAGCGTAGCGCTAACCGCTACACTACCGCTCCCCCCCCACACGAACGCACACAGGCACACGCACGCCAAACAACCCTGTCAAACCCTCTAGCCTGGTGTGCAATTACTCTGTAGAGCATGTGTGCATTCGTGATGAAAGGAGGCAAGTGTCTGAACATTCTACTTTGGAAATCCTGTGAAACAAATCTCTTTACACACGAGACAAACAATACATTTCTATTCCTCACCCTAATTCACACGACGTGACATTTGTCACGCACGCAAGAGACGCGCGTACGGACGGCAGCGTTGCTCTCATCAGCGAGCATTTCAACTGGAGAGGAAATGGTGCTCACCTTGCTGGGCGAGCATAGAGATGAAGGTGCAGATGAATTCGTCGTAATTGTGCGTCCTCCGCTGGTCGTCAATCTGCCGAACATGACACCGCGCGAGGAACTCAACATGACCGGTGCTGCCGTGGTGGACGGGGTGTGGGTGCCACCATCGCTCGGCACGAGTAGATTGCAGGTTAAAGGAAAACAAAACTGCAGAGATGGAGCAATGAAATCAGCTCTTGTACAGCAGCAGTAGTTGCGTTGTGAGGCCATGAGGGATGCAGGCTGGTGGTGGTGGTGATGAGGGCTAAGCTGCACATCAAGGGGTGTCTGACAGCAGCTTCAGGAATGAAAAGATACATTTCTATAATCTACAATTCCTGCTTTCGCAAGCACTGCTATCGCGCCCTCGAGCGACGGCAGTGAGATACGCCTGTAAAGGGCGGGCGTGACATCACACGAGTGTGACAGCTCGGGGTGAGCGTCGGAGAGGATGTTGTGGACACCACTGCCACACGCGTTGTCACCGAGCTGCACAGCGAGGCATGGCCTCAGCAATGAGCCACAGTCCCACTGGTGTGGTTCTCCCCTCCGCTCACACGGTGAGAATCCTCTCAGGTAGTGACGCGGCCCAGCGGTAGCGTGCTCGCCACTTGGTGCAAAAGTCACGGTTCGAATCCAACGGCTGCCCCGATTATCATTGCGAGTGTCATAACCGTGACAAAACAAGCAGTCTGGTACACAGTGGACATTAAAAATCCCCTGACGTCATTCTCAAGAGTAAGCCATTGTGTGCCGGGCGTCGGGGTCCAATTTTGCCAAATATCACAATTTACTCAATGAGAATATAAATAGCGATCATCGCTCCCTACTGGCAGACTAATGCCCCAGGTCACTCTATCCTGGTCTCTGGAGGTCTCACCTGGTTACACAAAATGAACTTGAACTCAGAGCGTATTACCGCGTCTACATCAACACATTGTACGTGGCTCGGAGCAGCCCAACCCATGGGAAAGGACACTTTGTCACCGGGAGTTGGGCTTTGAAAGGGACAATGAGAGTTTTAGAAGAAAATACATTTCAAATGCTGGACTGCCTGTGATTGGTGCGTGAGCGAGTCAGACACTGGGGTGCCGTGCGAGGCAGTGAAGCTGGGCAGTGAAGGCCCCTGAGGAGGAGCCGGCGAGGCTGCTATCTGCGCGGGTCAGCGAGCGGCAGCACCCAGCCTCACCTTGTACTTCTTCCTCTTCTCCACCTCCTCCTTCAGACAGACCTCGTAGTTGGAAATGTCAGCCTCCACACCCTTGAGTAGCGTCAGGAGCTCCTGTAGGGCCACGGGACAAGAGGAATGAAGCCCACGCTCACGTGCGCAAGCGTCGTGAGCAAGCGTGACCGCGTGTGGGAATGCACGCAGTCCGTTCGTAAGTGCGTGCCTGTGTGAATCCACGCGTGTGAATGCGCGTGCGATGTGATCGAGCATGAGCACGTGTGCGAGCATCGTGTGAGTTCGCGTGTGAGTAAATGTGCGAGTCCACGTGTCGACTAGTCCGTGCGTGTGCGAGTCCGAGTGTGACAAGAGCAGCGCGGCTTGGAGCCGGAGCCGTGCTCACCTGTGGCGAGTATTTCCCGGGCTGGACCGGGCGCCGTGCGGGGAGGCCGGGGCCCCTATCCTGCCCCGGGGAGCGCGCGGCCACTCGGCCGCCCGACGGTGCCGCCACCGCCGCTTCCGGGGGCTCCGTCCGGTCGAGCGCCGGCGCGGCAGGGGGAGCGCCGGGCCCGTCAGTGGGCGACGGGAGCCGGCGGGCGGACGTGACGCGCAGCCGCCCGTCGGGCTCGAGCGCTAGCAGCTCGTGACCGACGCGGTGTCCCATGTCGTGCAGGGCGCGGTCGTGCTTGGCCGCGTCGAGGCGTGCGAACACCTCCTCGCTGAGCAGCGCGCGTGGCAGCGCGGGCGCCAGCGACACGGGGCTGCCGGGTCGCGTGGCACTGCGGGAGCGCACGGGCGAGCGCAGCGGCGAGTTGAAGGCGCTGCCGATCTCCGACGCCGTGTCCGTGCTCTCGTCGCTGGGCGCCGGGGAGCCGGGAGCCTCCGCGGCACCGCTGTGAGCCTGGGCCGGCGAGCCGAGCGCGGGGCCGGTGTCCGTGTCCCCGCTCTCGCCTGCGGCCCCTCGGTAGAGCAGGGGCGCGGGAGGATCTTTGAGTGGTGGCGACGGGGCCCGGCGGAACCTGCGCAGGGGCAGAGGGGGCAAGGGGACATTGCCAGAGCAAAACAAACCACATGCTCACTGGTGGCGGCACAAGTGTGTGGAGGAACGACTGTGGAGCCAAGTGTTTAGATTATTTTGTGTTTGTGAATTTATCGCAACGCTGAGTTGGTGTTGTGTTTCGCGCTGAGCGGTGTGAGTAGTGTAAGTGGATGACGGTGTATGTACATGGAGACACTGAGTGTCGTAGTGACTAGTGTGGAGTACGTGTAGATATTGTGCGAGTGTGCCAAGGTCACCGTCCACGGCGGAGGTGCGGCCTGTCCTCGAGTCCGTCCTCCTCCAGGCGCCCGCCCGCACGTGGAACGGCCACGCGGGTGCGTCCCAGATCCCCAACCTCCTGGCAACACGAGCACCCACCACCAGTCTACCAGCCACTTACTCACCTACTAATTTACTAAACTTCCAACTCACTGACATATTCACCCACTTATTCACTAAACTATCAACTTACAAGCACACCAACTCCACCTGCCCATCCACCCACTCACTTACCTACCCACTTCCTTACTAGTTCGCTCACTAATCTACCAACTCACTAATCCACTTACCAACAAAGCTACTCAATAATCTACAAAATCACTGATTCACTCACTCAGCTACTTACTCACCCACCCACCCACATCCCCGCTCGCAGCCATTTTCCCGGCTCCCATCCCCAGCAGCACCTGCAGAGGGGACTTTGCGTAGTTGTGATTGTCCAGGAATGCAGGGAGGCGCGGGGCGGGGATGGAGGCGCTGGGGGAAGGGCCGGCCGCCTGCGCCGGAGGGGTGGCTCCGCCACCACCGCCGTCAGCTGGGCTGCCGGGGGGCGGTGCCATGGGGGGCACGGGGCCGCCAGCGTCCAGGGGGCTCCCCTCCCGAGCCCGGCTCCTCACGTCTGAAACGACGGGCGAGGAGGAGGTGGCGGCTCAGGCAGAACCATCGTACGTGGACAGAGCTTCCCCAGCGCTCGCGGCAACTACACGAGGGGCAACGAGCAATTATGCACACGCGGAGAGCGAACAATTATTTGCGGCCGGGGTCCCACCGTGCGCGCAGTTTCCTCGGGTCATGGGTCCTGGCGCCATCCGCCGTCGCCCTGGCGCCGCTCTCGCCCGCCGGCCGTGCGTCGTCCCTCACCCCGGCCTCTGCCTTACAGGGACCCGGCCGCGACGGCTCCCCGTTCACGCCGCCTCCTGGCACCGCTGGCGCCGCCGGTGCCGCCCTGGCCTCTTGCACGCTGCCCTCGGGGGGCAGCCCGGCCTTGCTGTCGTGCGAGCTGCCCTCCGAGTGCAGGGTGGCCTTGACCGTGGCGTCCAGCGGGTTCTGTGCCCGGATGAGTTCAGGTTGCGTAACCAGCACCAGCTGCCCAGAAAGGGAGTACACGTAGTCGTGTTACATATACAACGAACTCACAGACATGCACATACACGGTGCACACTCAGAGACGCAGTCCACATAGCAGTGGACTGGAGAGCTTGGGATGGCTTTCTGCTCGTCGTATCTCACGCTGATCTCTTCCTGCGCGCCACTAAGCGGCGCTATCGCATGGTAACATTCCCCTCTGCTGTAGTGGAAAATGGGATAAAAAAAGCATGATTTTGTAATAACTACATGCGCAAGCCATTTTCCTTTCCACATGTCACTGCTATAGATCAAGAGCTTCTGATTATTTAAACGTTATGTCACAGATAATATGTGGTTACAGAAGATAGATATGCAGATAATAAATGCAATGCCCTCGTTCAAATATTTGTGTATCTTCCTGGGGGAGAAACTAAAAGAGAACTAATTAACATTGGAAGAAGAATCCTCGTGAAAGGAAGGCTTCAGGTGCAGTGGTGGTGATGCTGTGGGGGCGAGGCTTGCTAGTGATGGTGAGGCTGTGGCAGTGGTGAGGAGGCTGTGATGGCGAGATTGTGGTGGTGGTGAGAATGGGATAGTGAGGCTGTGGTGGTGATTAGAGGAGGCTGTGATGGTGAGGCTGTGGTGGTGAAGAGGCTGTGATGGTGAGGCTGCCGTGTGAGTCGAGCGAGCAGCACCTGCTGCAGGGCCTCCAGCACGGTGTTGCGGTTCGCCTTGAGCATGGTGAGCTTCTGCTCATAGATCTGCCTCCGGTCCGGCACCACTGCCATCAGGTTGAAGCGGATGTCATGGTAAGGCTCCCTGAGGGCAACACGACACAACAATCATGGAGATAACTGTGTGGCCTTTGGGTTAGTGCAGTGAGCGAGCATCTATTACAACTGCGTTGGGGCATGAGCAGGTGGTGAGTCAAGAAACAATGCCCGGCTGCATTCGTCTCGCCGGTGTTAATATTTAATCACCGCACGGGCTGACCTCACCTAGCAGAGGCCCGGGATATGTTTTGATACGAATTGGCACAGGGCCTGGATATTGAACTCGGGTTAGTGGCTTTGTAACGTAGTGCGCAAAGCACCACGCGACCACTCACGCAAGACCACGTAACTAAGTAGATGCATGACACAGCCAGTATACAGCACTGCATAAAGAGATCACAGACTCTGTGGTTGCAATGACAGACCTCGCAGTGTTTAACAAGAGTTTGTGCTCGCGTTTTTTAAACACGGCGTGGTTATCATCGGAGGTAGCAGCGTCGCCACGGTGGCCACTGTCAGCGTGGTGATTTTTTTTAAGTGTCATGTTCATGGCCCCGGTCCATTGTCCTGCTAAATAAGGGCAGTTGGGCGTGGTGCTATCCACCCTCAACATCACGGGTACATCCCGGCTGCAGCTCAGAGAGGTCCTGCCTGATCACTGCATAGCCCCCGTGGCTCGTGGCGACGAGGGCTACGTAGGCGCTGTGTCGGGACCAGGGGGGCGGTCTCCTCGCTGCACTCACCCCCCCGTGGCCAGGCCGATGCGCTCCATGATGACTCTCCTGGCCTTATCCGTCCACTCCTCCTCCTCGCCCCACGGCCCTGCGCGGCACCGTCGCCCCACGCACAGCACCGGCAGACGCAGACCGGAAACGGGTACACATGTAAACACAGGCACCCGCACACGCGTACACGCGTACACGCGCACACACAGGCACGCGCGAGTAGGCACACACTGACACGAATACAGGCAAGCATAGATGTACACATACGAGTACATCTACAGCCCACAACTGCCAGTACACACGTGTTCACTCGTAATTCCCGGTTGAACATGGGCTGTAACACTGCAGGAATAATGCTATAGAGGGAAAGCGGATACTTGATGCACAAATAAAACATTTAAAACTGTCCGGTATCCCATTGTGATCACTCAAAGCAGACAATGGAACATATGACAACTCAATGCCTGATTCACAAACACGAAGCAGGCATCATCACAGCGATGAAGCACTCTGCTACTCTTAACACAATCATCTGGCTCAATAACCTCAGTGTAAAATTACAGCTGTTGCTCTAAAGCAGCATCAGCCATACGAATTACAAGTGGGACAGCAACTCCAGCACAAATTGACGTGGGTTGGAACAAGCTGTACAGTGCAACGCCTGAAGCTCATTATTTCTTTATTTTTCACGAACAAATAAAGGATCACCCAAACGCGAATGTGGCGCACAGCGACAAACAGTTGCACACATCGTGAGGTCATATCCACTGTGAGCCTACAGGTATATTTGTTAAGCTATGGGTCCACGTGTTGGACTATGGGTCCACGTGTTGGTCTATGGGTCCACGTGTTGGTCTATGGGTCGCTGTGTGAACTCGGGTCCACTGCGTGCGCTCTCCGAGGGCACGAGTGGGATTCCCCTGTTCCTGCTGCAAATCAGCATCTGGATATACAACCGATACATCGATCTGTAGCTGCTGCTCAATTCATATCCGTACGAAGGAAGATGACCACAAAACAGCGGCCGTGTTTATGGCGGAGAGCGCTGCTAAGCGTCCGCGCTTGGCATGAACGGAGTGGCACGGAAGTGCTGAGGGAGGGCCGTGGGAGCATGCCTCACCGTGGTCGATGGGGTAGGCCTTGAGGCCATCGAGCTCAAAGAGCCGCCCGTTGATGGGGACGTAGCTGACGAAGTGAAAGGCCTCCATGGTGCGCACGGCGCTCAGCCCGTTCTGCTTCTCGGGCAAATGGCGCGGCTCTGGCCTGAATCGCAGCACGGCGCAGCGCAGTACGCAGCGCAAAACAGGCACGCGAGATCTTGAATACAGGATTGCTAAGCACAATGCAGCACAGAACAAATGCAGCACACAACAAATGCAGTACAGCAAAATGCAGATTGCAGCACCAAACACCGCATGGATCACCACATGCGAACGAGCACAAGTTAAAACACACACAATACAACACATAGGCACACACTCCAGTTAGTACAGAAGCAAAGAGTATTACACACACAGCACGTCATCGTATATACGGCCAGCAGAGGCAAGGACCACACATAAACATGCAGAATATTTGTTTTATTTTATACCTATGTGACTTTACCGAAAGAACCAAAGAGTATGCAGAATAACTCAAATGCATGTAGTCAAGAGAGAAGGCACACTCAACACCCTCCACACATCCAACATAATACTCACCCAACACTTATCACACAATGCTCCGAACACAAACAACGCAACACTCACACAGACCAGCATGCGGCACCGTCATTCTCGCAGTGCGGAGTTCTAAACCAAAGGTTTATTGGCACTTACTTCAGTTCCAAACTGTCCCCAAAGTGATCAGGAAGGGCATGCCCGTATAAACACATGAGTGAGGCATACGGCAGCAGTAGGTAATGGTGGCTAGCTATAATGTACTGATGATTCCAAAGAAGGATGGCCCCTATAGATTTGTCTCATCCGCTGATGCTTGTAATTTTGCCTTTATTTATTTGGTGGTCTAAGGCTGTGTACATTAAACACCCGGTGTGGTGATGTCACTTCACATTAAAAGCATGATGGGAGGACCGATCCTTTGGTCACAATTGTGCCTTTTGATGGCGCTTTGAGTGGGAGATTTGTGAAAACGACTTGACTTGACTACAACTGACCGTACGTGTGTATACCTACCACTCCCATTGGGGAGTTGTGTGCCGCTAGGTGATAGGACAGAGCTGTGTGGGACAGCGGTGGCAGTACCCCCTCACGCCCACGCCCCCTCATGGGGCATGCGCCCGCACGGCACTCGCACAGCGCACACACAGCCCGCTCGCCGCCAGCCGGGTTCGGCTCACCTGGCGTGGCTGTTGTGTGCTTTGGCGAGCGCCGGAGCGTTCCCGATGGCGTAGCCCTTGCTCTGCAACGAACCGGGAGCCCCGGTGCCAACGGCGGTTATTCCGGCAACATCAGCTTGTGCCACCATGGCAGTGGTGATGGTGGGAATGGTAGATATGGGAGTGATGGTATTCATGGTTGTGTTAGTAGTAGTATTGATGGAAGTGATTGTTACGATGTTAGTAATGGTGATGGTAGTAATGATGATGGTACTCATGGCGATGATAGTAGTGATAGCTGTGGTCGAAGCAGTGATGGTATTGGTGCTGGTGATGGTAGTCACGGTGATGGTGGTAGTGATGGCTGTAATGGCTGCAGTATCAGAGGTGATGATGGAAGTGATGCTCATGATGGTATTAGTGCCGGGAAAGGTAGCAATGGAGGTGATGATTGTGCCTGTTGTGACAGTGTGCGGTGGTAATGGTAGTGATAGCGGTGATGACTGCGGGGAGGGTGGCAATGCGACTGCCACGACGACACCAATGTCTGTGTTTGTGCTGGTCATGTGGCGTCACCTCGGGGCCGAATCCACGAGTGAAGTCCTTCATGCGGCTCAGGGTAGGGCCCAGCTCCACGTCCTCACAGTTGAGCAGCACGCTTAGAAGTGCGTGCGTCGCACAAGAGTTGGGGATCAGCTGCACCGAGCACACGCGCAAGGCCGCAGCGGCAGGGTCGCGCTCAGATTAGCTTGCTCCGCACGAACTTCGGTGACATCGATGAGATAGAAGTTAATTTATTAATTTACTTGCACTGCGATTTCGGTGGCTGAAAAGTACGCTTTAGGCTGTGGTAGAAGAATCCAAAACTCCAAGCGCGACAACGAGGTAAGAGCACAGAAGTGGCAGAAACCCCCCACGCCACCTCGAACAACTCCCTCGTTCATAAACAGTACGCGCAAGAGCTGGAGATATGTGGGGACGGACACAAGTGGAACACACGTATGAGAGACCGCAAACAAATTACTAACAGCAGGACATGGAGACTAACAAAACACTCACCAAAACAGGAACAACTACATATAACTTATTATCACAGCACTCGCGACATCTCTTAAAAACCTGACAAGGACACGCAAAACCACGGAACGGTAATGAACACTGTCCAATACTTATTCTTAGTTCTTTCGGTAAAGTCACATTGAAGGGAAACAACAAAATAATAAAATATATATAAAACAATAAAAATTCTCAGGACGTTTCGACCATAACACAAACGGTCGTCTTCAGGTGTGTCGGTTTGCATAAATTTATTTATTTAGAAAACGGCGCATTTATTTATTTAAAAAACGTTAGCGCCACGCGCAGCGATTTGGCAGTTTATTTAGACGGACTAGTCCATCTATGTTCTGAAAAGAGGAGGGAGGAGACGAATTTTTTTTTAATGTATGCTGTCTGAAAGCCACTGTAAGCGTGAACAATCAATTAAGACCTGAAATGGTTTATCAAATCTTTCCAATGATTGCTAAGCCAGAATCCATCTTCTCGGTTGAAATTGTCTCTGTGCTTGTATATGTGGATAGCCTCATGAACGAATCTCTCATGGTAGCCAGATGGCTTACAAAGAACCTCTGTCTTGGAAAAGGCACCTCAAGAGGGTCCTTCTTCATGGTTTGAGTGATAGCTTTGCGGATTGTATAGTCGGAGTAACCATTAGCCTTTCAAAACCATCACTTTACCCTACATTGCGGGGATCACAAAAAGATCTCCAAAATCTTGAATAAACACAAGATCCAGGTCCGTTTCAACACATTACATAAAATCCGTGATCTGGTTCCGTCTGTAAAAGATGTGATTCCGGACATACAATACCCTGGTGTCTACAAACTAAGTTGCCTCTGTGGTAGTAGTTACATTGGAGAAACCAAACGCCATGTCTCGGACCGCATTCGTGAACACAAAGCAGACCTTAAACACGGTAGGACCAACACCTCGGCCGTGGCAGATCATTGTTATAATTCAGTAGGCTCACATGACATTGACTTTTCCAAGACAGAGGTTCTTTGTAAGCCATCTGGTTACCATGAGAGATTCGTTCATGAGGCTATCCACATATACAAGCACAGAGACAATTTCAACCGAGAAGATGGATTCTGGCTTAGCAATCATTGGAAAGATTTGATAAACCATTTCAGGTCTTAATTGATTGTTCACGCTTACAGTGGCTTTCAGACAGCATACATAAAAAAAAAATTCGTCTCCCCCCTCCTCTTTTCAGAACATAGATGGACTAGTCCGTCTAAATAAACTGCCAAATCGCTGCGCGTGGCGCTAACGTTTTTTATAAATACACCGTTTACAAAATAAATAAATTTATGCAAACCGACACACCTGAAGACGACCGTTTGTGTTATGGTCGAAACGTCGTGAGAATTTTTATTGTTTTATATATATTTTATTATTTTGTTGTTTCCCTTCAACGTGACTTTACCGAAAGAACTAAGAATATGAATTACTGCAGTCACGAAAGCTTTAAATCAAAATGTCCAATACTTGTTTTGAGTGGTTGACGTTTAGCTTTCGAAAAATGACAACAGATTGGCAGCAAGGCATGCACGAAGGAGCCAGGACGACGTGCGCGCACGCACCTGGTGCGCGAAGAACATATTGTTGACGATGTCGTCGTGGATGACGGACGCCTCATCGAGGAGCGGAGAGACCTTCCTGCGTGAGCGGCGCTCCTCGATCCACTTGAAGAGGAATATGAACCCATACACGGGCCTGAGGCATGCACGCCACACAGGGGGGGTGGATTATTGATGGTGTGGGGTCATAGGGCACGGGGTCACGAGGCCACCAGTAAATGGGGTCGCTGGATTCAGCATGCAGGGCAAAGTAGCTCTCAGAAATGGCTCCACACTGGGGCTGGCGTTGCACGGTGTGGAGGCTGGGGGATCGCTCACGGAGGTATAAGTGAAGCCTCACTGTTTGTAATTGTTTTATAAATAAGTTGCAATTCAATGTAGAATCTGGCATCCAATGAGGATGTGGTATTCGGTGAAGCGTTAGTAGAGAGATAACGGTGTCTTCCTGGTCACAATTTCACGCACAATAAGGCAGTGAACGCCAATTATATTTAGATTTAATTGAATCATTGTGACCTCTGAGGGCTCATTGGTAGACACACACAAAGCTTATTACACAGCTAACTATATCGTCGAAAGGTTATGTTCGATAAAGTAAAGGTAAACACGCGATAGAAGAATCGAAAAGGTTCAAAGCACACTGGGTAGGTTTTAGCGGTCGTGTAACATTGCCCGTGTGTTCGGGTTGCACCGCCGTGATGTTCGGCAACTTGGGGAGAAACATCGGACATGGCGCCAAATAACAGTTGCACAACCCTAAAACACATCGGATGTGATAACTCAATCATTATAAGATGTGCAACTCACTGCTCACCCATTGCATTTGCTCTGCAGGTCGTAAATCTCTTCCACTTGTACTCCATTCACCCCTTGGGAAACAAAAGCACGAGTGAATGGCACACCAAGATATTTCAACTCAAATGAAGATCCTCATTCTCACCCACGGATAAGAACTCGAATCAACGTGTCGGTGTTCTAACCCAGCGTGTCTCTATGTCCATCTGCACTGGTGGCCGTGAGTAAGTGATGGAAATTCCACATTCATAGGACATAACCAACCCCTTCACAGGACAACCACTGCTACCTTACTCAAAGTGGTGCTTATTTATGGATCTCAGTCAGCAGCCGACAAGGAATTAGAACTCACATCGCTCCCAATGAGAGATTTTCCTTCATGGCACCAAGGTAAACAGAGTACTGTATAAATATTACGAGACAAAAAGAGTTTAACTTCCTCACAGAACCGGAAAAATGCCAATTCTCAGCCATCAGCTCATTCTTGAGACTATTTGGAAAGTGATGTATAGTTATCTCAGAAAATAGGAGGCACCTTTTTGAAGCGGCTTGTCAGCTTGTTTTATTTTAATGCCTGCACGATGACCATCTGGCTCACGACTCGTCCTGAAGTAGAAGGCCCCTACCGGCTCACACGCCGTGACATCTCCCGCACGATGGTCCCACCGCTCGACTACAACAAGCCGCCTCTCTGTCACTGCTCTCACTGCCACTCTGTGCGGCCCCATACTCACGACACGACAGGTCCTGGGTCATTTCATTGGGCACTCACCAAAGTCCTCCACCAGAAGTGTGAAGAGACCTGCCAAAGTGGAGAGCACGTGGCAAGTCAGAATTAAACACCAGGTTACGATGGGCAACTCCTGGGGGAACCGACAGCAGATGCACAACTTGTGCTCGCTGCTGTGCCAACTTGCTGCGTTGTATCCGCTTGTTGTGAGCGCATATACACAGACATATATACACTGTGCACAACCCAATAAACAGCAACAACCCAACACCATGTCCCTCATAAACAGCCGCCGTGCACCACGAAGTGGCGGTGACGTCACCACGGCGCCTGTGCCAGGCTAAGTGCACTTCGAGGCCCACGTGAAGCGTCAAAGGCTCGCTGACAGGAGGTCGCGGGATATACCCAGCAGATACCACGGGTTGACTGAGGCGGCTGGATGACCGTAAACACAAACCCACCAGCACCACAAACCCTCTCGCCCAGGCGCGACCTCAACCTCCCTCCACCACCGGGGTCCGCCGTGTCCCCCGTGCTCCCGTGCCCCCCTGGTGTCCCCCAGTGTCCCCCCGCGTGCCTCCCGCGAGCCCCCCGGGCCCCCCTCACCCGGGTCGCTCTCGAGCTCCAGCCACCCCTTGTTCATGATCCCGCGCAGCTCTTCCAGCATCATCCGGGCACCCGGGGACCCGGATCGCGACTCCAACTCACGCGGGGCTCGCGGTCTCCGCCGTCGCGCACTCACGGCGGCCATCTTACTGCGGGAGAGGCGCCCGCGCGCTCGTCGCCGAGGTCATCGCCCTGCGACTGCCGCCCGCGGGGAGACCGCGGCGCAAAACTCGCGCGGGTTTATCCGCAGCAACATGGCCGCCGATCGGCGACCACTCGTAACATGACGTGGCCCGACAACGCATCGCAAACAACCGCGCGCTCGATTGGCCTTGACCCTGGGGAGTGGGAGGGGTGGAGCTGAGCGGACTCGGCCAATCACGGCTGAGGTTGCTGCCGGGTGATGAGGATCAACAGCGGGGAGGTTCCGCCGGGGACGGTGACGGCGAGGCCGGAGTCTCCGCTGTGTCCCGACTCCCCCTGATGAGCTGTGAGTTTCTTGGTCTCCGAGTCTCTGCGTCTTGCGGCTTTGTGAGTCCCGCAGTTTCGAGTCTCTTGGCGTCTGGGTCCCTGAGCCTTGGGCCCCCGGCGGCTCTCCGAGTCCCCGAGTCTTAAGGGCGCCGGGTGCTGGGGCCGAGCGTTCACGCCGTGGCTGGCGATGTCGCGCTCCGCGTGGTGGGGTGAGCGGCACCGCGCCGAGCTGGACGCGCTCTTTTTCCCGCGCGGGGCTCTGAGCGGCCTCCCCGAGCCCGGCTCCGCGCGCCACTCCGACTTTTGGCTCTTCCTGGGCCGCTTCCAGGCGCGGCAGGCGAAGCAGGGTCCCCAGGCCGGGCCCGGCTCAGTGACCACGGGTGGCGCGCTGGGTCTCCCCGCCGTCTACGACCGACAACACCGCATCAACGTGACGCTCGCCGTGCCCGAACTCGCGGAGCGGCTGGCGAGGCCAGCTCATCGGGGAGGCGGGGACCCGGGTGGGGAGAAGCGCGGTGGCAGGGGCGAGAGGGGAGACCGGGGTGAGATTGAAGAAAGGAGATACAGGGGTGAGAGGGGAGATGGAAGTAACAGGGGAGAGAGGAGCGAGAGAGATGTCAGGGGTGAGCGGGGAGAGCGGCGCCGGTCCGGACGCTGGGACCAGCGACCTCCAGGCGAGGGGGGTCAGGAGGAGGAGGAGGATGGCCTGACCCCGGCACGTCTGCGCGAGTTCCAGGCCGTGCTGCTACACTACGTGGACTTCTGCCAGAAGCAGCAGATGAGCCGCCTGGCCAAGCTGCGGCGGGATCAGAGGAACCTGCCCATCCACGAGTACAGGGACCAGCTGGTGGAGCTTGTGCGCGCCCACCAGGTGGTGGTGGTGGCGGGGGACACGGGCTGCGGCAAGTCCACGCAGGTGCCCCAGTATCTGCTCTCGGCAGGTATGAGCCGCGTGGCGTGCACGCAGCCGCGCCGCATCGCCTGCATGTCCCTCGCCAAGCGCGTCTCCTACGAGAGCCTGGGCGAGCACGGCTCCCAGATCGGGTACCAGATCCGCTTCGAGACGTCCAAGACGGCCGCCACCAAGGTGCTTTTCCTCACCGAGGGCCTCCTGCTGCGCCAGATGCAGACGGAGGGCTTCATGTCGCGCTACGACGTGCTCATCCTGGACGAGGTTCACGAGCGCCACCTGCACTGCGACCTCCTGCTCGGCGTGCTGCGGGAGCTGCTGCCCCTGCGAGACGACCTCCGCCTCGTGCTCATGTCGGCCACCATCAACATCCAGCTCTTCTCGCGCTACCTGGGCGACGCGCCCGTGCTGCAGGTGCCGGGCAGGCTCTACCCGATCCAGGTCATCTACCGGCCCGTCCCCGAGGAGGAGAAGACGGGCAAGTCGGAGAGGATCGACCCGCGGCCCTACCTGCGCATCATGCAGAGCATTGACCACAAGTACCCGGCCGACGAGCGCGGCGACCTGCTCGTCTTCCTCAGCGGCATGGCGGACATTGCCCGCGTGGCGGAGGCGGCGCAGAGCTACGCGGTGGAGACGAAGCGGTGGATCGTGCTGCAGCTGCACTCCACGCTGTCCGCGGAGCAGCAGGACAAGGTGATGAGGCCCACGGCACGAGGGGATGTGGGAGGGGGGAGACAGTCGGGCAGAGTTTGCACTCCCGGATTATAAACGAAGGGGGTAAAGGAAGACGAATTGTTGGTCACCGTGACTCACACGACGAGTGCAAAATGTTGGTCTTTGTTGCCAAATTCATTCTTGGCTATTGTCACCACCGCTGCCATCATCATCACCGATATCAGTAGCAGGATTGTCACTGTTTGACACCTGAATTTAATGCACACTTCAGAAAATGAGATAAATTCGAACGTTGCATTGGAATCCTTTTGAGGATCATAATACTGTAATGTAACTTATTTAGCACTTCATCAATAGGTCGCAAAGCTTTTTCAGGAAGGTCCTGCATTGAGGTATCTGGCAATTTAAATAATTAACGAGTGATTTGAATACACGGAGAGAACTCATATCCATCACTCGAATGGTCCACACATGGGTTCACGACCCTACTTGTTATACTGCCATCCCTTGGCTACTACACAGCCCAGTGGGCTGCAGAATGCAAAATCTTGATGTGATCCACCAGCCCTTAACTCAAAAGTGCTGTGTCACAGGTGTGGACTGACACGTGCTGATTGTCAACGTCGTGGAATGTGCTGATAAACTTGCAACTCGACAACCGAATGGGAAACAAATAGCCAACTGAGCGATACGGCCTCGATAGTTTTTTTGAGTCTGTTGTTAGCAGAGCGACGTCCTCTCCCCCTCCTGCGTTGCGTCTCCTGCGCAGGTGTTCGACCTGGCCCCGGAAGGCGTGAGGAAGTGCATCGTGTCCACCAACATCGCCGAGACGTCCGTCACTATCGACGGAGTGCGCTTCATCGTGGACTCGGGTACGCGGCCGCAGCGCCCCAGCAACGGCCTAGAGACGGGGCCTCGCCTCCAGCCGTGCGGTGTGCGCGAATTTCTGGATGTGTTCGCCCCTGTGCTTGTCAGGTTCACTATTCTTGCCTCTATGCGCTGGGCTGTTGGAGTTTTTAGGAGCAAGGCGATGAGGAGGTGCCTACAGGTGCAGTAAACAAGCAGGTTGGTATCAAGCTGCCATCTTGAGTGGAGAGAGATCCCCTTTTCATAGGTAATGGTTAAGGGCACTCTTTTATCTTTCCCATTCGCAAAAAAACCCAACCCTCTTGAATATTTTGTTGAGTGTGTATGGCTCTGCTCGGATAAGTTAAACAATGTAAAATCGCATAAATTCACATAAACTGTGGAAGTGGACCTCAAGCTGGCTGCTGCTATCACCGGAGACTGGGTTCACAAATGGACAAGACTTCTCATATATACAGCCTCATACTTGCGCGCTGTGGTCACAGGCAAGGAAACACCAATACATGGCCTGTGCAAGACAGGGGGGGCCCTCGGGCCTTTAGCAGGCTCTCTACATCACAGTGTCAATGATGAACGTGTTAGTCACGTGTGATGGCTCTTGTCTGTGATCCAGAAATTTTGAGGTGAGGGTTGATGGATTGTATAAATTTAACTCCCAAACTCGCTGGGCTACAAGGCAGCGAGGAGATGGCATGCACAGTACAGCAAATGGGTTATGAAACCATCGGTGCGCTTTTTTTGAGTGTCATCACCTCGAACATGTGGGTATTCTCTGGGTACTGTGGTTTTCTCTTCATGCAAAAACACTCGGTAAAGGATTTGGTCAAATATCTCTATGCAGGACTTTCGTGGAATAATCTCCACACTTAGCGAGCCTTTCCGGGTAGATGAGTGCTGCGCCACCATTCGGGCAGTAGCCTGACGTCATGGATGTCCTCTGCTACCGCTCAGGCAAGGTGAAGGAGATGAGCTACGACCCCAAGGCTAAGATGCAGCGGCTGCAGGAGTTCTGGATCAGCCGCGCGAGCGCGGAGCAACGCAAGGGCCGTGCGGGGCGCACGGGGCCCGGGGTTTGCTTCCGCCTGTACGCCGAGTCGGAGTACGACGCCCTGGAGCCGTATGCCGTGCCCGAGGTCCAGCGCGTGCCACTTGACTCGGTGGTGCTGCAGGTAACCACGCGCCTCCCACACGCGTTACCGCGGCCACCTCCCCGCCCGCAGTTCCTCGCAGCCCTGTGTGTGCCCTGTGTGTGCCCTGTGTGTGCCCTGTGTGTGCGTGCGCCGTGTGTATGTGTGTGTGCCCTGTGTGTGCCCTGTGTGTGTCCTGTGTGTGTATGTGTGTCCTGTGTGTGTGTTGTAATCTGTACTGTTATAAATGCCATGTGAGTTCATTCATAAAGTTGTTGGAATTGCTTACGAGATTTCCGTTGTACATAGATCTAGTTTATTTTATTATTTGTGCATCATGTTTATACAATTTCCCTGGTTTTCTATGCAGCGCTTGTAAACACTCCCCATATATTACGCTAAAAAAATATGGCCGGTGGAGGCCTCACGTTACGTTCGTTCTTCGCTTCTGCTGCCGTAGATGAAGAGCATGGGGCTGGGAGACCCACGCTTGTTTGGGTTCCTGGAGCCACCCCCGGCTTCCAGCCTGGAGACGTCCATGCAGTTCCTGCAGGAGCAGGGAGCACTGGACGAGCAGGAGGAGCTCACGCCGATCGGGCGCGTCCTGGCCACGCTCCCACTGGACGTGCTCACGGGTACGGGGAGGAACCGAGCCGTGTCTCGCCACGTCGCGGCAGGGACACGCGTGGTGAAGAGAAATGGGAGAAACGTGGAAGGAGTATCCACCGCAGTCTTATTCCTCCTGCCGTGTTCCCCACTCCCCTTGGTTCTGACCCATTACTGCTCCTCTTGCTCCGCTCGTTCTGTCCTGGGCCATAATCTCCATGCCCACTCTACAGTCCTTCACATCCTGGCTCACCGCTTGGAGCCACCTCTATATTAGCCTGCCCCTCAGTGTCCGCCCCTGGTGCTTCCATATTCATCATCTGATGTACCTACATGCCACTTGAGTCAGCTCTTAGCTTGTCTGCTATGAGTACCATTCTTCCTTTTTCCTCATCTCTTTGTATCCTTATATCTTTGAAGCCCATCTCTGCTACCCTCATTTCTGTGGTGCACAACATGTGCTCCAACTTGGCTTTTACACTCCGAACATTCAGACCCGTGCATCGCTACTGGTCTAATTACTGTCTTGTAAAGCACGTCGGGAACTTGGTATTCCTCATCACATGCCTGCTGCTGCTGCTCCTTTGCATCGTACTCGTCCAAAGAGGACCGCAATTGAGATGCTGTCTCCACCGCCGTGGTGGCGGTACCTCGCCGTGACGGTCAGGGTATTGTGTGGTCTCTGTCGGCTGTGTCATAACAGAGCCGTGCCGCCGCTGCTGCTGCTGTTGCTGCTGCAGGGAAAATGCTGCTCGTGGGCTGCGTGCTGGGTGCGGTGGAGCCGGTGCTCACCATTGCGGCCGCCATGAGTGTGCAGTCGCCCTTCCACCGCAACGCCCACACGAACCCCGACTGCTCCCGCGCACGCCGCTCGCTTGAGAGCGACCACGGCGACCCGCTCACCCTGCTCAATGTGTTCAACGAATGGGTGCAGGTACCGTGCTCATGCTCGCGCGCTAACACACTCTCACGCAATGCATTGTTACGCACGCGTTTCATTATCAGCAACAACCATTGTCTATCCATTGTCTATCCATTGCCGGGTGAATCCTCTGGAGCACGTCCCCCCCCCCCCCCTTTTTTTTTCCTGAAGACGACCGCTTGCGTTGCGATCGAAACGTCGTTTTCTGTTATTTTTTATTATTTTATTTGAACCTATCTACGTGACTTTACCGAGACCCAAGAATATAGTTTAGTACAGTAAAACCTTGGATTGTGAGTAACTTGGTCTGCGAGTGTTTTGCAAGACGAGCAACATGTTTTAATACATTTTAACTTGATAAACGAGCAAGGTCTTGCAATACAAGTAGTACGTACAGTATACGCTTTGTCTCCCGAGCGTCACGTGATCACAACTGAGCCAATGGTTCTTTTCTCTCTCTCTCTCGCTGCGGGATTGTGGGTAATCGTCTCCCATGCTCGGTCTCAGTCGGCGTGCCTCACTCGTATAGTCAACATCCGTGCGAAACTATACTGTTTACTATAGTGTTGTGACCACGTAAAGCATTTTTAAATTTTGTGTCCAAGTGTAGTGACTGTTCTTTAGTAACTGTGCTGCAAATGGCCCCCATGAAGAAAAGGGTTGAAAATGAAGGTGTTAAGAAGAAGGAGATGATTACGGTGGAAGTTAAGAAGGAAATCATCGAAGCACGAACAAGGTATGCGAGTGGCCGACATCACAAGATTTTATAACAAGTCAGCGTCGACGATTTTCACAGTATTACAGAAGACATAAGAAATAAGGGGGCTAGATGCAGCAAAAAGAGTCACGAGAGTATCAAAGCAACGGTCACGTGTTCTGGAAGATGTAGAAAAGTTGCTTCTCGTGTGGATAAACGAGAAGCAACTAGCAGGTGATACTGTGACCGAGAACTTTATCTGCAAGAAGGCAAAGGCCTTGTACGCCGACCTTGTAAGTAAACTGCCAGGTACGTCGACAGAAAACGAAGGCTTCAAGGCGAGCAGGGGATGGTTTGATAACTTTAAGAGGAGAAGTGGCATCCATAGTGTTGTGAGGCATGGAGAGGCTGCGAGTTCGGACGCTAAGGCAGCTGAGGCGTTCGCTGCCGAGTTCCAGAAGCTCATGGTTTCCAAGTTACCTGCCGCAGCTAGTTTTTAACTGCGATGAGATGGGGCTTTTTTGGAAAAAGATGCCAAAGAGGACCTACATTACAGCAGAAGAGAATGCAATGCCCGGTCACAAGCCCATGAAAGACCGTCTCACCCTCTTGTTGTGTGCTAATGCAAGCGGTGATTTCAAAGTTAAGCCCCTGCTCGTGTATTATTCCGAGAATCCACGACCCTTCAAGAAATGCAAGGTGCAGAAGAGCCAGTAAACGTTATGTGGAGGTCCAACAGCAAGGCTTGGGTCACTCGTATCTTGTTCGTTGAGTGGATCATCGACGTCTTCGGTTCTGCAGTGAATAAATACCTTTTAGAAAATAATTTGCCACTCAAAAGTCTTGCTGATTATGGATAATGCTCCTGCTCATCCTGCTGGCCTTGAGGACAACTTACTGGAGGAATTCGAGTTCATTAAGGTCAAGTTCCTTCCTCCCAACACCACTCCATTACTCCAGCCCATGGATTAGCTGGTCATTTCGAACTTTAAAAAGCTTTACACCAAAGCACTATTCAGCGATGCTTCGAGGTGACCAAAGGAACAAACCTTACCCTCCGAGAGTTTTGGAAAAATTTCCACATCGTAAACTGCCTCAAGATCATCGATAAAGCCTGGGATGGGGTCACCAAGAGAACCCTCAATTCTGCTTGGAGAAACTGTGGTCTGATTGCGTTGAGGGGGTTTGCTCATGAAAAGGAGCCGCCAGTTGTCGATGGAATTGTGTCCTTGGGGAAGACCATGGGACTGGAGGTGAATGAGGACGACATTCAAGAGCTGGTGGAGGAACATGGCCAGGAGCTGACCACCGACGAACTGATGGATCTGCATCGTGAGCAACAGCAAGAGGTTATGGAGGAGATCTCGTTTGAGGAGGAGGAGAAAAAAACGGAGGAATCCCTCACTTCAAATGAGATTAGGGAGATGTGTAAAATGTGGGAAACTGCAAAATTTCGTAGAAAAGCACCACCCGAATAAGGCTGTAGCAGTGCGAGCGATGAATCTGTTTAACGACAATGCAATGTCACATTTCCGTGAAATCCTCAAAAGGAGGCAAAAGCAAGTGTCATTGGATAGGCTCCTTGTTAAAGTTGCGCAAAAATAAAAATATTCCAGTGAGCCAACAGATGGCAGTGATTCCGTTAGTGACAGTGAAAGTCGTCCTATACAATAACCCTCCTCCTCCTCTCCCCTCTCTCGTCTCCCTTACACCAGCCACGATTCAATTGAATTAATAAATTTGATTACTTCATATAAAATTTTAATAATAAAAATATAAAAAGGTATTTTGTATTAATAATTTTTATATGAATATTTTGGGTTGTGGAATGAATCGTCTGAGTTTCCATTATTTCTTATGGGGAAATTCGCTTTGATATACGAGTGCTTTGGATTACAAACACGTTTCCGGAACGATTTATGCTCGCAATCCAAGGTTTTACTGTACTTTGGGAAGATTGATTTGGCTAGACCTTGGTAGACACCACAGGGCTCCCCCTCACTTTCCATTCAACATCATGGGGGAGTACAGCGTACACTTCCTGTGTGTGGATTCTAGAAGCCGCCAAGTATATGGGGCTACCCTGGTTACTAGGGGCAGTGATGCAATGGACTTGACAGGAGAGCACGGTCAAGTCCCAACTACACTTATGAGTACAGAAAGGGAATAGGAGGCACATACCAGTTCAACTAACTACATTTAAAAAGGATGATTATATACGCTTTGGTTCTTTCGGTAAAGTCCTGTAGATAGAAAATTCATAGATCACGACGTTTTGATCGCAACACAAGCGACCGTCTTCAGGTGAAGACGGAGTATGGATTCCTGCAGTCACGAAAGTTTAAAATCAAGATAGGATGAATATATATAAGATGCAGACTATTCTATTGGAAAAATATCCCAAGCCATCCTGCACAGCTGATTTGTTACACATTTTACTTGACTCCGTTCGCCTGTGCATCCACCAGGCTGTAGTTTACAGCAATGATGGTGTTGGGAAGGTGGTGCGGAGTGCGCAAGGTTCCTCCCAACTCAGCGTTCAGTGTTGGCATCTCCCATCGAGACCTGGTTTATCTGCTGACAGGTGAAGTCGGGCGGTCAGGTGCCATCACGCAAGTGGTGCAAGAGGCACGGACTGGAGGAACAGCGCCTCTACGAGATCGCCAACCTGCAGCGCCAGTTCAAGGTGGCCCCCACAAGTGTGTGTCAGTCAGGACGATCGTCCGTGGTGCTTGTGTGTTTGTGCTTTCGTGCCAATGTTTTATGTGTGCTCTGGGGCTGGCCATGTGGTGTAGGAGTCGGTTTTTGGTGTAGGAGTTGGTGCTTGTGCTGTGCGAGTCACTGCTGTTGGTGTGCTGTAGAAGCTGCTGTGCTGAATGAGTCACTGCTGTTGGTGTGCTGCAGAAGCTACTGTGCTGAATGAGTCACTGCTGTTGGTGTGCTGCAGAAGCTGCTGTACTGAATGAGTCACTGCTGTTGGTGTGCTGCAGAAGCTACTGTGCTGAATGAGTCACTGCTGTTGGTGTGCTGCAGAAGCTGCTGTGCTGAATGAGTCACTGCTGTCTGTGTGCCGCAGGAGCTGCTGTGCTGAATGAGTCACTGCTGTTGGTGTGCCGCAGGAGCTGCTGGTGCAGTTCGGGCTGCTGGGTGGCGGGGAGGAGCCCGTGCGGGACAGCGTGCAGCGGGTGCGGCAGCATGGGGAGCGGCGCCGCCTGCACCAGCTGCGGCGTGAGCACGAGCAGCGCGGCCCCCAGAAGCGCAAGCTGCTGCGGCTGCAGGACGGGGGCCTCGAAGAGGATGACGGCGGCGATGACGGGGAAGACGACGGCGCCAGCGGCTCCAGCAAAACCATCGACATCCAGGTCCCCCTCCTCCTGTCCCTCCTCCCTCCACCGCCGTCGCGGTGCGCCTGCGTTCAAAGATGACGCAGCCACCGAGCCTCAAGAAGACTCCTCAGGAGAGCGGGATGATGAGATTTTGGGCCAGTTATCTTTTTAATTACATCACAAAATGGGAGGAAACTGGAATACAAACTCTGACACACATTTCAGATTTAAGTTGTATTGCATCTCCTCACTGCCACGTCGCTGTGCAAGAAAATGATGATAATTATACAGACGAAAAGGATGATGTCTGCATGACAATCGATGTCATCATGAAACCGAGCCCTCGCTTCTTTCCAATCATCACACCCTCCTCCCAAGCCCTCACGCTGCGCACATCCCCGTCGCATTATCGTGCAATTTCGGTTGCACAATCCACCACCCCCCCCCCCCCCACCACTAAGGGCACCGGATCGCAGGGGGCCTTTGGCGAGCGAGCGCAGTCGCGAGTCTCGGCTTTAATAGGCGCTCGCTAACGGCACTTTCCACAACGGCCTGTGGAAGGCTACACGGGGGATCTTTGTCTTGGCTTGTGCAGGACGTCAAGTTCAAGCTGCGCCACGACGTGGGCCGCCTGCACGCGTCCTCGCAGAGCTCGCGGGGGCTGTCACGGCGCCAGCTGAGCGTGCTGAAGATGGTGCTGTGCAGTGGCCTGTACCCCCAGCTGGCAATCCCCGATGAGTGCAACGCTGCCAGGAAGGACTCGGATCAGGCAGCTCTCCCACCGTCCACGCACGCTCCCCCACCGTCAACGACGGACACGTTCACACCTCGCACACTCAGACTGCGCTCGCGTCGCGCTCAGTCTCCACGAAGTCGCGTGCAACAATTAAGACGAATTTGTCTCAAGTCACTCCCCATGTGGCATTCAGAACCTCACACTTGCAAATAAGACTCTGCCCGTCTTGAATCCGTGCCTGAACAAACATAACAATCTCTACCCACGCGCGAGTGCAAAACTACGCGCCCGTGTCGCGCTTGCACGCAGCCTCACGCGAGTTTCCCCGCAGGTGTTCCACACGAGGAGCAAGCCGTTCGTCGTGCTGCACCCCACCGCGGTGTTCGCCAACAGCCCCGAGCTGCTGGCCCCACCCGAGGAGCGCGAGGACACGCGTCCCGGTAGGTACCACCAGGTGGGGGCGCCCCGCGCGCCCCTCCTTCCGCGACGAAGCGATAACCGGCCTGCGTGACTGGGTATAGAACAGGTACAACAGGCGTACCTCCTGCGTTGTAGCGCTGTAAGAGTTCTCACCGGAACAAAAATAGAGGTTTGCGCACAATGCCTGTGCTGGTCATCTCCGCACTGACTTCCAGTGAATTGTGGAATCGATTTTTTTTATTACTGACATTTAAAGCACTAAACGACATCAGAGTGCTTGTCAGAATTATTGAGTCGCTATCGGCCTCCGCGTGCACTGAGGTTAGCAGACAGTGGTGACCCCTACCCTGCGCTCTTGAGGGTCGGGCTCGGGTTGAGAGGAGGTGGCTCCCCTGGGGTCGCACTCTGCGACTCTGGAACTCTGCCCCATCGTGTCACAGGTTTTGCCGACAGTGGCTTTTTAAAATCAAAGATCAAGGTCTATTTCTGTAATTTAGCCTCCTGATTTTATGCTGGCATGTTATGGTTATTTTAATGTTTTTTTTCTTCTATGGATATTTATTATTTTATGAGATTTGTCTGTTAATGTTTTATCTTCACTTGTGTAAAGTTTGTTGCCTTAAACCTTGTGGAATGAAAGGTGCTCTGAAAATAACGATTATTCTCAGAAAACCAATAAAAATTTCATAAAATATACATTTTCAAGATTCCCCAAAAGCCTGAGGCAGGCAATAAAAAATTATGAGCCTCCGAGGAGCCTGCTACGTCGCATTTTCGGGTTCCTTGTTGCGGCTTGCCAAGCGTTGTAAGCTTCTCCTCTGCCCGTGTTTACCGCGCGCGCAGTGACGGCGGCGCCACGGAAGTCCGGGCAGAGCCACCGGCACCAGCTGCTGGCGTACGCCTCGCTGCTGGAGACGACCAAACCCTACCTGGTGAACAGCATGCGCGTGCCGGCGCTGCAGGTGTGCGCCCGGGCTTGGCCCGTCCCCCGTTGTCCACGCAGCGCACACGCCCACAGAGCATGCCGTACAAGCTTGGTATATTCGTCAGTAACACCACATTAAAAGGAACAAGTATACGATAGGTGACGTTTCACAGGACATCGGAGGCCACGGCAGGAGACAAACACCGATAGTACACGCAGAACACGCCATGAGCACGCACACACACCGCTCCATACAAGCCACGCGCAGACACGCCACGCGCCGCCGGCCCCACGCGCCCTCTGCACCGTCTGCCGTGCCGCAGGCCCTTCTGCTGTTCGCGCGCTCGCTGGACACGAGCGCCGACTGCCGGCGCGTGGTGGCCGACGGCTGGCTGGAGCTGTCGCTGGGGGACGCCGAGCAGGCGCAGCAGGTGCTGTGGGCCGCAGTGCAGCAGCGCGAATCCTGGGAGCGGCTGCTGCGCTCACACCTGCTGAGCGGGGGCGCCGTGGCGACGCGCGGGGTGCAGCTGGGCCCCAGGCTTGAGCCTCAGGCCCAGGCTCGGCTCAAAGAGACGCTCACTGAGCAGCTGGCGGAGTTCCTCGAATCCAAGGCACGAGCGCGCAGACAAACATGCACGAACGCGCAGACAAACAAGCACGCACGCGCAGACAAACATGCACGCACGCGCAGACAAACAGGCACGCAAACTCACAAATTAGACAAAGATCGGCCATATAGCCTTTTAGAAACTGTTGGCAAGCACCTATCAAGGCTGGCAAAGGCACACGAGGGGGTGGAAAACACCCCACCCGGCCATCTTTGTCTCCCCAGTGCTGATGTTTACAAACCGCACCAGGCACTCATTTAAGGCTGAGTTGACCTCGAGGAGGCCCAGGACCGGTTCGGATATTCGTCACTGGTATTGGCCGTAAGCGGTATTGGCCGTAAGTGGGAATTGAACTCGGGCCATAGCGCAGTGTGCTAACCACTACGCTACCGCTTCTCACACGTTACAAACGTGAACTCGCACACAAGCATTCAAACTCGCCCGCTTACAATCACAGACGTAATCGCAAACGCGCATGTGCGTGCGTCGGGACAGGTGGAATACACTATGCGCCGGCTGGGTGGGCTGGAGATGAAGACGCTGTACGTGGGGCCAAGCGAGGCCGTGAACGCAGAGCCCGATGGGCCGGGCCTCTTCCCCATGGCCCAGAGTCGGCCCCACGCCACCAAGGGCGGTGTCGCCGTCAACTCCTACCTCACCTACGGCTGCCTCCTGGTGAGGCCTCCGCACTTGCCCTGCGCTTCCGAACCATCGTGGTGCTGTAATACTTTATGCCCGACAAAATTACCAATAGGCCCATATATGGAAGAAAGTAGGTGTGGTGTTGCCGAATTTATAGAGAGTTGTGAAACCTGATTCAAGGTGTCTATTGTAGCCATTCTGCTCAGTCGATCTGACAGTCACGTTAAAATGTACGTTTTTATATTCCCCTACATTCTGCGATTGAGATTGCATACAAAACAAGGGCGTACATGTCCGATTTTGTTATTTTTGAGAATTCATCACGAAATATTCGAGGGTTTTTCACTGCGTCAATTTATTGGCAAGCAATCCATGGATCGTGTAATCCCATTGGTTAGTGTACTGCCCCCTAATTTGATTGGCCAATTGCTGTGTGATAGGCAACTCACTCGCAGGTAGTTGCTCAGAAATCCTGGTCAGTGGTTGACTGAGCTCATTGTCGTCACACGGTAGCTGGTGGTTGTCAGGGGGGTGGTGGGGAGCAGTAGTAGTGCAACGGTTTGCGCACTGCACTGCACCCAGCGACCCGAGTTCGATTCTTGCTGAAGGCCAACACTAGTGATGATTGTCTCAACCAGTCCTGGGCCTCCCCTAGGTTGACTCGGCCTCATCGGAGGTGCGCTACATAAACATTGCCACTGGGGAGACAAAGGTGGCCGGGAGTGGTGCTGGCCATAGACCCCCTGGGGTGCCGTGCCGGTCTTCATTGGTGCTAACAGCACTTGCCCCAACAGTCTGTACGCAGGATCTTTGGCTACGCACGTGGCCTGTAACCCAGCACTGTGGAGGTAGCGAGGGTTGGTGGTATCACGCAAATGTTGTGAAACTCCGTGCCTGTGGGCGTCGAGGAGCCATATAATGGCTTGCCAAGTGGTGGTGGTACAGCAAGTCGATTAATCTCCATCCTTTCCACCTGTACGGGATAGAGTGCTGTCCCTCCCACGTACACTCATGAATGGGTTGAAAACCTCTTTATATGCATGGTACAAGCGAGTTTTTGCGGACTGTGCAGTGTTGTGAGATACTTTGCATGAGCTACGCTGCTATAGAAAGTCGATTGTGATTATTAGGGTAATTTTGTGTTAACCGAAAGTCCTATGGCTAGACTCTGGTCTGCCACAAGAATGTGGAATTTCCAGCATTGGCTTAGGGCTGCGAATAGAAGTTGAGCACCGGGAGCACTCTGAATGAGATACCAGTCCAAGTTGAATAACGTTCATTACCCTGTTAAATACCACCAGTCTCGGGGCTCCAATGCATATTGTGTATTTCACTCTGAATGAACTGTATGATATCTTTCATTTGGCATGATCCCAATTGCAATTCCTAAAACCCCACGCAACGTCATCACCGCGCTTGGCATGTGCACGGCTTGGCATGTGCACGGCTTGGCATGTGCACGGCTTGGCATGTGCACGGCTTGGCATGTGCACGGCTTGGCATGTGCACGGCTTGGCATGTGCACGGCTTGGCATGTGCACGGCTTGGCATGTGCACGGCTTGGCATGTGCACGGCTTGGCATGTGCACGGCTTGGCATGTGCACGGCTTGGCATGTGCACGGCTTGGCATGTGCACGGCTTGGCATGTGCACGGCTTGGCATGTGCACGGCTTGGCATGTGCACGGCTTGGCATGTGCACGGCTTGGCATGTGCACGGCTTGGCATGTGCACGGCTTGGCATGTGCACGGCTTGGCATGTGCACGGCTTGGCATGTGCACGGCTTGGCATGTGCACGGCTTGGCATGTGCACGGCTTGGCATGTGCACGGCTTGGCATGTGCACGGCTTGGCATGTGCACGGCTTGGCATGTGCACGGCTTGGCATGTGCACGGCTTGGCATGTGCACGGCTTGGCATGTGCACGGCTTGGCATGTGCACGGCTTGGCATGTGCACGGCTTGGCATGTGCACGGCTTGGCATGTGCACGGCTTGGCATGTGCACGGCTTGGCATGTGCACGGCTTGGCATGTGCACGGCTTGGCATGTGCACGGCTTGGCATGTGCACGGCTTGGCATGTGCACGGCTTGGCATGTGCACGGCTTGGCATGTGCACGGCTTGGCATGTGCACGGCTTGGCATGTGCACGGCTTGGCATGTGCACGGCTTGGCATGTGCACGGCTTGGCATGTGCACGGTGTGTAGTCGGGTGCCGCCACCTGGACAGCTTAGCGCAGCTTCTAAACTAAACCTGCTGCCAGGCTTCACCACGAGCACCATCCCCTCCACCGTGTGGGTTTTCTCAAAGTATTTCTGTTGTCCTCCCACACATTAAAATATTGAGTTCATAATTCACCAAATATGTCAAGCGGGATGCTCCTGAAAAAAGTCACTCCTTGAAATGTGAACCCACCTGACATGTGCTTGGGGCACATTCCCGCATGAGTTAACACAGAAATTTTCCACGTTGGCGACGAGGTGATGGTGTTGCCACTTTGCGCATGATGCTCTGCACGACGGTGTTGTGCCTTTGTACGGTGGCGTGACGGTAGCGTGACGACATTTGGCCGCAGGAGGGTTCGGACAGCATGTACGGCGAGTGTCTGCGAGTCTTCTGGACGTGTCCGCGCTGCGAGCTGCACATGCCGCTGACGCCGCTCGAGAGGCTGCAACACAGCGACGCGTGCAGCCGGGGGGCGGAGCAGCAGGAGGGTGCGAGCGCAGCCGGTGCCTACTGCCGCGAGTGTTCACGTCAGTTGACTGCAGGGCCATCCTTGGTGATCTTGCTGGCCGAGGCAGGGAATGCAGACTCCTAATGTTTGTGTTGTAGACTTCTGAGCAGTACGGTCTCAAATAAGTACCTGGGGCGGTGTGTAAACATCGCCACTGGGGAGACAAAGGCGGCCAGGCGTAATGCTGGTCACCCACCCCCTCGTGTGCTGTGCTGGCTTTAATAGGTGCTCGCTAACAGCCCTTGCCCCAATAGTATGTTAAGCCTATACGGGGGTGCTGCCGTCAAGGTCCAAATTTCATTAATTGCAATTTACTTAATTGGGAAAATACAAAGCAACATCAACCCCTTCTGGCAGACAAATGCAATCTGCAGGCCGGTGCTGCATCGGGACAGCTACCACTGTCGGTCCCCTTGGCTGGACTACAGCAAGGCAATGGAATGGTAAATATGTAACGACAGGCACTTTGAGTTACTTAAGTATTTAAGAAAGTGCCCCTATCGTTATGCTTAACTACGGTGGTCATTGATTTAATGCATATTTTAGATGGCTTGAATATTTAAAACAGATATACGGTTAATCCATCACATTGTGAGACTTTCAGATTCATGTTTTCCTCTGGCATTTGCTTAATCAACTTGACTCATTTAACTTCACCGAGTCTCATCAGCAAAGTGCGACCTTGTAAACCAATGGCACTGGGTGTCCCGAATTTAAGGGCGGGAATTGCCGCCCACTAACGATTCGGGTTTTCAACGACGCGTAGGTAACGCACTCGCCTGGCCAGTCTGCTGTAGCCGTGAGCCGAGGGTTGAAAATCCATATTTTATGGCCTGCGGTGCTGCCGGACGAATCGTTTGCCCCCCTCATCTTGATGTCTGTGCACCCACGCGCGTTTCCTCTGCAGCCACTTCCCAGGGCCCCGGGTGCACGGGGACAATGCCCGCACGCCTGCAGCAGCTCTACCACTGCGACGAGTGTGGGCAGGACCTGCAGCTCGCCCCCACGGAGATCCTCAAGCACAAGAGGAGCCACAAGGATGGCAGCGGACACAGCACCTAGAGCTCGGGCCGCGAACGCCCATCCGGTCAAATGTGCGGAGGCGGCTCGTGATTCCACGCCAGGATAGGGAAAGCAACTGCAACATCCAGAACAGAATGTGGCCAAACCTCGACTGTCGCCAGAGTTGTCGAGAAGTAAGAGGAACGCTGTTGTCAGCCTGGTTTTTATTTATTATGAAAAGTCATTTTTTTATACAAATGCAGCTGTGTATATAGATGTGAACCTCGCATGTGAAAGACTGATAAAAGAAACATCTGTGATAAGAAGCCGTGCATCTCGTAGTCGTCGCGGTAACCTCGTGGTGTCACCACTGTATGCACGCCGAACTTGTCACACGGTATGCAACTAACCACGCTGAGGTGAGGGTATCAGGCTCTTGGCCTGGGGAAAAGGTTCTTGCCGGGGGAGTTCATGCCTTACCTAATTGTGGAACAATCAACCTCCACACAATCGCCATGTTAAGCAACACTCTTATAGCACGTGACAATTCAACTTGCTTGGCTATGTCAGGTGGTGGAGGGGTTTCATGACAAAAATTTTGCCAGATCATTGTGGCCTAAGCCAAAAATCTATTCTGGATTGTGATATTGGCTGCGAAACCCCACGTGTTAAGTAGATGAAGCCTGTTTTGTACTACTGCTGCCTTGTTCACTGAGCACAGAGCTGGTAACGCTAGATCATACGGACAGATGCTGGTTTGCAAGCGTCTGGCTTCTTGCTCTGACGAAAAAATCAATAACGCAATCATAGCACACGCATCACAAGCTTTCCCGAGTTGCCACCTTTCTCCGTGCCTCCCTCCGCCTGAGGGCACCGCTGCGTCTCTCGGTGGCCCGAGCATACCGTTGAACCCCCGCAGCCTGGCGACGCCGGAGATGGATATTGCGATCGTTAACGCGCCCCTGGATATCGAATTCATCAGCTCCGGCTGCTTGCCGCTTGCGCACTGCCTAACGATGACCACATGCTGCCACGTCCCGACGCCAGCCGATTTCGGCGGCGGCTCCAAGGGGTGGTTCGTGTATCCCAACAGCTTGTGGACCTCTACGTCACCCCGCCATTTTCCTACGCTCAATAAACATCTTTTCAAAGTGGCAACGTGTACCATTACACACCAACGACTGCACAAAATCGAGACTGTTTACGAGAGAGGATTTCATTGCACTGCCTTGGCCTCTTCAGGACTCCAGCCACGTGGCTAAAAAACAACTTAACTGGTATTGGTCAAACATCACAATGCTGAAAAATTACCTGAAATTTACTCAAATAGGATCATACACAGCAACATCACCCCTTACTGAGGAAACCTGGCAGGGCCCTCCTGAAAGAGTCATGAGACTTGGTGAGGCTTTCCTGGGTGACCATGTGGATGATAATATTGCTTCAGGAGCCATTAGATGATATGTGATGGACAATGCCTCCGGAACCTCTGGTGGTGGGATGCAGTAACCGCCCCCCACCTCAACCACCTGCACGCCGACACCGTGGGCCCGGCAGACGAAGCCTAATCCAGGCAGTCGGGTTGCCACCCTTTCAAATGCAGACCAAACCCAGAGACGTTTCTCGGTGAGCCGAGGTCTATAAACCCTGTACAGCGAAAAGTTTGACAATACTGTGAGACGTCAAACAAATCAATCCACGCCACCCAAACCAAGATACCAATTTCCAGACAGGTAGCAACCCAAATTAGACAGCCGCTGTATAACGGACAGTATTCATTGCAAGGTTCACACTCCGTTCACGATATTAAAACGACAATACACAGCTTTTAAATAAATGTGTTTTTTTATATGAAAAAGAAGAAAGAACTACCAAACCAAGAATGAGGTGCAGAAAGTAAAATATCCACAGCCATTGCAGAACAAGCTTAAAGTGAAGCCGTGAGCGTGGTTAATAATAAAAAGGTTCAGTGGTGCAGCCCGTCCTGGTGCCGGCTGCCAAACGGGGCGGCCGCAGCAGCCCGCGGCAAACGCAGCGCGCGCACCGATGCACGCGCCGTACCGACAGCACAACCGCCGCGTCACGCGCTCACGACCACTACGTTAACCACTGTGTGGTTAGTTTGTTGTCCTTCCCCCGCACCTCCGATTAGCAAGGTTGGCTACGTACGGTGCAAAAGAAGTTCAACGTACATACATAACCAGGAAACCACTACGATCAAATGTAGTTCATTCAACGCTGGTAAAAATGTACATTTCTCTATCACGCGTTAGGTAGAGAAATGTGTTTTTTTTACCAACATTTTAATGTTGGTAAAAAAAATCTTAGTAGTACCGTTTGTATGCAAAACATTAATTTTGGCAAATATATATGAAGAGTTAGATGCTGTAAGACCACAAACCTTCGTACTGTGAACACAACTTGGACTGCACACCCCTCCTCCTCTTGGCAAGATGACAAAGTCACGCGTGGAGAACGCACATGCACCGACTGGGAACGCGAACCGCCCCCTGGTCCAGCCGCCGCGAGTGGCTCACGGGAAGGGCTTCAACGCGCGGGTCGACCCCCCATGGTCACGTGGTGTTTGTTCATTAGCGGTATATATGACACCAAGCGCCAACGCTTGCTTTTACTTTTTGAGTTTCAAATTTGTGTTTTCATGTTTTTATTAGAATTAATTTGAAATTGTTACAGTAGTTAATTTATAACCATCGCAGCACCCACGTTAGTGGCAGTGCCAGGCGTGTGCAGTGTTAAGAGTACAGTATTGCAAAGAATTCTACGTTTGCAGATAATTTACAAGTTTGCTTGATCTGCTGTTAATGCAGGAATCCCGCATTTAGAGGTTTCTAGCTCACTGGGACCCTCCTGCAGTAATCAACTCGACTGCGGTGTTATTCCGCGATCCGTGCCACCGCAACACACGGTCAGTGTTTGTAGCTCGCCAGGAGGCTCCTTGCCATTAAGGAATTGAAATTAAAATTCCCTGCGCCGGCAAAGGCCAGCCCCTCCATGGTCCCTCTCCCAAGCACCGACACTACCAGCGCAACCTCGAATGGAAACACATTTACATTATAAAAAATACTACAAAATATCCAAACACGGTTGTAAAAGCTTTTCAAAACTATTGACAAAATCCCTTATTGAGCTACTGCACATAAAGTACACTTCGTCATTAAAATCAAGAACCGCCACCCATTACGTACCACATGCCTTATGTGCATAGACCTGATCATCTGTAGTATTAGCTGCTATACCATGTGACTGAAGAACGAGAAGTTAATCGTGTACACTTTGGTAAGTCAAGGACAGCGTAGTGCTGTGCGTATCAATGCGAGTACCACCGTGCGCTGGACCGGGTGGATTTGTGTCTCCGAAACGTTACGGCCGTTGGCTCCCGTGCACAGCTCTCACTAGCAACTGCGTGGGACGTCTATTACAGTAATTAAATTGCTTTCGTCAATTAGTGTTTTAACAAAATCACAGGAGAACGCAATGTTTTCATTACTAGAGCAGCGTCGCACTGCTGCCTCTGCTACTGCAGCAGTGGCAGTGTGGGTTCGTGACAAGAGCGGAGAGGCGATCAGAGCCCAAGCCGTTGCACTACACGTGCTGGAGTTAATTAAACTTGGTCATAAGCCTGCTGTTGGGAATGATCGATACCCCTAGATTAATCGCGCAAAATCAACAAGGGTTACTAATTTATCTTATTGACAAAATCAATCACGACAACCCCAGAGCGTTTTTGAAATAATGCCACAAAAGTAATGATACCAATGCGGAAATTATATGGGCAGTGGATACGCTTGCACAGCTACTGCACATACAGCCGTAACACAAAACGAGAGACCGAGTCAAGCTGGAATCTTTAAACACTGTACAAACGTGGTTCCCTTCGCGCGGAGGGTTGGCGAGACTCTAAAGCGGGAGGAGGAGATTGATACGCACGGCGCCGAGCGTCCCAGACAGTCCCTGGGCCACGGCGTTAGGGGGGTACGTAGGTGGGCAGCGACTTGACGGGGTGGACGCTCTTGGGGTGGGACCTGCGGCTCTCCTCCACGCTGGCGAAGGGCGGGGGGGGCTGGTACGGGGGCACGCTGCCCCCGCCGCCGTCATCCCGCAGGGGGCGCAGCTCCTCAGGCAGTCCCCCGGGGAACGTCTGCCCCGAATACTCGGGGGGCGAGAGCGGGGCGCGCTCCTCTGTGAGGATGAGCGGCATGCTGGAGGACGGCGCGGGCTTCGCCTCGTCCAGTTCGTCCGCGAAGATGATGGGGACGCCCTTCTTGATGAACGTCGTGTGCTCCTCCAAGGACATCTTGCCCCGGCGCTTCCTGCGGTAGCAGACGAACGCGACGACGCCGGCGATCAGGAGCAGGAGGGCGACGGCCACGGCTGGGATGACGGTGTGGAGGTAAGCGTCGTCCTGGCTCAAGCTCCCGAACTGCGTGGGGGGCTCGGTGGCGCGCGACACCGCGGGCTCCCACGGCGCCGTCGACAGGAAGTTCGCCCCCTGGCAGCCGTCGGTTCCCTTTATTCCGACCGCCACCGCCTCGAACTCGGGCAGCATGGCGGCGCGGAACTCGTCACGCGGCCTGCCGTCTCCCGCGTGCATCTTGCCATACAGCTGTCGCACTTCCGCAAGGGGGCACGGCTCCGCGGGGAGGGAGCCATTGCTCCACGTCACGACGAGCGAGCCGTAGCGGAGCCCCTCCAGGGTCAGCACGCTGGCATTCTTCTCGCCAAACGCCTGAGCCAGCTTCTTCATTAGCTTCACCTTCAGAAAGAGGCTCTTTGACACCGCGTCGTAGTCGTTGGCGAACGTCGCCTCGAATTTCACGCTCGATTTGCCGCCGTTGGGTTTGTCGCGAACCACGATTTCGAAAGCGTCGGAGACGAACTTGCCGCCTTTGTCGGTGGCGGTCAAAAAGAACTCGTGTTTGGTGACCTCGTCGTCCGGCGGGAGTCCGAACAGCACCCGGCTGGCGCTGTTGAGCTGCACCCACGCCGAGTGGTCCACGTGGGAGGACAGAGACAGCTTCAGCTTGTCGGTGGGGCCGTCTTCCGCGTCGTAGAACGTGTCCACCGGGATCTTGTACTCGAAGTAGGTCCCCGCGTTCACGTCCAGGCGGTCCACCGGGTTCTGCAGGTACGGGACCTGGTTGGCCGCGGGCCTTGGCGCGGCCTCGTCGGGCTTCTGCACGCGGGGCCTCTTGGAGCGCGGCGGCTTGCGTGTGGCGGCGGCAGCGGCGGTGGCCGCGGTGGTGGTGACGCGCCGAGCGGAAGGGGCCGTGGCGGCCTCCGTCTTCCGGGAGACGTCGGGGACAGCGGGAGGGGCGGGCACGAGCGTGGGCTCCGCGGTGCCGGGCAGCGTGGCCGTCGGCTTAACGGGGAGCAGCGCCGTGGCTGCGCCGCCCGCGGTGAAGCGGTCCCGGCCACGGTCCGGCGAGGCAGTTCGAGTCGTCGGGAGCGGGGAGTGCGACGGCTGGGAGGGCACGATGCGCGCGGGTGGCTCCTCGGGCTGGGGGGGCCGGGTGGGGGGGGCGCTCGTCATCACCGGCGTGGGCGTCACGTGCAGCGCCCCGCGCCGGACGCGCTTCCCCGCGGGCGGCTTCTGGTTGGCGATGTACCAGCCAAGCACCGGGAATCCCAGCGCCGTCGCCATGGCGCCCTCCTTGGCCGGCTTCTCCACGGCCGCCAAGCTAGGCACCGAGGCCTCGCCGAGGCCGCAGCCCAGCAACCAGGACAGCGTGGCGCCGTTCTCCACCATCTTCTTGGCGTTGCCCGGCCCCGCCACGAAGGCCGACATGTCGAACAGCTTGTTGTTCCGCACGGGCAGCAGCCTCATGTCGTGCATCGCGACGCCCGAGAAGGCGGTCATCCTGTCGAGGAGCTGCGTGCGCCGCGCGAGCGCCAGCGTGTCGACGTCGGCGTCGATCACCACCGTGAGCACCGTGTGGGGCTGGCCCGGCTCGCACGCCGCCAGCGCGATCGAGTTGGAGAAGGGCGCAGGCGGTTTGGCGCTGGCGGAGCTCTCCTCGGGCAGGACGGCGATGGAGAACACCTGGCTGGGGCTCGCGTCGTGGCCGATGGAGATGTGGTAGACGCCAGTGTCGGCTTCCAGGGGGTGGCCCAGGAGACGGCCGGCCCGGGGGTCCCAGTGCAGCCACCGCGGCAACGCATCACTCCCCACCTGGTACACCTGCGAGCAACAGAGACAAAGATCATCCGTGTAGTCGTAACGGACTGTTGGGGCAAGTGCGGTAAGCAAGTAGCACCTATGAAGGCCAACATGACACACGAAGCGGTGGGTGGCCAACACCACGCCCGGCCGCCTTTGTTTCCCCAGTGGTGATGTTTACACACTGCACCAGGTACCCATTTGAGGATGAGTCGACCTAGGGGAGGCCCAGGATCGGTGAAGATAATCCTCACTGGTCTTGGAATGTTGGCCGTGAGCGGGAATCGAATTTGAGTCGCTGGATTCATAGCGCAGCGCGCTGACCGATACGCCGCCATTCCCCACACGCAAGGACAAAACAACAACAACAACCGCCATTCGCCATTAAGTGGCGGTGACGTCACCACGACGCTTGTGCCAGGCCATGTGCACCTTGAGGCCACGTGAAGTGTTGAAAGCCCGCTGGCAGGAGGTCACGGGGCAGACCCAGGTGCCACGGGTCGACTGACTGAGATGACCGGCTGATGCACCACCTGTGCTCCCTACTGTGCCAACTTGCTGTGCTTTAGCCACCCGGCGCTCCGCTCGTTGTTGTGAGCGTCGCTCCTCCGCCCTCCGTTGTTGTTGGAGGGCAACTGCCCAGTAGCGTCCTTCACGAGTCTCCTCTACTGAAGCCGATCTTGACACCGTTGGTACCAGTCATCGGCAAGTCCACTCAGCTCCACGTCCTCCTGTACATCACTCCATCTCTTCTCTAGCCCGTGCCGCGCCGCGCCCGTTTAGCCCCCTCGATCCGGCTGAACAAAAGCTGTTTAGGCATGCGGTGGCTGGGCATGCGGGCTACATGACCCAGCCAACGCACACACGCATCGTTCTTCTGAGCTATCCAACTTGTATTGATTGACTGCCCCAAAAACTCCGAGTCTAATATGATTGAGGGGGTGCGGAGTTGTGTGGATTGGGCTGCAGTGTGCCACGCATACAGAGCGAGCAATGCACTGCACCTCGCTCTTGAGCAATTCAATCTCCATGCTGTACGTACAGCGGTACACGCACACGACACACGATCTGCAGAAATCCGAAATGCGCAATTCTCACAGCCACGATACGATACAAGCGTAAGCGGAGGAATCGATTTAACTTGTGACCCGCTGCGTTATTAGCCTGACCGCCACGCTCCACCGGTTACCACCGTTAAGTTATTCAGCAACGTCCGACCGCCGCCCCCGCGCCGCGCGCACCTGGACGGACGCGTTGCCCTCGAGCAGCGCGGGGAGATGGAGCTCAAAGCCCTGGCCGGCGCTCGTGCTTAGGTCGGGCACGGCCCCCGCCGCGTCCCCCGGCCCCCGCGGCTCTGCGGGAGGCAGCGGCTCCTGGCTCTGCCACTCCGGCCTCCAGTCGAGGGCCCGGAGGCTCGGCTCGGGGAACGAGTCGGGCCCGGCGCGACCGAGGAGCTCGCCGGGCCGGCTCGGCTCCTCCGCGTTCCCGGTGCCGGCCCCGGCGCTGGCCTTGTCGAGGCCGAGCATGACGAGCGCGACAAGCAAAGCAAGCAGACAGGCCATGGCCCTGTGCATGACGGACACGGCCCAAGGGCGGCTGTCCCCCGCCCCGTCGCACCTCGGAGGGAACTGACGGAGATTCTGAAATTGAGAGGAGGGCACACACAATAGCACAACATCAGAATTGGCTGTAACTTGTTTAAATAAAACTACAAATGTTTTCTAACTGGTGTTTGTCTTGAGATTGTAAAACCTGTATTTTAATTCTGAGGGCTGGAATGTAACCAAAATAGGTGACAGCCATTGGTGATTGGGCCGAGATAATTAGCGGAGTTGAGAACGAGGATTAATCGTGGGCGGCTGAACCAAGATTCAAACCCAGGTCCTCAGTGGCACCAGCTCAGTTCTCTATCCTTTGAACCACCTGGACATGTCTTTTGTCCTGCAGATGCCTCTGGTGTGCCTGTGCTGCTGAGGAATACGCCGATACTCATTGAAAACATGGACTGCCCCACACTCATCACACGTGGAGGAACGATGGGCGCACTGCCACAGCCCGGGCAAGCACTCTGTATCAGAAACATAGAACAGAACCTCCGTCATATGGGTGGAGATGATCAGGCAAAAAGACAAAGATCCCTCGTAGAGCCCTAAAATAATTTTGTGGAATGTGCTATTTGCGTGCACCTATGAAGGCCGGCACAGCATGCCAAGGGATGGGTGACCAGCGCCGCGCCCAGCCGCCTTTGTCTCCTGAGAGGCCAAGTGAGCGGTAATCGAACTCTGGTCGCGGGTTCGTAGTGCAGCGCGCTAACACACACGTACACACGTGAATCGGGTTTCTGTGTTCAATCAGGACAGGGTTGTGTACCATTAACCCAGGCGTTAACAATTAATCAGGTGTTTGTAACAATGCACACAAGTATGCTGTTGAGAAGCGAAAAGTAACTAACCATTGTTGCTGGAGGGTTTCCAAGGCATTTGGTTTAGCATTTAGCTGCGCTCAGCAGCACGCTCGCAGGAATTCAGTGTGGCCTCGGAGAGGTTCTGCGTCCGCTGCAGCGGCACAGCCTCCAGAGCCACACCGCGTGAGCTGCGCTTTCCCCCGCGTGCGGTGGGAGGAGAGATATCAGCCACGGCTTCCAGCAACAGCCGCTCCACTAACCACATCACGAACCGCACTGCTAGCCACATCGCTAGCAGCATCACTCACCGCATCACTAACCGCACCAATAACAGCACTACTAACCGCATTACTATCCGCACCACGAATCACATCATTGACTGCACTGCTAACAGCACCACTACATGAAATCGACTGGGCGAGGCTGGGGGAGAACTGCAGTACGCTCCCATGCACGACCACCAACTCTCACTCATGGAGCGAACCTGTGAGCCTGTTCAGCTCCAGTAATTAACCTGTGTGTGATGCACTGAGTCACGCCAGCCGATTCCTAACCCTCTGAGTGGGTGGATAGCACGCGAATGTTAATCATCACTGAGCGCGGTATTCAGAACAGCCTGGAAACGAGTCAAAACTCGTTTCCGAGAGGGTAGTGCTGGTGCCTGGGTTCGATTCCCGAAAAAAAACATGTATTTAAACTGGTATTGGCCAAACATCCCAATGCTGAAAATGTACCTGAAAATTACTCGATTGAGTTAACACACAGCAAAAACGTGGCAGCACCCTTCGGAATGAGAGTGTAGAGACAGTGAGGCTTTCCTGGGTAAACAAGCAGAATAAAATAAATGACCGAGTGACACTCTTGTGAAGAAACCTCCAGAGGCAGAACAACTCTCGTGACACGTATGTAGCTCTGCTAGCGAATGATTGGATCGTCTTCCCGATAGAAGTTTATGGAAACTCTTATGAAGCCACAATCGCTTTATCCAGTTACAGCTATCTGTCCATCTTTAGGTGTTGCAGGCCACCTAATCCGAAAAACCACCGAATCACTTCATGCTAAGGCCTCGGCACAGAGACCCTGTCTCTCTGTGCTCCATGCGTTGTGTCTCTTTGTGTCTCTGTGTTGACTCCCTCTGCTTAGGTGTCTGTATGTATGTCTGCGGTTCTGTGTTTCCTCTCTCTCTTGGATTTAGCTCTTCTGTGCCTGATGATGATTGCTTGCATTGCAATCAAAACGCCGTATGCTATTATGTCATTTTATTATTATTTCTTATTTCTACGTGACTTTACCGAAAAAACCAAAGAGCACTCTAATGATCTAAACCACCAAAACCACCAAACCCTCCTCAAACATTAAAATCACCAAAACCACCCAAACCACCAAACCCCCCTGTAACCTCACAGTAACCTTCAACCCAGCACAAACCCCGTTGCCGTCACTCACGCCAACCTTTACGCCCATGTGAACCATGGCCCCAATTACAACAACAGCGATGGCGCGCTCGCTGCAGGACCGATCACGCCGGAGGACGGAGGAGTCGCAGGGATGCGTGGGCAAGACGCTCGCTCGGCGAGAATTCACGATCTGTAAGATTTTGCAATGGAATTGTTTGAACAACAAAACAATAACGGTAATAATTAAACGTGCCAGTCATTCGCCGTTTCGGTGAAGCTTGCCGTTCGATGGCAGGACGAGGGAATGAAGCGGTAGACAGAACCGCGTCACGCGATCATTTGCCGTGAATTACTTCCCACATTTTGCGTCATTTAAAATCCTGCTCATGCGTTTTCGCGTGGTCGTTTTCACACGTGTTGACTTGCAAGGCATTCACTGACAATATCTATTAGCAGCGCGATACACAGACGATTTGGTTTCTAAACCACGACCCTGGATGCTTCAATTACCGACGCGTCAATTCACATCAACTCATTTGTGGGGCAAGCTTTGAAACGCGACTCCTCCCGGGACGCTTTGGGAGAACCGGGGGAGTTCCTGCAGGAGGACCCGGATGATCGATGGGAACAACTGCACAGATGAGGCGCAGGGATGCTCCCTCTACACGTGACGCATATTGAAAGCGACTCCTCTCTTGACAAAATGTAATAACTTGCGTGATTGCGGAGACTACAAGAAACAAAACAACTAAGCAGACCATATGCGTCCTTCACGTAGCTGTCGCCCCACATAATTGTGTTATAAACTACGACGTTTCGATCGTAGGTTGTTTATTTTTTTTATTCATTTGAACCTATCTACGTGACTTTACCTAAAAGACCCAAAGAATATGAACTCCTGCAGTCACGAAAGCTTTAAGTCATAATTGTGCTTTGTTTAACATATTCCATCAGTCACACGGTCTTCTGGGAGTGCGTAACATCAGCAAATTGGTTCAACAATAGCAATTCTGGACCAGTTTTGATCTTCAATGTCTCATTAGCAGAGTCAGGCTTTAGAAACAGGCATGACGTGTATTTTACTACCAATATTATTATTGTGCCCGTCTCCCAGGAAAGTAATCATTGAGTCTCAACACTCTTTCTGGAGGATCCTGCCAGGTTTTCACGGTGGGGAGGGGAAATCGCTATGTATCTGTAATACAAATGAGTCATCTTCAGGTAATTTTGCAGCATTGAGTGGGGAAACTGGAGGACACCCATGCAGAACAGAGGGGGAGAACATACAAACGCCACACAGAAAATGTCCGAGCTGGAATCGAACCCAGGCTCTTCTTGCTGCGAGTGTTACCACCGTGATACCACTGCGCCGCCCTGCCACCCTCTGCGCTCGAGACAAACTGTTGCGCAACAGCGTGCTGCCTGCACGGGGCAATACAGGAAGGACTTTAATCGTTCTGCTCACTTATACGCGGAACTTCAGTTTTACTCGTACAAAAGTAGGACAATCGAAAGTGCCAATGTGGGCGGAACTCTCGTGACGACACCTCGAAGGCTCGGCGAGCGAGGAAGCACCAGGGAGAGGCCTCGCGCTCACATCGACGTGCGGGGAGAGCCTTGGGCCCAATCCCCTCATTCCCTCCCATGACCCTCCCGTGATGCACGAGACCTTCCCAATGCCGAACCTGCACCAAGCAGGGCCAAACTCGTTCTCCGCACAGCAAGGAGGCTCGGGTTTGTCATCAGCCCCCCCCCCCGGCTCCAGGCCGGCGTTGCTGTAAAATTCGCGGAAATCCCCGAGGCATTCTGCGTGAGCGTGTTGGTCCCCACCTCATACCACGGCCAAACGAGGGAGCCGTACCGAGCAACGAGGAATGATTTCCTTAACATTCAGTCAACTGGAATATGTAATCAATGCCGTGGCAAATCCATGCAGATTTATCCCAAAGACTCGATGTTACTTACGGCAGTGAAGTCCATCAAAGAAGCACTAAAAAAACCTAAGCTGTTAACATCGTTGTTCGTAATGAACGCATCTCATTGTGGTTTAATACCTTGATTTACCCGATGAGGCTGCAAGACTCTTGATAATGGAATAAACTTTTCACCTAAGCGGAGGCCAGTCGAACACTACACATAAAAGAGAGGGGAGGGACGAGGACATGGTGGAGGAGACCCGGCAACTGCACCGACCTCACCGACAAAGACAAAGTGGCAGCCCCACACACCGCTCCCGCGCAGCACCAACGTTCCCGCTGTCCAGGAGCGGTGGATCCTAGGACAGTGCTCGCATCACCAGGGCCGGACACCGCAACGAGGTCACGGCGTCACATTCCTACGATCCCTGCCCCGTGCCCCCAGCGGGAGAGACGGTCTCAGCTCCCAGAGAGAGAGAGACAGTCTGCCGGGCCCAGTCAACTGGGCTGCTTTATAAGCTCAGGAGGCCGGGTCCGGTGCTGCCAGGTTCGTTGTTGCGCTTCCCCGCTCGTGCCCCTGGCCCTGGCGTGACCTCGGGAGCAGTGGGCCCCACGTTAATACGCTCCACGCTGAGAGCCACACAATGTGGCTCCCACCTGCTCCGCTGAGAGAGATGATGAGTTTTTGTGGGAGGGCTTCACTCCTTGTTTGTTCTGCCGATGCGCTCCAACTCGTTAAGTGAGCGGAGCTACCAACGCTTGGGAGGGCCAGGGACGGTTTTGCCCGAGCTGGGCGAGTCGTGCCGAGCGGCCACCATGCAGCAGGGAGGCCCATCCTGTCCAGGCCACCATCCGTGACCAACTGGGCAGCATTTAATACAGAACAATAAAGTAATTGATCATGCGTAGCGCTCTGTAATAAC